GCAAGTATCTTTGGTCACTGTGTCAGGCAAGTATCTTTGGTTCAGTGAGTCAGGCAAGTATCTTTGGTTCAGTGAGTCAGGCAAGTATCTTTGGTCACTGTGTCAGGCAAGTATCTTTGGTCACTGTGTCAGGCAAGTATCTTTGGTTCAGTGTGTCAGGCAAGTATCTTTGGTTCAGTGAGTCAGGCAAGTATCTTTGGTTCAGTGAGTCAGGCAAGTATCTTTGGTTCAGTGAGTCAGGCAAGTATCTTTGGTTCAGTGAGTCAGGCAAGTATCTTTGGTTCAGTGAGTCAGGCAAGTATCTTTGGTTCAGTGAGTCAGGCAAGTATCTTTGGTTCAGTGAGTCAGGCAAGTATCTTTGGTCACTGTGTCAGGCAAGTATCTTTGGTCACTGTGTCAGGCAAGTATCTTTGGTTCAGTGAGTCAGGCAAGTATCTTTGGTCACTGTGTCAGGCAAGTATCTTTGGCTCAGTGAGTCAGGCAAGTATCTTTGGTTCAGTGAGTCAGGCAAGTATCTTTGGTTCACTGTGTCAGGCAAGTATCTTTGGTCACTGTGTCAGGCAAGTATCTTTGGTTCAGTGAGTCAGGCAAGTATCTTTGGTTTAGTGAGTCAGGCAAGTATCTTTGGTTCACTGTGTCCGGCAAGTATCTTTGGTTCAGTGAGTCAGGCAAGTATCTTTGGTTCAGTGAGTCAGGCAAGTATCTTTGGTCACTGTGTCAGGCAAGTATCTTTGGTTCAGTGAGTCAGGCAAGTATCTTTGGTCACTGTGTCAGGCAAGTATCTTTGGTTAACTGTGTCCGGCAAGTATCTTTGGTTCAGTGAGTCAGGCAAGTATCTTTGGTTCAGTGAGTCAGGCAAGTATCTTTGGTCACTGTGTCAGGCAAGTATCTTTGGTTCAGTGAGTCAGGCAAGTATCTTTGGTTCAGTGAGTCAGGCAAGTATCTTTGGTTCACTGTGTCCGGCAAGTATCTTTGGTTCAGTGAGTCAGGCAAGTATCTTTGGTTCAGTGTGTCAGGCAAGTATCTTTGGTTCAGTGAGTCAGGCAAGTATCTTTGGTTCAGTGAGTCAGGCAAGTATCTTTGGTTCAGTGAGTCAGGCAAGTATCTTTGGTTCACTGTGTCCGGCAAGTATCTTTGGTTCAGTGAGTCAGGCAAGTATCTTTGGTTCAGTGAGTCAGGCAAGTATCTTTGGTTCAGTGAGTCAGGCAAGTATCTTTGGTTCACTATTTCAGGCAAGTATCTTTGGTCACTGTGTCAGGCAAGTATCTTTGGTTCAGTGAGTCAGGCAAGTATCTTTGGTTCAGTGAGTCAGGCAAGTATCTTTGGTCACTGTGTCAGGCAAGTATCTTTGGCTCAGTGAGTCAGGCAAGTATCTTTGGTTCAGTGAGTCAGGCAAGTATCTTTGGTTCAGTGAGTCAGGCAAGTATCTTTGGTTTAGTGAGTCAGGCAAGTATCTTTGGCTCAGTGAGTCAGGCAAGTATCTTTGGTCACTGTGTCAGGCAAGTATCTTTGGTTCAGTGAGTCAGGCAAGTATCTTTGGTTCAGTGTGTCAGGCAAGTATCTTTGGTTCACTGTGTCAGGCAAGTATCTTTGGTTCAGTGAGTCAGGCAAGTATCTTTGGTTCAGTGAGTCAGGCAAGTATCTTTGGTTCAGTGAGTCAGGCAAGTATCTTTGGTTCAGTGAGTCAGGCAAGTATCTTTGGTTCAGTGAGTCAGGCAAGTATCTTTGGTCACTGTGTCAGGCAAGTATCTTTGGTCACTGTGTTAGGCAAGTATCTTTTGTTCAGTGAGTCAGGCAAGTATCTTTGGTTCAGTGAGTCAGGCAAGTATTTTTGGTTCAGTGTGTCAGGCAAGTATCTTTGGTTCAGTGAGTCAGGCAAGTATCTTTGGTTCACTGAGTCAGGCAAGTATCTTTGGTTCAGTGAGTCAGGCAAGTATCTTTGGTTCAGTGAGTCAGGCAAGTATCTTTGGTCACTGTGTCAGGCAAGTATCTTTGGCTCAGTGAGTCAGGCAAGTATCTTTGGTTCAGTGTGTCAGGCAAGTATCTTTGGTTCAGTGTGTCAGGCAAGTATCTTTGGTTCAGTGAGTCAGGCAAGTATCTTTGGTCACTGTGTCAGGCAAGTATCTTTGGTCACTGTGTTAGGCAAGTATCTTTGGTTCAGTGAGTCAGGCAAGTATCTTTGGTTCAGTGAGTCAGGCAAGTATCTTTGGTTCAGTGAGTCAGGCAAGTATCTTTGGTTCACTGAGTCAGGCAAGTATCTTTGGTTCAGTGAGTCAGGCAAGTATCTTTGGTTCAGTGAGTCAGGCAAGTATCTTTGGTTCAGTGTGTCAGGCAAGTATCTTTGGTTCAGTGTGTCAGGCAAGTATCTTTGGTCACTGTGTCAGGCAAGTATCTTTGGTCACTGTGTCAGGCAAGTATCTTTGGCTCAGTGAGTCAGGCAAGTATCTTTGGTTCAGTGTGTCAGGCAAGTATCTTTGGTTCAGTGTGTCAGGCAAGTATCTTTGGTTCAGTGAGTCAGGCAAGTATCTTTGGTTCAGTGAGTCAGGCCAGTATCTTTGGTTCAGTGAGTCAGGCAAGTATCTTTGGTCACTGTGTCAGGCAAGTATCTTTGGTCACTGTGTTAGGCAAGTATCTTTGGTTCAGTGAGTCAGGCAAGTATCTTTGGTTCAGTGAGTCAGGCAAGTATCTTTGGTCACTGTGTCAGGCAAGTATCTTTGGCTCAGTGAGTCAGGCAAGTATCTTTGGTTCAGTGAGTCAGGCAAGTATCTTTGGTTCAGTGAGTCAGGCAAGTATCTTTGGTTTAGTGAGTCAGGCAAGTATCTTTGGCTCAGTGAGTCAGGCAAGTATCTTTGGTCACTGTGTCAGGCAAGTATCTTTGGTTCAGTGAGTCAGGCAAGTATCTTTGGTTCAGTGTGTCAGGCAAGTATCTTTGGTTCACTGTGTCAGGCAAGTATCTTTGGTTCAGTGAGTCAGGCAAGTATCTTTGGTTCAGTGAGTCAGGCAAGTATCTTTGGTTCAGTGAGTCAGGCAAGTATCTTTGGTTCAGTGAGTCAGGCAAGTATCTTTGGTTCAGTGAGTCAGGCAAGTATCTTTGGTCACTGTGTCAGGCAAGTATCTTTGGTCACTGTGTTAGGCAAGTATCTTTTGTTCAGTGAGTCAGGCAAGTATCTTTGGTTCAGTGAGTCAGGCAAGTATTTTTGGTTCAGTGTGTCAGGCAAGTATCTTTGGTTCAGTGAGTCAGGCAAGTATCTTTGGTTCACTGAGTCAGGCAAGTATCTTTGGTTCAGTGAGTCAGGCAAGTATCTTTGGTTCAGTGAGTCAGGCAAGTATCTTTGGTCACTGTGTCAGGCAAGTATCTTTGGCTCAGTGAGTCAGGCAAGTATCTTTGGTTCAGTGTGTCAGGCAAGTATCTTTGGTTCAGTGTGTCAGGCAAGTATCTTTGGTTCAGTGAGTCAGGCAAGTATCTTTGGTCACTGTGTCAGGCAAGTATCTTTGGTCACTGTGTTAGGCAAGTATCTTTGGTTCAGTGAGTCAGGCAAGTATCTTTGGTTCAGTGAGTCAGGCAAGTATCTTTGGTTCAGTGAGTCAGGCAAGTATCTTTGGTTCACTGAGTCAGGCAAGTATCTTTGGTTCAGTGAGTCAGGCAAGTATCTTTGGTTCAGTGAGTCAGGCAAGTATCTTTGGTTCAGTGTGTCAGGCAAGTATCTTTGGTTCAGTGTGTCAGGCAAGTATCTTTGGTCACTGTGTCAGGCAAGTATCTTTGGTCACTGTGTCAGGCAAGTATCTTTGGCTCAGTGAGTCAGGCAAGTATCTTTGGTTCAGTGTGTCAGGCAAGTATCTTTGGTTCAGTGTGTCAGGCAAGTATCTTTGGTTCAGTGAGTCAGGCAAGTATCTTTGGTTCAGTGAGTCAGGCCAGTATCTTTGGTTCAGTGAGTCAGGCAAGTATCTTTGGTCACTGTGTCAGGCAAGTATCTTTGGTCACTGTGTTAGGCAAGTATCTTTGGTTCAGTGAGTCAGGCAAGTATCTTTGGTTCAGTGAGTCAGGCAAGTATCTTTGGTTCAGTGAGTCAGGCAAGTATCTTTGGTTCACTGAGTCAGGCAAGTATCTTTGGTTCAGTGAGTCAGGCAAGTATCTTTGGTTCAGTGTGTCAGGCAAGTATCTTTGGTTCACTGTGTCAGGCAAGTATCTTTGGTTCAGTGAGTCAGGCAAGTATCTTTGGTCACTGTGTCAGGCAAGTATCTTTGGTTCAGTGTGTCAGGCAAGTATCTTTGGTTCAGTGAGTCAGGCAAGTATCTTTGGTCACTGTGTCAGGCAAGTATCTTTGGTTCAGTGAGTCAGGCAAGTATCTTTGGTTCAGTGAGTCAGGCAAGTATCTTTGGTCACTGTGTCAGGCAAGTATCTTTGGTCACTGTGTCAGGCAAGTATCTTTGGTCACTGTGTCAGGCAAGTATCTTTGGTTCAGTGAGTCAGGCAAGTATCTTTGGTTCAGTGAGTCAGGCAAGTATCTTTGGTCACTGTGTCAGGCAAGTATCTTTGGTTCAGTGAGTCAGGCAAGTATCTTTGGTTCAGTGAGTCAGGCAAGTATCTTTGGTTCAGTGAGTCAGGCAAGTATCTTTGGTTCAGTGAGTCAGGCAAGTATCTTTGGTTCAGTGAGTCAGGCAAGTATCTTTGGTTCAGTGTGTCAGGCAAGTATCTTTGGTCACTGTGTTAGGCAAGTATCTTTGGTTCAGTGAGTCAGGCAAGTGTCTTTGGTTCAGTGAGTCAGGCAAGTATTTTTGGTTCACTGTGTCAGGCAAGTATCTTTGGTTCAGTGAGTCAGGCAAGTATCTTTGGTTCAGTGAGTCAGGCAAGTATCTTTGGTTCAGTGAGTCAGGCAAGTATCTTTGGTTCAGTGAGTCAGGCAAGTATCTTTGGTTCAGTGAGTCAGGTAAGTATCTTTGGTCACTGTGTCAGGCAAGTATCTTTGGTTCAGTGATTCAATATCCATGAATATGCCTACCTTGTGATGTGTGTGTTCATGTTTTTGCAGTGTGTATTTGGTGTTGAACTGGCGACAACACACAGCACACACGTGAATCCTGGGCTGAAGGTGGAGAGTCAGGATGTGTTTCCTCTGGACTGGCTGGGTTTTGAAGGCAGCTCCACAGTAGTGACAAAGGTACGGTCTCTCAGAGCTGTGCATGGTCATGTGCTCCTTCAGGTGGGCCTGCAAAAACTGTTGCATTATTTCCAAAATCTCAGCTCTACTCTCATGTCATGTCCACTCTGTCATCTCATGTCATGTCCACTGTCATCTCATGTCATGTCATCTCATGTCCACTGTCATGTCCACTCTGTCATGTCCACTCTGTTATGTCCACTCTGTCATCTCATGTCCACTCTGTCATGTCCACTCTGTTATGTCCACTCTGTCATGTCATGTCATCTCATGTCCACTCTGTCATGTCATGTCATCTCATGTCCACTGTCATGTCCACTCTGTCATGTCCACTCTGTCATGTCCGCTCTGTCATGTCCACTCTGTCATGTCCACTCTGTCATGTCCACTCTGTCATGTCATCTCATGTCCACTCTGTCATGTCCACTCTGTCATGTCCACTCTGTCATGTCATGTCATCTCATGTCCACTCTGTCATGTCCACTCTGTCATGTCCACTCTGTCATGTCCACTCTGTCATCTCATGTCATGTCCACTGTCATGTCCCCTCTGCACAGGCCAACCTGCCATCTTATGTCACCTATGTGTATGACATGGCCATTCTCAAGCTCTTGCTCTAACAAAATGCAGATTACCGGAGATCTGAATCCCTTGCCACAAGCTGAACATTTGAAAGGGAAACTGCGGGCTGTGCGTGACAGGTGCACCAGCTTGTGCTGCTGCAGGGCGTCAGTTCTTTTAAAAGTTTTCCCGCAGGTGTCACACAGGTGTGGCCTGACTTCTGGACCATGGACATCTCGCACATGTCTATGTAGGTGGATCTTCTTGGCAAAACTTTTCTTACACTCAGAACAGGTCACTTCTTGTCTGGGTCTGGGGACAAAAATATATCAACTCTAGGCCTGGGGACAAAAATATATCAACTCTAGGCCTGGGGACAAAAATATATCAACTCTAGGCATGGGGACAAAAATATATCAACTCTAGGCCTGGGGACAAAAATATATCAACTCTAGGCCTGGGGACAAAAATATATCAACTCTAGGCCTGGGGACAAAAATATATCAACTCTAGGCCTGGGGACAAAAATATATCAACTCTAGGTCTGGGGACAAAAATATATCAACTCTAGGCCTGGGGACAAAAATATATCAACTCTAGGCCTGGGGACAAAAATATATCAACTCTAGGCCTGGGGACAAAAATATATCAACTCTAGGCCTGGGGACAAGACCAGCTACCTCACCTGTCACAAGACCAGCTACCACAAGACCAGCTACTTCACCTGTCACAAGACCAACTACCTCACCTGTCACAAGACCAGCTACCTCACCTGTCACAAGACCAGCTACCTCACCTGTCACAAGACCAGCTACCTCACCTGTCACAAGAACAGCTACCTCACCTGTCATAAGACCAGCTACCTCACCTGTCACAAGACCAGCTAGCACAAGACCAGCTACCTCACCTGTCACAAGACCAGCTAGCACAAGACCAGCTACCTCACCTGTCACAAGACCAGCTAGCACAAGACCAGCTACCTCACCTGTCACAAGACCAACTACCTCACCTGTCACAAGACCAGCTAGCACAAGACCAGCTAGCACAAGACCAGCTACCTCACCTGTCACAAGACCAGCTACCACAAGACCAGCTACCTCACCTGTCACAAGACCAGCTACCTCACCTGTCACAAGACCAGCTAGCACAAGACCAGCTAGCACAAGACCAGCTACCTCACCTGTCACAAGACCAACTACCTCACCTGTCACAAGACCAGCTAGCACAAGACCAGCTACCTCACCTGTCACAAGACCAGGTACCTCACCTGTCACAAGACCAGCTAGCTCACCTGTCACAAGACCAGCTACCTCACCTGTCACAAGACCAGCTAGCACAAGACCAGCTACCTCACCTGTCACAAGACCAGCTACCTAACCTGTCACAAGACCAGCTAGCTCACCTGTCACAAGACCAGCTAGCACAAGACAAGCTAGCACAAGACCAGCTACCTCACCTGTCACAAGACCAACTACCTCACCTGTCACAAGACCAGCTACCTCACCTGTCACAAGACCAGCTACCTCACCTGTCACAAGACCAGCTACCACAAGACCAGCTACCTCACCTGTCACAAGACCAGCTACCACAAGACCAGCTACCTCACCTGTCACAAGACCAGCTAGCACAAGACCAGCTACCTCACCTGTCACAAGACCAGCTACCTCACTTGTCACAAGACCAGCTACCTCACCTGTCACAAGACCAGCTAGCACAAGACCAGCTAGCACAAAACCAGCTACCTCACCTGTCACAAGACCAACTACCTCACCTGTCACAAGACCAGCTAGCTCACCTGTCACAAGACCAGCTACCTCACCTGTCACAAGACCAGCTAGCACAAGACCAGCTAGCACAAGACCAGGTACCTCACCTGTCACAAGACCAGCTAGCACAAGACCAACTACCTCACCTGTCACAAGACCAGCTAGCACAAGACCAGCTACCACAAGACCAGCTACCTCACCTGTCACAAGACCAGCTACCTCACCTGTCACAAGACCAGCTAGCACAAGACCAGCTAGCACAAGACCAGCTACCTCACCTGTCACAAGACCAACTACCTCACCTGTCACAAGACCAGCTACCTCACCTGTCACAAGACCAGCTACCACAAGACCAGGTACCTCACCTGTCACAAGACCAGGTACCACAAGACCAGCTACCTCACCTGTCACAAGACCAGCTACCTCACCTGTCACAAGACCAGCTACCACAAGACCAGCTACCTCACCTGTCACAAGACCAGCTACCACAAGACCAGCTACCTCACCTGTCACAAGACCAGCTAACACAAGACCAGCTACCACAAGACCAGCTAGCTCACCTGTCACAAGACCAGCTAGCTCACCTGTCACAAGACCAGCTAGCACAAGACCAGCTAGCACAAGAACAGCTACCTCACCTGTCACAAGACCAGCTACCTCACCTGTCACAAGACCAGCTACCACAAGACCAACTACCTCACCTGTCACAAGACCAGCTAGCACAAGACCAGCTACCTCACCTGTCACAAGACCAGCTACCTCACTTGTCACAAGACCAGCTACCTCACCTGTCACAAGACCAGCTACCTCACTTGTCACAAGACCAGCTACCTCACCTGTCACAAGACCAGCTAGCACAAGACCAGCTAGCACAAGACCAGCTACCTCACCTGTCACAAGACCAGCTAGCCCACCTGTCACAAGACCAGCTACCTCACCTGTAACAAGACCAGCTAGCACAAGACCAGGTACCTCACCTGTCACAAGACCAACTACCTCACCTGTCACAAGACCAGCTACCTCAAGACCAGCTACCACAAGACCAGCTACCTCACCTGTCACAAGACCAGCTACCTCACCTGTCACAAGACCAGCTAGCACAAGACCAGCTAGCACAAGACCAGCTAGTACAAGACCAGCTAGTACAAGACCAGCTACCTCACCTGTCACAAGACCAACTACCTCACCTGTCACAAGACCAGCTAGCTCACCTGTCACAAGACCAGCTACCTCACCTGTCACAAGACCAGCTAGCACAAGACCAGGTACCTCACCTGTCACAAGACCAACTACCTCACCTGTCACAAGACCAGCTACCACAAGACCAGCTACCACAAGACCAGCTACCACAAGACCAGCTACCTCACCTGTCACAAGACCAGCTACCTCACCTGTCACAAGACCAGCTAGCACAAGACCAGCTAGCACAAGACCAGCTAGCACAAGACCAGCTAGTACAAGACCAGCTACCTCACCTGTCACAAGACCAACTACCTCACCTGTCACAAGACCAGCTACCTCACCTGTCACAAGACCAGCTACCTCACCTGTCACAAGACCAGCTAGCACAAGACCAGGTACCTCACCTGTCACAAGACCAACTACCTCACCTGTCACAAGACCAGCTACCACAAGACCAGCTACCACAAGACCAGCTACCTCACCTGTCACAAGACCAGCTACCTCACCTGTCACAAGACCAGCTAGCACAAGACCAGCTAGCACAAGACCAGCTACCTCACCTGTCACAAGACCAACTACCTCACCTGTCACAAGACCAGCTACCTCACCTGTCACAAGACCAGCTACCACAAGACCAGGTACCTCACCTGTCACAAGACCAGGTACCACAAACCAGCTACCTCACCTGTCACAAGACCAGTTACCTCACCTGTCACAAGACCAGCTACCACAAGACCAGCTACCTCACCTGTCACAAGACCAGCTACCTCACCTGTTACAAGACCAGCTACCACAAGACCAGCTACCTCACCTGTCACAAGACCAGCTACCACAAGACCAGCTACCTCACCTGTCACAAGACCAGCTACCACAAGACCAGCTACCTCACCTGTCACAAGACCAGCTAGCACAAGACCAGCTACCACAAGACCAGCTAGCTCACCTGTCACAAGACCAGCTAGCTCACCTGTCACAAGACCAGCTAGCACAAGACCAGCTAGCACAAGACCAGCTACCACAAGACCAGCTACCTCACCTGTCACAAGACCAGCTACCTCACCTGTCACAAGACCAGCTACCACAAGACCAACTACCTCACCTGTCACAAGACCAGCTAGCACAAGACCAGCTACCTCACCTGTCACAAGACCAGCTACCTCACCTGTCACAAGACCAGCTAGCACAAGACCAGCTACCTCACCTGTCACAAGACCAACTACCTCACCTGTCACAAGACCAGCTAGCATAAGACCAGCTAGTACAAGACCAGCTAGCACAAGACCAGCTACCTCACCTGTCACAAGACCAGCTACCTCACCTGTCACAAGACCAGCTAGCACAAGACCAGCTACCACAAGACCAGCTACCTCACCTGTCACAAGACCAGCTACCTCACCTGTCACAAGACCAGCTAGCACAAGACCAGCTAGCACAAGACCAGCTAGTACAAGACCAGCTAGTACAAGACCAGCTACCACAAGACCAGCTACCTCACCTGTCACAAAACCAGCTACCTCACCTGTCACAAGACCAGCTAGCACAAGACCAGCTAGCACAAGACCAGCTACCTCACCTGTCACAAGACCAACTACCTCACCTGTCACAAGACCAGCTAGCACAAGACCAGCTAGCACAAGACCAGCTACCTCACCTGTCACAAGACCAGCTACCTCACCTGTCACAAGACCAGCTAGCACAAGACCAGGTACCTCACCTGTCACAAGACCAGGTACCACAAGACCAGCTACCTCACCTGTCACAAGACCAGCTAGCACAAGACCAGCTACCTCACCTGTCACATGACCAGCTAGCACAAGACCAGCTACCTCACCTGTCACAAGACCAGCTACCACAAGACCAGCTACCTCACCTGTCACAAGACCAGCTAGCTCACCTGTCACAAGACCAGCTAGCTCACCTGTCACAAGACCAGCTAGCTCACCTGTCACAAGACCAGCTAGCACAAGACCAGCTAGCACAAGACCAGCTACCACAAGACCAGCTACCTCACCTGTCACAAGACCAGCTACCTCACCTGTCACAAGACCAGCTACCACAAGACCAACTACCTCACCTGTCACAAGACCAGCTAGCACAAGACCAGCTACCTCACCTGTCACAAGACCAACTACCTCACCTGTCACAAGACCAGCTAGCACAAGACCAGCTAGTACAAGACCAGCTACCACAAGACCAGCTACCTCACCTGTCACAAGACCAACTACCTCACCTGTCACAAGACCAGCTAGCACAAGACCAGCTAGTACAAGACCAGCTAGCACAAGACCAGCTACCTCACCTGTCACAAGACCAGCTAGCACAAGACCAGCTACCTCATCTGTCACAAGACCAGCTAGCACAAGACCAGCTACCTCACCTGTCACAAGACCAGCTAGCACAAGACCAGCTACCTCACCTGTCACAAGACCAGCTACCGTGACCGGTCACAAGACCAGCTAGCACAAGACCAGTTAGCACAAGACCAGCTACCTCACCTGTCACAAGACCAACTACCTCACCTGTCACAAGACCAGCTAGCACAAGACCAGCTACCTCACCTGTCACAAGACCAGCTACCTCACCTGTCACAAGACCAACTACCTCACCTGTCACAAGACCAGCTACCTCACCTGTCACAAGACCAGCTAGCACAAGACCAGCTAGCACAAGACCAGCTACCTCACCTGTCACAAGACCAGCTACGTCACCTGTCACAAGACCAGCTATCTCACCTGTCACAAGACCAGCTAGCTCACCTGTCACAAGACCAGCTAGCTTACCTGTCACAAGACCAGGTACCTCACCTGTCACAAGACCAGCTAGCTCACCTGTCACAAGACCAGCTAGCACAAGACCAGCTAGCACAAGACCAGGTACCTCACCTGTCACAAGACCAGCTAGCTCACCTGTCACAAGACCAGCTAGCACAAGACCAGCTAGCACAAGACCAGGTAGCACAAGACCAGCTACCTCACCTGTCACAAGACCAGCTAGCACAAGACCAGCTAGCACAAGACCAGCTAGCACAAGACCAGGTAGCACAAGACCAACTACCTCACCTGTCACAAGACCAGCTACCTCACCTGTCACAAGACCAGCTAGCACAAGACCAACTACCTCACCTGTCACAAGACCAGCTAGCACAAGACCAGCTAGCACAAGACAGCTACCTCACCTGTCACAAGACCAGCTAGCACAAGACCAGCTACCTCACCTGTCACAAGACCAGCTAGCACAAGACCAGCTACCTCACCTGTCACAAGACCAGCTAGCACAAGACCAGCTAGCACAAGACCAGCTACCTCACCTGTCACAAGACCAACTACCTCACCTGTCACAAGACCAGCTACCACAAGACCAACTACCTCACCTGTCACAAGACCAGCTAGTACAAGACCAGCTAGCACAAGACCAGCTAGTACAAGACCAGCTAGCACAAGACCAGCTACCTCACCTGTCACAAGACCAGCTACCTCACCTGTCACAAGACCAGCTACTGTGACCTGTCACAAGACCAGCTAGCACAAGACCAGCTACCTCACCTGTCACAAGACCAACTACCTCACCTGTCACAAGACCAGCTAGCACAAGACCAGCTAGCACAAGACCAGCTAGTACAAGACCAGCTAGCACAAGACCAGCTACCTCACCTGTCACAAGACCAGCTACCTCTCCTGCCAGGAATGCTTACCCACCTGTTATGAAGGGCTTGGTGTCTGGCCATGTCCTTTGGTTTCTGGCAAGTAAAAGCACACTGTTCACAGGTCAGCTTCTCACTTCTCTGGTTGTGTTTTAACTTGAGGTGTTTGCGCAACAGCGCCATCCGATCTGTTGAGTAGGCAGCACAAATGTCACACCTGTGGACAAATCCAGGACATACCATACACACTCACATTTACCTTGATAGAATAATACATCAGAATTTGGAACAGCCTAAATCTAACTTGGTCAAGTAGGGGCGTAGGGTTATAATTAAGTTGAATGGTTGTGTGGTGTACCCAAGTGTGGCCATGTGGTGTGTGGGTAGTGTGGCCACATGGTGTGTGGGTAGTGTGGCCACATGGTGTGTGGGTAGTGTGGCCATGTGGTGTGTGGGTAGTGTGGCCATTTGGTGTGTGGGTAGTGTGGCCACATGGTGTAGGTAGTGTGGCCATGTGGTGTGGCCAGGTGGTGTAGGTAGTGTGGCTATGTGGTGTGTGGGTAGTGTGGCCATGTGGTGTGTGGCCAAGATTTACCTAAACAAATGTAGTTTGTGCTTGAGCTGGTGTTGTTTGAACATAGGCAGGCTGAGGGTGATGAAGTCACACTGATGACAGCTATACTTTTTCTCACTGCCGCCCCTGTGGCAGCGCAGATGGGATTGGAAATGGCTCTGGCGTTTGCTCTTGAAAGAGCACTGTGAGCAGAAAAACTTGAATGCCAGGTGCTCTTCATAGTTCCTCTGCTGTTTTGTGGCGGCTGACTCAGTCAAGGGGTTTCTTGCACGGACCTTCTCTACAGGAGCTGAAGGATCATCTGTTGACAAGTCATAACCATCAGGGCAGGTGTAGCACAGGTGGGCAGGTGTTGAACTGGTGGACAGGTGTAGGGCAGGTGTAGGACTGGTGTAGGACAGGTGTTGAACTGGTGGACAGGTGTAGGGCAGGTGTAGGGCAGGTGTAGGACAGGTGTAGGACTGGTGTAGGACTGGTGTAGTACTGGTGTAGGACTGGTGTAGGACAGGTATAGGGCAGGTGTAGGACAGGTGTAGGACTGTAGGACAAGTGTAGGACAGGTGTAGGACTGGTGTAGGACAGGTGTAGTACTGGTGGACAGGTGTAGGACAGGTGTAGGACTGTAGGACTGGTGTAGGACAGGTGTAGGACAGGTGTAGGACTGGTGTAGGACAGGTTGACAGGTGTAAGGCTGGTGTAGGACAGGTGTAGTACTGGTGGACAGGTGTAGGACTGGTGTAGGACAGGTGTAGGACTGGTGTAGGACTGGTGTAGGACTGTTGGACAGGTGTAGGACTGGTGTAGGACAGGTGTAGAACAGGTGTAGGACAGGTGTAGGACTGGTGTACAGGTGTAGGACTGGTGTAGGACAGGTGTAGAGCTGGTGTAGGACAGGTGTAGGACAGGTGTAGGACTGGTGTTGGACAGGTGGACAGGTGTTGAACTGGTGGACAGGTGTAGGACAGGTGTAGGACTGGTGTAGGACAGGTGTAGAACAGGTGTAGGACAGGTGTAGGACAGGTATAGGGCAGGTGTAGGACTGGTGTAGGACAGGTGTAGAACAGGTGTAGGACTGGTGGACAGGTGTTGAACTGGTGGACAGGTGTAGGACTGGTGTAGGACAGGTGTAGGACAGGTATAGGGCAGGTGTAGGACAGGTGTAGGACAGGTATAGGGCAGGTGTAGGACTGGTGTAGGACTGTTGGACAGGTGTAAGGCTGGTGTAGGACAGGTGTAGGACAGGTGTAGGACTGGTGTAGGACTGGTGTAGGACAGGTGGACAGGTGTTGAACTGGTGGACAGGTGTAGGACTGGTGTAGGACAGGTGTAGGACTGGTGTAGGACAGGTGTAGGACAGGTATAGGGCAGGTGTAGGACAGGTATAGGGCAGGTGTAGGACAGGTGTAGGACAGGTGTAGGACAGGTGTAGGACTGTTGGACAGGTGTAGAGCTGGTGTAGGACAGGTGTAGGGCTGGTGTAGGACAGGTATAGGGCAGGTGTAGGACAGGTGTAGGACTGTTGGACAGGTGTAAGGCTGGTGTAGGACAGGTGTAGGACAGGTGTAGGACTTTTAATTTAAGAATGATGACCAGATGGTGAGGTGTAAATCTGAAATAACATAAGACTTACACTGTTTACAAGGTTGACCTCTTTTTTTAACAACTGAAACAACATAAGATTTACACTGTTTACAAGGTCGACCTTTTTTTAACAACTGAAACAACATAAGACTTACACTGTTTACAAGGTTGACCTCTTTTTTTAACAACTGAAACAACATAAGATTTACACTTACACTGTTTACAAGGTCACCCTCTTTTTTTAATAACTGAAACAACATAAGATTTACACTGTTTACAAGGTCGACCTTTTTTTAACAACTGAAACAACATAAGACTTACACTGTTTACAAGGTCGACCTCTTTTTTTAACAACTTTTCTGTCCTGCTCTTTGTCTTTAAGACAGTTTATATTAACTGGAAAAAAAATTAAATAGTCAGAAATTACACATTAAGAACACAACTAACTCAACATTAAACTCAACATTAAAGACAGAACATTAAAGACAGAACATTAAAGACACAATTACTCAACATTAAAGACACAACTACCTCAATATTAAAGACAACTAACTTAACATTAAAGACACAACTACCTCAATATTAAAGACACAACTAACTTAACATTAAAGACACAACTACCTCAACATTAAAGACACAACATTAAAGACACAACTACCTCAATATTAAAGACACAACTACCTCAATTTTAAAGACACAACTAACTCAACATTAAAGACAACATTAAAGACACTACCTCAACATTAAACTCAAGATTAAAGACAACATTAAAGACACAACTAACTTAACATTAAAGACAACATTAAAGACACAACTAACTCAACATTAAAGACACAACTAACTTAACATTAAACTCAAGATTAAAGACAACATTAAAGACACAACTAACTTAACATTAAAGACAACATTAAAGACACAACTAACTCAACATTAAAGACACAACTAACTTAACATTAAACTCAAGATTAAAGACAACATTAAAGACACAACTACCTCAACATTAAACTCAAGAATAAAGACAACATTAAAGACACAACTAACTTAACATTAAAGACAACATTAAAGACACAACTAACTCAACATTAAAGACACAACTAACTTAACATTAAAGACACAACTAACTCAACATTAAAGACACAACTAACTTAACATTAAAGACAACATTAAAGACACAACTAACTCAACACTAAAGACACAACTAACTCAACACTAAAGACACAACTAACTTAACATTAAACCCTGTCCCTCTAACCCTTGGACTGTCCCTCTCACCATGGGACTGTCCCTCTAACCCTTGGACTGTCCCTCTAACCCTTGGACTGTCCCTCTAACCCTTGGACTGTCCCTCTCACCATGGGACTGTCTCTCTAACCCTTGGACTGTCCATCTAACCCTTGGACTGTCCCTCTCACCATGGGACTGTCCATCTAACCCTTAGACTGTCCATCTAACCCTTGGACTGTCCCTCTCACCATGGGACTGTCCCTCTAACCCTTGGACTGTCCCTCTCACCATGGGACTGTCCCTCTAACCCTTGGACTGTCCCTCTCACCATGGGACTGTCCCTCTCACCATGGGACTGTCCCTCTAACCCTTGGACTGTCCATCTAACCCTTGGACTGTCCATCTAACCCTTAGACTGTCCATCTAACCCTTGGACTGTCCATCTCAACATGGGACTGTCCCTCTAACCCTTGGACTGTCCCTCTAACCCTTGGACTGTCCCTCTCACCATGGGACTGTCCCTCTCACCATGGGACTGTCCCTCTAACCCTTGGACTGTCCATCTAACCCTTGGACTGTCCATCTAACCCTTAGACTGTCCATCTAACCCTTGGACTGTCCCTCTCACCATGGGACTGTCCCTCTAACCCTTTGACTGCCCCTCTCACCATGGGACTGTCCCTCTAACCCTTGGACTGTCCCTCTCACCATGGGACTGTCCATCTAACCCTTGGACTGTCCCTCTCACCATGGGACTGTCCATCTAACCCTTGGACTGTCCCTCTCACCCTGGGACTGTCCCTCTAACCCTGGGACTGTCCCTCTAACCCTTGGACTGTCCCTCTCACCATGGGACTGTCCCTCTAACCCTTAGACTGTCCCTCTCACCATGGGACTGTCCCTCTAACCCTTGGACTGTCCCTCTAACCCTTGGACTGTCCCTCTCACCATGGGACTGTCCCTCTAACCCTTAGACTGTCCCTCTAACCCTTGGACTGTCCCTCTCACCATGGGACTGTCCCTCTCACCATGGGACTGTCCCTCTCACCATGGGACTGTCCCTCTAACCCTTAGACTGTCCCTCTAACCCTTGGACTGTCCCTCTCACCATGGGACTGTCCCTCTAACCCTTTGACTGCCCCTCTCACCATGGGACTGTCCCTCTAACCCTTGGACTGTCCCTCTCACCATGGGACTGTCCATCTAACCCTTGGACTGTCCCTCTCACCATGGGACTGTCCATCTAACCCTTGGACTGTCCCTCTCACCCTGGGACTGTCCCTCTAACCCTGGGACTGTCCCTCTAACCCTTGGACTGTCCCTCTCACCATGGGACTGTCCCTCTAACCCTTAGACTGTCCCTCTCACCATGGGACTGTCCCTCTAACCCTTGGACTGTCCCTCTAACCCTTGGACTGTCCCTCTCACCATGGGACTGTCCCTCTAACCCTTAGACTGTCCCTCTAACCCTTGGACTGTCCCTCTCACCATGGGACTGTCCCTCTCACCATGGGACTGTCCCTCTCACCATGGGACTGTCCCTCTAACCCTTAGACTGTCCCTCTAACCCTTGGACTGTCCCTCTCACCATGGGACTGTCCCTCTCACCATGGGACTGTCCCTCTAACCCTTGGACTGTCCCTCTAACCCTTGGACTGTCCCTCTCACCATGGGACTGTCCCTCTAACCCTTAGACTGTCCCTCTAACCCTTGGACTGTCCCTCTCACCATGGGACTGTCCCTCTCACCATGGGACTGTCCCTCTCACCATGGGACTGTCCCTCTAACCCTTAGACTGTCCCTCTAACCCTTGGACTGTCCCTCTCACCCTGGGACTGTCCCTTTCACCCTGGGACTGTCCCTTTCACCCTGGGACTGTCCATCTAACCCTTGGACTGTCCCTCTCACCATGGGACTGTCCCTCTAACCCTTAGACTGTCCCTCTAACCCTTGGACTGTCCCTCTCACCATGGGACTGTCCCTCTCACCATGGGACTGTCCCTCTCACCATGGGACTGTCCCTCTAACCCTTAGACTGTCCCTCTCACCCTGGGACTGTCCCTTTCACCCTGGGACTGTCCCTTTCACCCTGGGACTGTCCATCTAACCCTGGGAGGAAAGTCTCAGTTACCTTTCTGTAAAACTGTTGCAGCAAAGGGGAGGTTCAGACCTCCAATTTTTGTTGCGTCTCCAGTGAGACACTCTGGGGCATCACATGACTGGGGGGTCCCATCATCCCCTGGGGCAGCATGACATGACTGGGGGGTCCCATCATCCCCTGGGGCAGCATGACATGACTGGGGGGTCCCATCATCCCCTGGGGCAGCATGACATGACTGGGGGGTCCCATCATCCCCTGGGGCAGCATGACATGACTGGGGGGTCCCATCATCCCCTGGGGCAGCATGACATGACTGGGGGGTCCCATCATCCACAGGAGCATGACATGATGTGACTGTGGGGTTATCTTTGGCTTTTCTAGGACGGCCTCTTTTCTTCCTGTTAGACAGATCCTTCCTTGTCCTGTGTGTGCTGTGTCCGTCATCTGCTCCATTGTCTGCACAGAGGTCTAGTGCGGCCACAAAGCCCACCTGTGCAGCTTTAGATGAGCACTTAGGCTGGCGGCCATGACACGAGACGTAGGGCTTGATCAGCTGGCAGGAGACAGCTTTTTCTGAAGTCTGGCACCCTCCCAGCCTAAGCAAGTTTTTCAACTGCAAAATGTTCTTCAAGGCATTGTGCAGAGCTATTAGAGCCTGCAAGTCTCCAGTAAAGTGGCATTGAGTCTTGTCAGTGAAGGCCAAGTGTCCTGGCAGGTCCAGCAGAAACTGGTGGCACCCTGGGACATGCTGGAGGAGGTCAGAGTTCAACTGGGCACTGATGGAGGCAAAGATCTGGCACAAGACAATTCTTTCAATAAGAAAAACATTCAACCAACTAGATCTAGGAGATTCATGAGACAATTCTTTCAATAAGAAAAACATTCAACCAACTAGATCTAGGAGATTCATGAGACAATTCTTTCAATAAGAAAAACATTCAACCAACTAGATCTAGGAGATTCATGAGACAATTCTTTCAATAAGAAAAACATTCAACCAACTAGATCTAGGAGATTCATGAGACAATTCTTTCAATAAGAAAAACATTCAACCAACTAGATCTAGGAGATTCATGAGACAATTCTTTCAATAAGAAAAACATTCAACCAACTAGATCTAGGAGATTCATGAGACAATTCTTTCAATAAGAAAAACATTGAACCAACTAGAATGAAAATTCTTACGCATATTGAATAAATGATATATAAACATAAAAAGGCAAACGCTAAGGTACATTCATTGATGACGTGGATGACAGTAATATTAGCTTGAGTGCAGCAATACAGTAGTGGATGGTGTGGTCTAACTACAGTAGTGGATGGTGTGGTCTAACTACAGTAGTGGATGGTGTGGTCTAACTACAGTAGTGGATGGTGTGGTCTAACTACAGTAGTGGATGGTGTGGTCTAACTACAGTAGTGGATGGTGTGGTCTAACTACAGTAGTGGATGGTGTGGTCTAACTACAGTAGTGGATGGTGTGGTCTAACTACAGTAGTGGATGGTGTGGTCTAACTACAGTAGTGGATGGTGTGGTCTAACTGTGGATGGTGTGGTCTAACTACAGTAGTGGATGGTGTGGTCTAACTACAGTAGTGGATGGTGTGGTCTAACTACAGTAGTGGATGGTGTGGTCTAACTGTGGATGGTGTGGTCTAACTGTGGATGGTGTGGTCTAACTACAGTAGTGGATGGTGTGGTCTAACTGTGGATGGTGTGGTCTAACTACAGTAGTGGATGGTGTGGTCTAACTGTGGATGGTGTGGTCTAACTGTGGATGGTGTGGTCTAACTGTGGATGGTATTGCAGCAGGTTCTGCCCCTATTAACCATGATGACTGAGGGATGACTGCATTGAATGTGACTGTAAGACTGTACCATAGGATTGATATGACTTACTGGTGTTGTGTCATCTATCTCATCTGACTCCACCATGGGAGGCTTTTCACTCTTTGCTCCTAAACAATCCAAGCTTTTCTCCTGCAGCAACCTGGACTGATGCTCTAAGTGGGACTGCTCCAAGTGTCTACGATTGCTTTTGAAAATTTCATCCTCTAATGTCTGAGTGGCAACACTTGGCTGCTCTTTGCTAGCTTCCCCATCAATGACTAGTTGGGGAACAGTTTCATGAGCATGTACTGCGACAGCTCTAGGCTCAGCCAAAGATTTATGTCCATGCACTGCTACTGGGTTAGGCTCATGAGCATGTACTGTGTTAGGCTCATGAGCATGTACTGTGTTAGGCTCATGAGCATGTACTGTGTTAGGCTCAACCAAAATATATTCTGGAGCCAGTGGGCTGGAGCCCTCAATCACCATGGTAACAGTGGAGTGAGCCAAGCTTCCCTTGACTTGCTCCGAGCTGTAGTTAGCCTGAGATCCAAGCAGAAGGTTGCCCTGGAGGGCTGAGGACAAGATGTAGCTGGTGTTTGGCTCCAGCAAGACCGGCTGGCTGGCGGGGCACTGCTCAAACACAAGGCTGCCATCTGGATTCAGGTAAAGCACGCGGGTATCTTGATCCAACACCAAGTTCATGTCTTCAACACAAACACTACTCCCAGCACCTCGGCTGTACCCAGCATCTCCCCCTGCTGGGCTTGAGCCTTGAGTTTCATTCATTTCTTTTCCTTAGCTAAAATGATAGATTCTCATTCATTTCATTCCTTACTTTATTATTAGACCTAAAAGTTAAATCAAGTGCTATATCTATCTATGAATATATAAAAAGAGTTTTAAAGAGTGTGATAGAATATGGGACTGGCACACTAGTTATTAATATATTATCACTTAATGAGTGTAAGAAGTTTTTAAGTTAATCAATTATTAAAATAGTATTACTTAAGTTAAAATACTTAGTGCAAGAAAGTAAACAAAAAATATTAAAACGCTCATAAATTAACCTATACATTATTATTATGAAATTAGCAGCTCTAAAGCTGGGTTTGATCAAAGCCTGTGGTTTCTTTGAGTCAGTCCCAAGGGTTGGATCAGATTTTACAAAACCCTATAACTTGATTACTGTTTCAGATAGATACATGAAATTTCACATGTAAGTAATCGATCTAATTCTCTACCTTCTGTCAAATTTTGAGTAATTTCCGTTGACCGGAAGTACTAATTTACGCTATTTCCGATTTCTCAAAAAAAACGCACTTAAATTTATAAAGTACTAATAATATCCCGCACTATTATGCACATTTTATTAGGCGTTAAAGTTGACTGAAAGTAGTAATTTACGATATTTCCGACATCTTAAAATAAAGAATGTGAATTTATAAAGTACTAATTATATTCCTCACTATTATACATAGATTGTTTCCCGTTCACTTGGTGCGCAACTCTTTTTTCAACGAAATTCTATTCTATTTTTTTTACTGAAAAGTTTTAATACAATTGTTTAAAAACAGGTACATAAAATGAAACTTTGAAACATTTTTGTAAACTTCAAAACATAAATCCTCCTAAAAATGTGAAATAATTATTAAAATTTAAGGAGTCACCTGTTTTTCACATTACTAGATTTCTAGTCGCGGGCGATTTTACGTACCTAAAGCGATAGATTACCAGAAAGTGTAAAGTGTAAAACGATGAAAACTCTGATGAAAACGCAAAATTAAATGTGATTTTTGTACACTATTAAAAAAAATTACAATACTTCCTCTATTATCTATACTCTATATTTTATTCAATAGTATAATTCTGTACACTAGTGTAGGCCTAAACGGTAAAACTCCATTTTAGCATATTTTATTCTCCGCTTCTTGTTTACCTCCAGTTGAGCGTATTTTATTATAATAACCGAAACACACCAAAACATTAGGAAAACACGATTTATTTATTTGTATTGTATTTTTGTTTTGACAAATGAATAAAAATGAATAAAAAACAAAGAGACTGACTTTGTTTTAGATTTTGATAATTTACTTTAATCAAAACATGAGAAAAATCCAAATTTAGAATATTGAATGGGCTATGTTCGTGTGTCAGTTAGAACTTTCATGGCAATGGGTGAAGTACGTAAACGTAACTCACAATTGCAAGGTGGTTAAGTTTGTATACAAGTATCGGTATTTTCGGCCTACTATACTTAACGGACGCCAGCGAGAAAAGTCTCAAAGGTATTTGAGAGGTCCATAAATTAATTTAAAAATCATGCACGGCGTAGTTACAATTAATATGGCTATAAAATCTTGCCTGTCTGGTTTTTTTCGGACTTCACTAAAGATTGGATGTAAGCCCTATTTGATGTTTTTAATATTTTCAGTAAATAAATAAAAATAAAAAAAAAAAGCAAAAACAATTTGGTTTTCAAGTGTAATGGCAACATAAACAATGGCATCCTATTCGATAGGCCGCCATAAATTTTATTGTAAACATTGTAAGCTAAAAAAAGAAAAACTAGGTCATGGTGTTTAAATTTGCATTGTTATTTAAAAACTTCATCTGCAAAGTTCTGTAAACAAAAAAACTATAAAGTGGGGCTGTCAGAAATCGATCACTGAGTTCCTGTACAGCCAATCAACGATTGTCTTACGAAAGTGAATAGGAATGTTGGGATATTTTTCCTAATTATCATAGAATGATAAAATGTACACAGATCAATCCTATAATATACCCCATTGATAAAAATACCAAATTTATCATTCTAGGCCTAATAGTTTTTTTTATATGAATTTTTAAAGTTATGTATTAAAGTTATTAAACTTGTTAGGCCTATATAATATAACACTGTAACATTGGATTTAATTGTGTGATTGGCTTTAGGCTTGTATACCACTGCTGCTATTTGAGATATAATTATAAAACTTTGCACATTAGTGCTAGAGAGTGTGGGCAATAGAAATATGAAAGTAAAATCAAAATTTGATGAAGGATAATTAGAACTAATCAAGTCAAATTAAAGTGAGGGGTGCTGTTCTATATAGGTCAATATGCAGACTGAAAGTTATGTTTTTTTTTTTTATATTAAAATTGAAACTTTGCTAGAGGGTGGGGGCAATAGAAATATAGAAAAAAATTAGATTAAGTATGACTGCATATAATTAAAAAGTCCTATGAAAGGGTGTTGCACCCTTTTATAGTAATTATAGTGACTGCGACAGACATATGTCCAGAATGTTACTATAATAGATAGGATAAATTTGGTGATTGATACTGAAGCATGTAAGTAAATGTAATAAGAAGAATGCTGAAAAATAAAACTAGGGATGGTGTGGTAGAGCACTCAACTACTAACATGCAAGTCTTAAGCTCAGATCTCATACGAGTCTGTGCAGCGTGCAGCATCCACCAAGCTCAGATGAGTACCTGACACAAGGGAAAGTAAAGATAGCTTGGCAGAGAGCTAACCACACCATCACTTCATGTGCAGTGGTCAAGAAACAGATAAATTCTACTTCAGCTGCTTTATGGATGATGGATTGACAGGTCCAAAAGGGAAACTACTTTAATATACTAGGGCCTTTATCAGGCCCTATTGATATTTTGGTAGAACTAATCAATAGAAAAACGTTAAATTCTTGTAAAAGTTTATTAAGCCAAGTGTTAAGTTGTACCACATCAGAAGTTACAGCTTCCCTGTCTATCTGCTTATATGAATATATTGGCAATATGCTGTGATTTAAATCCGTATTGTTTGTTGTTATTTGTTACTTTTTATTATTAAATGTAAAAATTGTATCCTCAATTATTATGAATAATAATTATCATGCCTTTTTCGTGTCATTCTAAATTCACTGCCTTATTAATTTATATAATAATTAGTACCCCCCCCCCCCCCTCCCATGTCAATTGCTGCGCCATTTGTTTATTATTTACTAATGTCATAGGCATAATTATTACAAATAATTAAATAAGTTTATCACCAAGCTTCTTTACTTATCATAACCAATAATAGGCCCAGACTTACTTTATCAATCGATTCATATAGCATTAGTAAGTTATAGAGTCCTTTCATATGACGTCACGTCCGTTCGCGATACCTACGTCCACCGCCACGGTGGTGTACACCAGACGTAAACACAATCAGCTGTTCACCAGCGCTGGACGCGTTCACTGTATGTAAAGAACCGCACCCGCGGAAAAGGAAAAATACGTTAAAAAGCTTGAACTTGGGAATTGAAGATCCTTATACTGTTATTGACCATTTCGTAGATAATATAAATATGTGGCCAAAATTTCTAAATAAAAATACTTTTAATAATACTGTTTTCGTTTAGAGTTTAAGTAGACGAATCTGATCAAATGTAGTTCTCGATACTTTGTTTCAGGTAAGGACAGTAAAATAATAAACTTCATTTTAATTATAAAAGATAACTATTAATAAAACAAATATGCTTGCCCTTCACAAATACTAATAGAAAAAGACAAAGTCAAAAGTAATAATAAGAATAATAAGATTTAATAGTAGGCCTAATAATAGTGTTTTAATATTTAGATCTAGAATCTAGCTCTAAACATGGCGTAAACAAAATTTGGACCACAGATCTAGATTCTGGATTTAGGGTGACTGGCTCCGCTGGGTAGACATAGAATCTAGAATCTACTTCTTTACTTAAATTTAATTACAAAATTTAGATCTACATTCGATTCAAAATACACCCATAATAAATCAAAAGTAGTCATAATAGGCCTAATAAAGCATTTAATTGTCTCTAAGATCTAAAATCTCGCTCTATAATCTAATCATTTTTTTAGCAAACGAAATTTTCTGAAATTGAAATAGATTGTATGACTAGACTTAGATCTAGAATCTGCTACTTAAATTAAATAGTAAAAACTTTATACAAGCATGTAGTTGATATTATTGTAGTAGAAGGCTTTAATAAATTACTAAGGCCTACCTACTTTATAAGTGAGATGGTTTAGAATAATAACAATGGACCCAGTCTACAATTGATACAATTGCAGGTCTACATAGGGCCTACAGTCTAGTAATTTACAGTAGGCACCTAGTGTGTAGCTAGTATACTAGTGTGTAGCTGTCCAGAGTTAAGATTCTTAATGCCTTAATGCTTTCCCCTGATCAGCCATGTGTGCTATAAATGACATAACATGACATCAAGGTGAGAAATGTTGAGGGGAGAGCAGTGGGACTTTCCCCTTTATTCTCCCTGCTGGGCCCTGAGGGTCAAAATTATATAAGAAATACTATCTCTGTGGGGCTGGGTATCACGGAGGTGAGACATTTTCAGGGGAGGGCAGGGCAGACTCCTCTTTGGTTTTATTGTGGGCTAGATACAGGTGGGGGCAGCCATCATGAGGGTTGAACATCAGTATTAATGTGTCTGATCACTTCCCTGCTGGATTATAAGGGTCTTAAATTCTATAACATGCTACCCAGATTGGTTATTACCCATGGATTATATTAGTCGTTGTAGTGTGGGTTTTGTAGGAGTTAAGTGGTCGCACGTTTGCTACAGTAGATAACCTATAATATATTACTGCATTTGATCAGATTCGTCTACTTAAACTCTAAACGCAAACGGTATTACTAACAGTATTTTTATTTAGAAATTTCGGCCACATATTTATATTATCCACGAAACTGTCAATAACTGTATAAGGATCTTCAATTCCTAAGAGTTTAAGTTTTTTAACGTATTTTTCCTTTTCCGCGGGCGCGATTCTTTACATACGGTGAACACGTCCAGCGCTGGTGAACTCGTCTAGCGCTGGTGAACAGCTGATTGTGTTTACGTCTGGTGTACACCACTGTGGCGGCGGGCGTAGGTATCACGTGATTTAGGTCAAGTGTTTGCAAGGACTCTATACTAAGAAATAGGCCTATAACTTATTTATAGTATAAAGTATAATAGTATAATTATTATAATAATTAAGTATAAGCCTTAAATCTAAGTAGATATGTGTGAAATGCTTGACACTAGTTAATGTAAGCCTAAGCTTCTTGCCTGTCCTTTTTAATAGATAACTTGATCAATGTATTTTATCTAGTTTTAACAGTGCTACCCACAATTTAAATTCTTTCCAACTTCGAAAACTACGCCATTGGCATTTGTGCGCGTACTTTATCGATAATAGGTAATGCGGTGCTAAACCGACGCCATGGCGTTGTCAAGGCCGAAGCGCTAGCTCGGGGATTTGATATGTATGATAACTCGTAAGCAGAAGTAGTAAATGCCATAAAACCGTTATTATAATAATATTTGTTTATTACATGGACACTTAAAACTAATGGCAAGACACTTATAATGTGTTTAATACGTAAACTTATTTAAAATGTGACAGCACCGTACGGGACATGTTCGCGAGATAAACTCATTAGAATAGTGAGATCGATTTCGGCTTTAAGATTGTCATAATGGCGGTACTTTTCTAATTGAAACATATAATACGACTACACTAGAATATCTATATCGAATATTTCTAAAAACACGATTCCAACAGTGAGATTCGGCATTCTTTGGAAAATGGCGAGATTTTATAAAGACTGCATCAAAAAGTCCGGACGTGGAATACCGAATCGAAACAGCGGAAGTCGGAATGCCTAAAAGTGAAACATCGGGTTATAACTTAAACTTACTTACTACTTAGGCTTGATTTACTTACTACTTAGGCTTGATGAAAATTAATAGAAATGTAGCCTTAAACTCAACAAATTATTTTCAAGTTATCTGGATCTGCATCTTGTATTGTGTGGTATAGTATTGTAATACATTTATGTAGCCTATACTTTTACTGTCGTCATACGAGAAAGTATTAATAAGTATTAGGCCCTAAGTATAATTATAAGTAATAAGTATTAAGTAAAATTAAAATGTAAAAAGGGTGCTAGGTTACTAGTCTAGGTAATCCCTTAGTTTAGCGTCGGAAATTATCGGGTAATGTTTGTTGAGTTTCGGTAATTAGAGTTACGGTAAACCATGGTTTATTTGACCATTGAAATATAAATAAATTGAAAGTCGATTGTAGTAAATTAATGTTTTAATTTTTTAAGTTTAATCGACAAAAGGAAACAAGAATAAATATAATAGTAGATTTAAATTAGTAGATCTAAAAATAAAAACATGTATAAATATAAATAATGAAGTCAAATGTAATAATTTAATGTTTTTGGCTTGCAGCGGATTTGCGACCATTAATTAATTAAATCTAGATCTAGCTAGATATCTAGCTGCTAGGCCAAGTAAAAAAATCTAGATTACGAAAATAGTAAAAATGATTACAAAATGTAAAAATGATTACAAAAATAAATCTATCCAAATTTTAAACATTCTGTTTAAAAATAAAAGAAGACGCCAAATAAAGTATGGTTTACGGTACTTCCGGTGAATTCCGGAAGTGTGTGACAGACTTTGTTATTGTTTCACTGTTTTTTACTGCTATACGATTCCGGAATAATAACCGACGCTAAACTAAGGGATTACCCTAGTCTAGATCTAATAATAATTAATAGGGCCTATTTGAAATATTATAAGCTCATGGTTGATACATTGAATTGATTACATTTTTACATTCGAACAGTCTCGAGTTCAAACCCACTGGCAGATAAATCTCGATCCCCTTCAACTTCAACACTAATAATATTATTAATTAAGAACGAAGAAGAAGAAGAAAGAAGAAATATTATTACTAGATTAGTTATTATTAATAAAATATGATTAGTTATTAGTCTTATTTATTATTAGGCAATATTAGTATTACCTATACCTAGGCCTACACTACAGAATCTGAATATTTCAACTCTGTATCAAAATCAACAGTCCTGACGCAAGTACTATTTGACACTATTTGTTTGTAGTGGTTTCCCCTTATGTGTATTAATAGATAGAGATCTCCTTCGCGGAAGTGATTACGCTTGTCAACAGTAGACTAAATAAACAACGTAGTTATTTCGATCAACAGCTAACTATATTTGGAAAAAAATATTTGGCCTAATCAAATGTTTTTGGTAAGTGCTTATTGAGGCTAACGATACAGAAAATAACCAAGGTGCTTTTATTAATATCCTCTCACATGATCTCACGGTTTGTTTTAGCTTCTAACTTAAAGGCATATTGATTCTAAATTGGGCGAACGGTAGAGGAAATACGCAATATGCTTAGATCCTCTCACATAATATTTATCCTCTTCGGTGTTTATTTCCTCGTATGAATATGAGAGAATATAAGCGATTGAGTCTTTTTACTTACTTGTATATATGAAGTATAGAGAAAGTCTTGTAATCGTGCAAAAAAAAAAAATCGAGATTTTTACAAATCTCGACGTTTTACACCTCACTGATACGAAAAAACATAATTTTGCAATCTTGTCCGTATGTCTGTGTGTGTATGTGTCTGTGTGTAAACACGATTATTTGAGTACCGTTACAGCTAGGTTGATGAAATTTCATATATAAGTATTTTATCAAAATCGTAGATCCGTATCAACTTTTGAGCGATTTCCGATAACCAGAAGGGTACTTTTTCAACTTTGGATTTTTTCAAAAGCCTATAACTTGAGTACTATTTCAGATAGATAAATGAAATTTCACTTGTAAGTAAAAGATCTAATTCTCTACCTTCTGTCAAATTTTGAGTAATTTCCGTTGACCGGAAGTACTAATTTACGCTATTTCCGATTTCTCAAAAAAAAAACGCACTTAAATTTATAAAGTACTAATAATGTCCCGCACTATTATGCACATTTTATTAGGCGTTCACTTAGTGTGCAATTATTTTTTTTACGAGATTCCATTCTATTATAAAAAGTTTAAGTAATTTTCGGCAAAGTTTTGAGTACAAATTACTAATATTGCAATTCATAATATTTTGTTCTGAAAAAAAATCTTTAATATATTTTCTTTAGACTATCCCTTGCCCTAAGTAAGCCTAACCCCTAATTCTAACCCTAAGTCCAACACTAACCCCTAAGTCTAACACTAACTCCTAAGAGACTTTTCTTCGGGGGGGGGGGTGCACTTGATATATTCGGGAAGGCGGACTAAATGTTCAGGGGTGTTGGGTGCGGACACTGGTTAAAGTATATATTTATACGGACGGATGTGATAGGATGTAAGCACCTTGCATATTTCTTCAGTTGTTTGCCGAAAACTACAGCTAGAGGTCTTTGAATTGGAAGCAAATGCCATTCTTAGAGACAAGTTCAAAGAATGGCGGGTGGGATTTTATAAGTATTTGACCAAGGAAGACTTTCCTAATATAAAACATTTTGCATCAAAGTATCTTGCAAATTTTGAAACAACATACCTGTGTAAACAACAACCATTTTCGAGAATGCATTACTTGAAGAACAATTTGAGAACAAACTAGGACCTCGAGTGTATTTTCGTCCCCCGGCAGTGTTTCTTTCAGACTTTCTTCTAGGAGGGGGGGGGGGGGAGGGCACTTGACATTTGTATATATATATATATATATATATATATATATATATATATATATATATATATATATATATATATATATATATATATATATATATATATGTAAATTATATTTCGTTAGGGAGGGTAGGTGGCAGACGTTCTTAGGGGTGGGGGATGGGAAGAGATGCCTGGAAGAACCTCTGGCCCTCGAACTGATATATTATTTGATACTTAATGCGGCGGAAAAGTTTAGAGACCCCTGGAGTCTAAGCCATGAATGGTGGCAGCCTTAAGGCTTATTATTAGTTATTTTTTAATAATGGTGATTACACATTTTTGCGAAGCCCCCCTTCGCCCCTTTGGATAGCGCTCTAGGCGACCGCCTAGTTAGCCTTAAACTTTAAAGGTTGCCGGCCCTGCCTGAAAGGGACTCAGTATACGACATGGCCCGTAGGTTCAACACCGCCGTCAAAAGTTTTAAAAGATATTAACCCTTTGAGGCCCAAGAGACATATATGTCCCAAATTTTCAAATTATCACCAAACGAAATTTAAATAGCATGGAGTTGTTGAATTTGCTTTAAAACATTTATTACATGATAGGCTTAATATAAATAAGTCTGTTGTCAGTATATATGAGGTAGTTTTGTTGTCGAATTTATGGAACCTTTCCAGTTTTAGACCACTCACAAAGTTGCAGTTTACATTTTTATATAAAAATACTAAGTGTAACAGAAAGAAATTAATGGCGGTTTTTCAAAGGTTTACTATTTAGGTATTATATTTAAATTAGTTTTTCCTAAATAGCTTTGCTTGTTTGCTTTTTTTAATAGTAATTCTTTTTGATTGGGACATATATGTCACTACGGTCCTGAAGGGAGCTAACTTTTTTTTACAATGTCGCTAAGCATGTGTTTTGACATTAGAATGCCAATTGTGGCAGAGCTTTTATTTACCATCACTGAACAAAATACTGTTAATAGACAATAATGACGATGAAAAACACTTGCTTCCAGATGAAAAAGATGTGAATATTTTTTTGTAGAAAAATGTCGACAAAGTAAGTGTAGAAGCTATAATCGAACGACCTGTTCAAGTCCCAGAGCGGATTGTCACCACGACGATAAGGCCTACACCTTATTCTAGTCATTCTGTTTTGCATACATTGCATACATCGTCAATCTCACATGCTATAGCGACTAATATTCCCACTAATCTGCATGGTCGCGCGGCCGCGCAGTACTTTTGAACATCCCGCGCTGTTACTTCGTAAAATAGATGTAACTTTGTATAAGAATTTTAGAGTACAGCGCACAAAAAATACACGATGTACACTAGATTTTTCCCCTTAGAGGGAGCGTCCCCCCCCCCCCCCGATATTACCACCTCCGAGCATTTACACCTCGTCCATTTATGGATAAGTTAGGACTAGGGTTAGGTTAGGACTGGTTTTAGGGTTAAATGTAGGTTTAGAGTTGGAGTTTAGGATTTATGTTAGGGTTAGCTATATGTTTGGATTTTGGGGTTAAGATCAGAGTTCTTCAGCATCGGGGGGGGGGGGGGGTTTGACGGAGTGGTAATGTCCTAGACCCGAAGCTGACACATATCAGTATCATCAACAGAGTTTCTTCCAGGCATCTTTTTACCGCCCCCCGAACGAAATGAAATTTATATAATTTATATAGAAAATATATACTTTTAACAGTGTCCGCCCCCCCCGAAGAAAGTCTACCGCCCCCCCGAAAATTTCAAGTGCCCCCCCGGAGAAAAAAGTCTGGAAGAAACACTGATCATCAATAGAACCAGACTTGCCCAAAACATGAACAACCAAATGTCCTTGTGATAATTGAAAAAGGAGACTGGAGCAAGATAATATTTTCAACTAGAGGCTTCTGAAAACACAGTTTCAAATAAAAGTGTATTGACTATATAGATTTGAAGTAAAAAAGCCATTTATACGTAAATGTGACAAGAATTCAACGCTGGCTACATTGCAAAACCAAGCTTGAATATAAACGAATGATAGCTAGAGTTCTCATCTAGGGATTACATGAAAAAAAAATCACCTCAATGACAAGACCTGGTCGTAAAGGCAAGACGTTCACTTCAACCTCACAACCTGAGCAGAAGTCGATAAATCAAAAGAAGAAAAATGTAGGAGTTATAATACAATGTGCAACAGAAAAGATTGAGAACAGAGCGGGAAATATGTGTGATGTCTGCCATGTTCGCATGTGTTACATAACCTCACGTGACTGCTTCCAAAAGCTCCATTCATAGATGACTATACACTCATAAAGGACATAAATGTTTTATCATTACTGATATTTTTAATTTCTAATGTACCAGATCAACAAACAAACGTTTGATCACTTTTACAATAAACATATAGACATAACTCACAACGCAATCTATTTTCGATAATTTCCCTTGATGCCCATAGGGACATATATTTCCCATGATGTATCTCAAAAACTATTTAAGATATCGGAAAAGGGTTAACATTTTTAAAATCTACGGGTCATTTTACTACTAAAAGTGTGCACAGATATTTGAAATTATGCGAGCAATTTTGTGGTGCTGAATGGGTTAAGGACAAAAAACAAAAAAGCAGTTCAAAATGTAACTTACAAACCAGCACCTTTACTTTTATTCGCCTTTAAAAGCAAATAACGATAGGAGAATTCAACTATAAACAATCTGGCAATGTCGCTGTCAGACATGGCTGCCTCCTGTAAAACCAGAATCTAGCCTTTGTTATTAATTTATAGATCTAGTAATAGTGTTTTGGACTTTTTGTTTGTTATGAAGTTTCTTATTTTCCAAGAGAGAACGGTTTAGGCCAATGATATGTCTGTTACAGACATAGAGAGCCTCATTACAATGAGCAGGTAGGCAATAAAAATAAACGGTAATCTATCGTTTTGGGTACGTAAAATCGCCCGCGGCTATTAATGAACGAAAACGTTACCTCATTGTCATGGCTTTAATAGAAGTATATTGTGATATGTTTGTGTCAAATATTATAGATAAATGGGTAAAATCTTAGTTTAGCGTCGTAAATTCGGCCAAAACTAGTAATGTAGGAGAGAGTGAATTAATGAATATGTCGTTAAATATGAGTATATTTTCGTATATTTTGATAAAATATTATAAATAATTAAATAATAAATCACTATTAATGGTTAAATCAATTTAAATATCCTGAAATTAATTTTTATCAACCCTGTTCGAGATAGTAAATTTGCTATTAAAAACAGCCGCCATCTTAAGAAAAAGTAATTTAGAGTAGCTTCCCTTTCATTTCTATTCGTATGAAAATGTACTTAAATATGATTGTCTTGTTGTATAGTCCGTATTACAAAGCATTTTTTTTTAAAATTCTGCTCTTTAAAAACTGAATTTCCTAACAAACAACTTTATTAATTCTAGAAGCATTGTGAGATGCAACCTGTATCCATGTATTAAATCACGTTTTTTTTTAAACTAATGTTTATTAGATCTTACTATTACTATATAGTTTGAGTTTTTTCTTATTGTTTGAATGTTCACTATTTTCATTTCAGGTTTTTCTTTTCAATCGTAACTTATGACATTTTTTTTACTTCTCTTTACCTTAATTAAACCCCAACCACCGTCATATTTTTGTTGTCAATGTCACAACAAGTCATAATGTAAAAAAATTACGCTTCACTCTGCCTTATCTAAGATCTCTAACCATAATTTTGACAGCATTAAATGTTTGTCATCATTTATATATACAGAGAGACAAAATGTATTATCCACCAGCTTCCCTCGTAAAACATCATCTAAAACAATGAACCAGTCCACCCCTTAAAGTGTGTGTTGTCATTTTGGTCGATCGCAAGTCTTCACCTGCCAGACACATTTAGGCTATCCTTTGTTGTCAAAATGTCAATATCAAGTACCCAAGTGAGTAATATGGGGTTGTCCATAAATGATGTCACATATGATTTGCTACGGGAGTGAGTGAAAATTTGTGACGTCAACTCTGGCGGCTCCGCAATTTATGACGTGTCGGTCTCATGAAAGTAGGTGAACGGGGAAAAATACCTAGGTGGTTGATGGAGAACCTCTATAATGCTTTGTTCGATCAAAATAACGATAAATAAGCATTAGTATACGTATACCTTGCTCAAAACGAATCATCACAAATGTTGCAAGCCTGCTAGTTTAAGACATTTGGCAAAACGGCCTCAACACATTATCCCCGTCAAAAAGGCTTGCCACCAAATGCCTGCCGACGAATAAGCCGCGTCTAATGCGGGGCGTTAGGAATATGGCCATTAGCATGGGCCGCGTTAGAGCACCAGTAGGCTATCGCGCTTTGTAAGATGTCGTAAATACTTTAATTCAATTTCGCGAAACTGCGCGAAAATTTAGTAACGTTCCATTGTTTAAGGAAATTTATTTTCTTGGGCTCAAATTGAAATATCATGTTGACTGTCTGGCTCTTAATTTCAGAATATCACTTTTAATGTATCATGATTCAGAACTATAATTTACTTTAATATAAGTGTCATCTTATCGTTTATTGTGCTTTTTATAAAGCGCAGAGCAGCTACAAAATCGGACGGCCATCCTGGTTTCACCAAGCTTCTTTTGGAGCTTAATATGTGTAGTCTAGTTCTATACGGTGAGAGCTTAATACATTTTTAAAGGGCCGAAAGTCTCAAGACAGCAAGCTTGCAGAAATAACCACGTATGTTTAAATGAACGAGTGATAGATATGTTAGGGGCTGTTTAATTGAACACCAACATATGTAATCAAATTAAATCTCGCATAAGTGTCAAAAAGGCAGTGCTTGTTTTTTTCTATAAAATTAGCCTAACGGTCGGCGGTACCGGTACATGACGTCACGTGCGAGCGTTAACTCGGTGACGATGTGCTAAGTGGGGGAATGAAAAAGGAGGGGTTCAAGAAATGCGACTCGGCAAGCTTTTTACATTTTTTGACCCTTCTTAATAGTTCTATCGTCCCCACTGAGAAAATGGATCACCAATGAATGACGCTTCATACTTCTACAGCTGGTCTTTCTCCCACAACCATCCCCTGTTTTCACGAAAAAAAAACCCTGACCCGTCTCCAAAATCACATCGCTGAGTTCTACTCAACCTCTCCCCACCACAAAACACAATTTCTATATGAAACAATATGTTCATATGTTTGCTCTTTAATAATGCACGCTGTCATTACTATCTTAAGAGCGACGTCATTTATGAGCGATCTAATATTGATTTGCTTACTGCAAATAAAGTGTTCAAAAGTTCGACCTCCCAACAATTGTTGTGGTCTTGGATGCACACTATTAAGTCTGAAAAGGTCTATTAGTCATTTATGTCAACTATATTTAAAAAAAAAAAGAAAAATTACTATACAGAGGGTCATTCATAAATGACGTCACGCTTTTTTAACCTCCCCCCTCCCCTCCGTCACACGTCGTCACAAAAAGCCAGACCCCCCCCCTAAAATGACGTCACACCTCAGCCTACAAATCCCCCCCCCCTCAAAATTGCAGTTGAATTGTTTTTAAACAGCTATATTTTTCCAAAATCTTGTCTGAACTCTGTCAAAATAGAGTATTTTAATCAATTGTTATTACAATGTATTAAAACAGTTTTCTAAAACGCAAAATAACGTATAAAATTCGTTTTCTAACATTGCTTTTTTAAAATGCAAAAGTGTGACGTCGCACCATCTGAACCCCCCCCCCCCTCTCCCCCTCATCACACAACGTCACAAAATTACGGACCCCCCCTACGAATGTGACGTCATTTATGGACGACCCCCAGGCATATATTAAAACAATACAAAACAATCATATTAAACCACAAAATCAACACAAAATACATACGAATAGACAATTTATTGTTTTCAAAACATGGCCGCAGCTTGTATTTCCTCATTGTTGTCTCAAACGGGGTAGTTTAAAGTTTATTCCAGGATATTTATGACTGGTTTGGTAATGGATTGTGATTTGTTATTCAATTATCTGTTATATTATGTAAAATATGACATAAATATGGCCAAATGAAAGAAATATTCATTAGTTACCTTCATCGCACATTACTAGCTACGTTGGAATTTACGACGCTAAACTAAGATTTTACCGATAAATGAATAATAAACCTAAATCAATGGCTAAATATTAAATAATAAATATATTAGCGAGGCTCACTAACTTGAAAGCGTCCATGGTTGCTAACCAGTAGTCTAACCAGAACAATGAACATGGCTACCTCACCTTGGCCTACGATTGGGCATGTCTAGCATGCGTGATATGTGAACTTAAAAAAAAATTACCAGAAGTAGCGAAGAAGGTCTGTTTTTCAATTTGCTTGAAGTAGGGGGGGGGGAAGAGAGAGAGAAGTGAAGACACCGACGATCTCGTGTACGCGTGTTCATTCTATGACGTGTACTATAGGCCTTCTGAACTCACAGTGACCCACGACCGTGGTGGGATTTTTCAACTACAGGACAGTAAATGTAAGCAAGCAATCAAGCGAGTGTCAATGTTTGGAGATTTTATTTTTAACAAAAATCACACGTCATGTTTTCAAGATGAAAATAAAAATGTAATGTAAAAAAAAGACACGAATACCGTGTATGAACTTCAGCTGACACACTGTTGACTCAATATAATGTGTAGGCCCTATTGAGTGTAAAATGTATTTGTATTTATAGACTATTATAACTATTACTATCATATTATTTTAAGCATATTTAAAATTAGAATTTGAAATAAAAATATTTATTGTGGTCATTTGTTTTATGCAAGTGTTCATTATTTCATAAAATGGTATGAATAACATGTAGAGTAGAATTTGTAATGTATATTTTCCTTTACTAATTCAATAAATAACTAGATCTAGTTTTATTATCAACCAGTTGTTTTTTGTTATTTTCCGGTGAGTAAATAACCTAAGTTGACACAATTACCATGGTGGGATTTAAAACCCCGTGTACACAAGTTCATGTCTTCCTGTTATGGCGGCAGGGGGGCAAGAACGTGGTTTTCGCTTTCATTTTCCATTCTAGGATAATTTTCAAATTCTATCTTTTCTCGTCAACTGAGTAAGCTAGATATTTAAATGTGGTGTCAAATGTTCTCTTAAGGGGTAAGGAACTTAATGGTGTATTTGAAATAACAATATTTAATTTTCAAAATCCATAATTAAAACTATAATCTATCTTCTTAGGTACGTAAAATCGCCCGTGACTAGTAATGTGAAAACCAGGTGACTCCTTAAATTTTAATAATTATTTCACATTTTCAGGAGGATTTATGTTTTGAAAAATACAAAAATGTTTCCAGGTTCCTTGTTTTATTTATGTAAATGTTTTTAAACAGTTGAATTAAAACTTTTCAGTTATAAATGAAGACTAGCGATGTTTCTAACAGATGCAACCATGCTCATTTACTATAGCAGCCATCTTTTATATTTTTTTTATTGTAAACTTATAGCGCAAGATTCAGGGGAAGCCACTCTAACTTACGGATGGCCGCTTTTTATATAACAAATCCTGCTCGCAAACACTGCTGTTTAAAGATAATTTCTTGCCTATATTCAACTATATTGATATATTTAGCCATTGATTTAGGTTTATTATTCATTTATCTATAATATTTTACACAAATATATCACAATATACTTCTATTAAAGCCTTGACAATGAGGTAACTTTTTTGTACATTACTAGCCGTGGGCGATTTTACGTACCTAAAAGGATAGATTACCAAAATAAATAATCAATCAAATAAAAATAAAATTTAAAAAATAAGGGCCAAAATTTGAAAATAAAAATTGTGATTTCTAGTGTGAGAGGTTGAGTACTTCAGCTATGGGATTTTGCTACACGTCAGGTTTTTTTTTTGTGGTGAAAACTGGGAATGGTTGTGGGAGAAAGACCAACCGTCATTCATTGGTGATCCATTTTGTCAGTGGGGATGATAGAACTATTAGGAAGGATCAAGTAATGTAAAAAGCATGCTGAGTCACATTATCTTGAACACCCACCTTTTCATCCCCCAGTACCGCCGACTGTTAGGCTAATTTTCTAGAAAAGAAAAAAAAACAAGCAATGCTGTTTTAACTCTTATGCAACATTTAATTATTTTACTTATGTTGGTGTTCAATTAAACAGCCCCTCATCCCACCCCTCACTCGTCCATTTAAACGTACGTGGTTATTTGTGCAAGCTTGCTGTCTTGATACTTTCAGCCCTTTAAAATTATGGTTAATTAATTAATCTGATCTATTATTATAAGCAGCATTATAAAGACCGCATCTGTCTTTAATATTGGTTAATGGAGCAGTTATTGTTATATATTCCATTGATTACATGTACAGTCGTTACTTTGAATTAATGTTTAAAGTACTAAACAATTATATTAGCCATGTAGTTGCTGCAACTATAATAAAAATTGGCTTATAGACATATTTTACCAAAAATGTTATATATATTATAATTAACCCTGTTATATTTTCAGCCAATGGTGTTTCTAAATAGCCCAAATTTTGAACATTTATCATACAGAGGGTGTTTTTTTTTTTACTTTTTTCAAGAATAATTATAGAAATAAGATATATTTAAGTATATTTTGTACAGTTTGACCTAATTATAAAAAAGCTTTAGTTTTGGTCACACTTCCAGTCCATGTAATCTGTTGTTGTCTTCTAACTGTAAGGACAATGTCCAGTCCATGTAAACTGTTGTTGTCTTCTAACTGTAAGGACAATGTCCAGTCCATGTAAACTGTTGTTGTCTTCTAACTGTAAGGACAATGTCCAGTCCATGTAAACTGTTGTTGTCTTCTAACTGTGAGGACAATGCCCGTTTTATAACTACTTGCATTAACTTCACTGCAGGTCATATTTTTAGCGCAATTTCCATACTAGACAATTGCGATTATTAACTCGTCATTTCTGGATGGATGAATGAATGAATGGATGTGTGTCCGCAGCTTTAACTCGTATCTCCTCCTCAACGAAGCAATATCGAGGACTAGTTCCAAAGCAAATATGTTAAGCAAGTTTCGAGGATGATTGTGGGCCAAAAAAATTCCCGGAATTCCTTCCTGGATTTCCCGGAAAAGCCAAAAAACCTCGAAAAAATGCAGTTTTTTGCCCATATCTCGACAACCAGACCACTTAGCGACTTGAAACATTTACCAATCGATTCCTGCCATAATTTAGAACAATATTGCCGAAGAAAGTTTTCAAAAATATCCTTTCGTTCGGTCACAAAAATTAATTAAGAATTTTTAAACTGAGCATCGTGTAGGCCTAGGATGATATTTTTAATTTAAACTGAGCATCATGTAGGTTTTTAGCGCAAAAAAATATCCTTTCTTTCATAAAAAATTAAAAATTGTTATGGATAACATAAGGAAATTGCGCTTAAATTGTCACTAGACTTTTTATTAACTTGTTTTTATTTAGGTTCCCAAGCTTTGCCTCCTACCTGCCCTTGGTTTTATATCTACCATTGGGCATAGCGCTAGCTGTGGTCAGGCTCTTCATATTTCTTCATGTAGCCTTGCTCTTCTACATCCTCCCCACCAGCTTCCCATTTAAAAGGTAAGCTTCACTGGTACATTCAGGTTTTGCTAAGGTAAGCTTCACTGGTACATTCAGGTTTTGCTAAGGTAAGCTTCACTGGTACATTCAGGTTTTGCTAAGGTAAGCTTCACTGGTACATTCAGGTTTTGCTAAGGTAAGCTTCACTGGTACATTCAAGTTTTCCTAAGGCAAACTTTACTGGCACATTCAAGTTTTCCTAAGGTAAACTTTACTGGCACATTCAAGTTTTCCTAAGGTAAACTTTACTGGTACATTTAAGTTTTCCTAAGGCAAACTTTACTGGCACATTCAAGTTTTCCTAAGGTAAACTTTACTGGTACATTCAAGTTTTCCTAAGGCAAACTTTACTGGCACATTCAAGTTTTCCTAAGGTAAACTTTACTGGTACATTTAAGTTTTCCTAAGGGCAGATTTAACTAAAATATTTTTTTCCTGTGTCATATTGATGATAATGCTGTCAGTAACTAAAATATTTTTCCAGTAATTAAAATATTTTTTCCAGTGTCATATTGAGGATAATGCTGTCAGTAACTAAAATATTTTTCCAGTGTCATATTGAGGATAATGCTGTCAGTAATTAAAATATTTTTCCAGTAATTAAAATATTTTTTCCAGTGTCATATTGAGGATAATGCTGTCAGTAACTAAAATATTTTTCCAGTGTCATATTGAGGATAATGCTGTCAGTAACTAAAATATTTTTCCAGTGTCATATTGAGGATAATGCTGTCAGTAACTAAAATATTTTTCCAGTGTCATATTGAGGATAATGCTGTCAGTAATTAAAATATTTTTTCCAGTGTCATATTGAGGATAATGCTGTCAGTAATTAAAATATTTTTCCAGTGTCATGTTGAGGATAACGCTGTCAGTAATTAAAATATTTTTTCCAGTGTCATATTGAGGATAATGCTGTCAGTAACTAAAATATTTTTCCAGTGTCATATTGAGGATAACGCTGTCAGTAATTAAAATATTTTTCCAGTGTCATATTGAGGATAATGCTGTCAGTAACTGGTCTTCCCATCTCAACTCATGGAATTCCACATCCAGCCAAAAGGAACATTCTAATAGCCAATCATATAACAAATTTGGATCCATTTATTTTAGCTGTGCTCTACCCACATATTTTGGTAAGTATAAAACAAAAATAAAACTACTCTAAATCTTGCAACAATGGGCTGCATCCACCCTAGTTAAAACAAAAATAAAACTACTCTAAATCTTGCAACAATAGGCTGCATCCACCCTAGTTAAAACAAAAATAAAACTACTCTAAATCTTGCAACAATAGGCTGCATCCACCCTAGTTAAAACAAAAATAAAACTAATCTAAATCTTGCAACAATGGGCTGCATCCACCCTAGTTAAAACAAAAATAAAACTACTCTAAATCTTGCAACAATAGGCTGCATCCACCCTAGTTAAAACAAAAATAAAACTACTCTAAATCTTGCAACAATAGGCTGCATCCACCCACGCCACAGTAATGGGTATCAGTCAGCCCCATCAGTTTTTCCATGGTATCTAAAGTATCATTTTCAGTTGATTAGAATTGGAGTTTTTCCATGGTATCTAAAGTATCATTTTCAGTTGATTAGAATTGGAGTTTTTCCATGGTATCTAAAGTATCATTTTCAGTTGATTAGAATTGGAGTTTTTCCATGGTATCTAAAGTATCATTTTCAGTTGATTAGAATTGGAGTTTTTCCATGGTATCTAAAGTATCATTTTCAGTTGATTAGAATTGGAGTTTTTCCATGGTATCTAAAGTATCATTTTCAGTTGATTAGAATTGGAGTTTTTCCATGGTATCTAAAGTATCATTTTCAGTTGATTAGAATTGGAGTTTTTCCATGGTATCTAAAGTATCATTTTCAGTTGATTAGAATTGGAGTTTTTCCATGGTATCTAAAGTATCATTTTCAGTTGATTAGAATTGGAGTTTTTCCATGGTATCTAAAGTATCATTTTCAGTTGATTAGAATTGGAGTTTTTCCATGGTATCTAAAGTATCATTTTCAGTTGATTAGAATTGGAGTTTTTCCATGGTATCTAAAGTATCATTTTCAGTTGATTAGAATTGGAGTTTTTCCATGGTATCTAAAGTATCATTTTCAGTTGATTAGAATTGGAGTTTTTCCATGGTATCTAAAGTATCATTTTCAGTTGATTAGAATTGGAGTTTTTCCATGGTATCTAAAGTATCATTTTCAGTTGATTAGAATTGGAGTTTTTCCATGGTATCTAAAGTATCATTTTCAGTTGATTAGAATTGGAGTTTTTCCATGGTATCTAAAGTATCATTTTCAGTTGATTAGAATTGGAGTTTTTCCATGGTATCTAAAGTATCATTTTCAGTTGATTAGAATTGGAGTTATTTCAAATAAAACAATGTTGGCACTACATTTCTTGGATCTTAGCTGTTGGGCATGGGTTTGTCTAGACTATGACCTAGACACTGAAGGTGTGCTGTGTGAAAACTTTGAGTGTGCATTGATCATTCTCAGCCAGGATGAGGTAGAACAGCCACTGGCTGGCCAGGTGTCCTGGGTATAGAAGGGGGCATGTATGTATACTATCTCCTTGGGCACTACCTACTGATCTGTTCTGATTCAGTCATTAAGCCCACCATATTGCTACTGTAGGGCATTCATTAAAATGAATATAAGAACCATAAAGCTCATGGGGAAAGACCTTGGCTCTCAGCGTGACATGGCCGCTAGGGTGATGAAAGGTATGCCTGGTCTAGAGGACACCCCTGGTGCAGTTTGATCCCCTGTGCAGGAACGGCCAATCAATGGGACCCCGGGTGTGAGGGTAACCACTACGGATCTTGTGGCACCCACTGCACACAAGCACCATCATCGTGGGGCCGCCAGACAAATCTTTTCCCATTTATGCAGGGGCCGCCAGACAAATCTTTTCCCATTTATGCAGGGGCCGCCAGACAAATCTTTTCCCATTTATGCAGGGGCCGCCAGACAAATCTTTTCCCATTTATGCAGGGGCCGCCAGACAAATCTTTTCCCATTTATGCAGGGGCCGCCAGACAAATCTTTTCCCATTTATGCAGGGGCCGCCAGACAAATCTTTTCCCATTTATGCAGGGGCCGCCAGACAAATCTTTTCCCATTTATGCAGGGGCCGCCAGACAAATCTTTTCCCATTTATGCAGGGGCCGCCAGACAAATCTTTTCCCATTTATACAGGGGCCGCCAGACAAATCTCTTCCCATTTATGCAGGGGCCGCCAGACAAATCTCTTCCCATTTATGCAGGGGCCGCCAGACAAATCTCTTCCCATTTATGCAGGGGCCGCCAGACAAATCTCTTAGCACATATGGGATCCTTCAGTCTGATGTTGTATGGCCTTGATGATTTGAACGGGGTCAGTTGTATGGCTAGCACATATGGGATCCTTCAGTCTGATGTTGTATGGCCTTGATGATTTTCTCTGGACACTAGCAGCAAAGAGTGAGAGTACTCAACTAGTCCAAGTTTTATCCCAGGATTGGTGTACACAAGACTGACCACAAACAAAAACTGACAAGCACACATTCATTTTTATCACATTAAGCTAATGGAAACAATCATTTGTTCATTACCACTCTGTAAGCATTTAAGGAAAGAATAAATATTTATAACAGAAGGCTGTTTTAAATTTTTCTCAGTAACTTAGATTTTTTCTAATGAATGATATTTTTATTTCAACTACCCTTGAAGTTAAATGTATTATTTGTTCTAATAAAATTTGTAATGAAATAAAATTGTTTTAGGCAGTAGAAGGTCCGTTCTTATCATCAGTCTTGTACTCCATATTCTCCAAGAAGTGTGCTTTACCTGCAGACAAAAACCACAGTGATATTCTTGTGCTGCTTAAAGACACAATAAGAGGTACATTTTTTTGACTTGCTTGGTACCCTAAAACATTTTAACATTTTTACTATGGTGCTATATGTCTTGCTTGTCCCTTCTTTACTGTAGTGGTGTCATCATACTTGTCACTTCTTTACTAAGGTGTCCTGGGTATAGAAGGGGGCATGTATATATGTATATATATGTATATATATGTATATATATGTATATATATGTATATATGTGTATATATGTATATATGTATGTATATGTATATTTGTATATATGTATATATATGTAAATATGTATATTTGTATATATGTATATATATGTAAATATATATATATGTATATATATGTATATATATGTAAATATATGTAAATGTATATATATGTATATATATGTAAATATATATATATGTATATATATGTATATATGTAAATATATATATATGTATATATATGTATATATGTAAATATATATATATATGTATATATGTAAATATATATATATATGTATATATGTAAATATATATATATATGTATATATATGTATATATGTAAATATATATATATGTATATATATGTATATATGTAAATATATATATATGTATATATATGTATATATGTAAATATATATATATGTATATATATGTATATATGTAAATATATATATATGTATATTTATGTATATATGTAAATATATATATATGTATATATATGTATATATGTATATATATGTATATATGTATATATATATATATATGTAAATATATATGTATATTATATGTATATATATATATGTATATTATATGTATATATATATGTAAATATATATGTATATATATGTATATATGTATATATATGTATATATGTAAATATATATGTATATATGTAAATATATATGTATATATGTATATATATGTATATATGTATATATATGTATATATGTATATATGTATATATATATGTATATATGTATATATATATATATATACGTATATATGTACGTATATGTGTACGTATATGTGTACATATATGTGTACGTATATGTACATATATGTGTACATATATGTACATATATGTACATATATGTACATATATGTACATATATGTATATATATATATATGTATATATGTATATGTGTATATGTATATATCTATACGTATATGTATATATCTATACGTATATGTATATATCTATATGTATATGTATATGTCTATATGTATATGTATATATCTATATGTATATGTATATATCTATATGTATATGTATATATCTATATGTATATGTATATCTATATGTATATGTACATATATATATATATATATATGTACATATATATGTACATGTATATATATGTACATGTATGTATATGTACATGTATGTATATGTACATGTATGTATATGTACATGTATGTATATGTACATGTATGTATATGTACATGTATGTATATGTACATGTATGTATATGTACATGTATGTATATGTATATGTGTATGTATGTGTGTATGTGTGTGTATATGTGTATGTGTATATATGTATATGTATGTGTATATATATATATATGTGTGTATATGTGTATGTATGTATGTATATGTATGTGTATATATATATATATGTGTATATATATATATGTATGTATATATATATGTATATATATATATATATATATATATATATATGTATATATATATATATATATATATATGTATATATATATATATGTATATATATATATATATGTATATATATGTATATATATGTATATATATATATATATATATATATATATATATATATATATATATATATATATATATATATATATATATATATATATATATATATATATATATATATATATATATATATATATATATATATCGGTACCCGTATCACGTTAATTAAAGTCCTAAATATTTTAAAATGATGTACTTGTTTAAGTCAAATAATTTATGAAATAGTTACTGGTCAAAACACAATGTGCTTTACTACACGCTAAACAATATTAGTGATAAAGCAAAGAAATAACTAATTAGCTAAAAATCGGACACATTTAACATAACACAGACACACACTGATTAAGTGACAAATGATTCCGTTAAAATTCTGGCTATTCAATGGTCATTATGTTGTTTTTAAGTAATTTGTATTAGTCTAAAAGCGGAAGATTCGCATATAAAAATAATTATAAATTAAGCTTGACTTGGTGTGTCTCGATCCCGCACCACCTGCGTGGTATTAAGTACACTATCATCTCAGCTATTTAGGCACCTTATATAACATGAAGAATGAAAGACGTATTTAAAAATTTAACTTGCACGAATATGCCTATTCTTTCAAATTATTTTTTTTTAATCCCAAATTAGCCAGTTTCATAACTAAACAAACAAAGATTTCTATAAAATAATTAAGGCCTGAAATAGTTTAATACAGAAATTTATTTTTGGAATAGAGTCTAAATCTAATTTTTTTGAGATAAACGATTTGTGACCAAGACTATCGATATATTAATATAAATAAATAAATATATATATAATTTATATATGTATGTGTATATATATATGTGTGTGTGTATATATATGTATTTATATAAGTATATATATTACTGTTGATAAGACAAAGATTTCAATGTTATCTACTCCTTAGAGAATGATGCTCCTCTTTTATTTTTTCCTGAAAGGATAAAATCAAATGGCAAAAACAAGTTGTTAAAGTTTAGGTAAATTGTATGCTTGGTGTTGATTGTGTGAAGATGCCTGAGTTGACTGTGTGAAGTTAGCATATCATAGTGTTAATTTTGTGAAGTTAGCTTAGTTTTGACTGATTGTATTAATGAAGGCAGCCATTGAATATTGTCACATTTGATTACTTTTAGTATTCTTCCATTTGAAGTGGATACTCCCATTCAGCCTGTAAGTCACACTTTATCTTTAGACAGTTTTAAACTTGATAGAAAACCTTAAAGTATAAATCTGTCAGATTTGGTCTGAAATTTTTTTTCCCAAACTATTCAGATTGTTATTCAAGCACATAGATATATTTTTGACATCAATATTGTAAGTACTGTATTTGTTAGTCAATTTTGTCTGTACTTTGCTTGCTCAGCCTGAAGTGTTCTGATTGAATCCTTAACTAAGTTAGAATGAGCTTCAAGTGACTGTTGAATCCATGCAGCAGGTTGATCAGTCCACTCCCAATTTATTTTCTTCTCCCCAGTCGACCCACAAGAGCTCTGTGTACACAGATTTACTCTGGTGTTTCATCCTGCCAGTCAGCCTTTTTACAGTCAAGTGAGTTGAACTTTAACCCAGTTCTAATGGTTCACCATTTGCACAATATACCAATCCCTAGATTTTTGCCTGTGACATTGGTTCAATCCCTAGATTTTTGCCTGTGACATTGGTTCAATCCCTAGATTTTTGCCTGTGACATTGGTTCAATCCCTAGATTTTTGCCTGTGACATTGGTTCAATCCCTGGATTTTTGCCTGTGACATATTGGTTCAATCCCTAGATTTTTGCCTGTGACATATTGGTTCAATCCCTAGATTTTTGCCTGTGTCATATTGGTTCAATCCCTAGATTTTTGCCTGTGACATATTGGTTCAATCCCTGGATTTTTGCCTGTGACATATTGGTTCAATCCCTAGATTTTTGCCTGTGACATATTGGTTCAATCCCTAGATTTTTGCCTGTGACATATTGGTTCAATCCCTAGCTTTTTGCCTGTGACATATTGGTTCAATCCCTAGATTTTTGCCTGTGACATATTGGTTCAATCCCTAGATTTTTGCCTGTGACAGAGAGAAAGAAAGATGAAAGCACAGCTGAGTTTACCAGTAGAGTTGAGTCGAACATGGCCAAAAGTTTAGGAGTCAGCACATCAACTTCTGGTCACCATGAGGTCACACAGTTCCTCAAAAATAAAGCAAACATTGGTAAGTTTGCATGTCCACAAGTGTTCACCATTATGTCACAGACACATTTTTGAGTGAATTTTTTTATAGTAATGCCATTTTTTACTTTCTCGTATATACGAAGTATAGAGAAGGTATTGTAATCGTGCAAAAAAAAAAAATCGAGATTTTTACAAATCTCGACGTTTTACATCTCACTGATACGGAAAAACATAATTTTGCAATCTTGTCCGTATGTCTGTCTGTGTGTCTGTCTGTGTGTGTGTAAACATGATAACTTGAGTACCGTTACAGCTAGGTTGATGAAATTTCATATATAAGTATTTTATCAAAATCGTAGATCCATATCAACTTTTGAGCGATTTCCGATAACCAGAAGTGGTACTTTTCCTACTTTGAAATTTTCAAAAGCCTATAACTTGAGTACTATTTCAGATAGATAAACGAAATTTCACATGTAAGTAAAAGATCTAATTCTCTACCTTCTGTAAAATTTCGAGTCATTTCTGTTGAACAGAAGTAGTAATTTACGCTACTTCCGATTTCTCAAAAAACTAATGTAAATTTTTAAAGTACTAATAATATTGCGCACTATTATGCACTTTTTTATTTAGCGTTCACTTGGTGTGCAATTCTTTTGTCTACGAGATTTTATTCTATTTTTAAAACTGTAAGTATTTAAAATGGATTAAAAATCATGTCTATAGCCCGAGTTCCCATCCCCTGTTATTTTATATAAAAATATTCGAGAAAGTTTAGGGGAGATTACTCCCGGTTTATTAATACAAATGATTAAAATAATTAAGAATAACAATAATGCTTCTTCATTTGCTTAGTAAAAAACTATTTAATTAAGCTTTATGATTACATACAGGCCTGTCGTTTAGGTGTGTAGTAATGTGCAAAAAAGTTGCTTCATTGTTAAGGCTTTAATATAAGTATATTGTGATAAATTTGTGTAATGATAAACCAAAATCTATGACTAAATATATCAATATAGGCAAGAAATAAACTTTAAACAGCAGTGTTTGTGAGCAAGATTTGCTATATAAACAGCGGCCATCTTTAAATTAGAGTGGTTTCCCCTGAATCTCTAACTATAATTTTACCAAACAAAAAAATTAAACAAGATTGCTGCTAAAGTAAATGAACTTGGTTGCATCTGATGAAAACATCGCTAGTCTTAGCTAGTCACTAGGTACATGAATGAAACTTAAAAAATTTTGTGTAACTTTCAAAGCATAAATCCTCCTAAAAATGTGAAATAATTATTAAAATTTAATGAGTCACCTTTTTTTCACATTACTAGTCTCGGCAGATTTTACGTACCTAAAACGATATATTACCATTTCTAGATTAAGCTTAGAGACAAATTATATATAACTAGAGTTTAACTAAACACTATACCTATGCTTGTATGTGTGCTACTATGTATAATTTCATTAGACTTTATTTTTATTTTCGACTTCGTAAAGTAGCATCTGCAAGTATGTTCCTCTTCAAATTCCTCTTTTGGTCTAAGTGGTCCTACTTTTGGTTGCCAGGAGTAGGCATGTCTGAGGTTATTTAAAAAAGTCAGTGATGGAAGTAGTTGCTTGGAACGTTTGCCTATCTCTAACACTAGAGCTGATGTAGATGTTAACACTAGAGCTGATGTAGATGTTGTTAACACTAGAGCTGATGTAGATGTTGTTAACACTAGAGCTCATGTAGATGTTGTTAACACTAGAGCTCATGTAGATGTTGTTAACACTAGAGCTCATGTAGATGTTGTTAACACTAGAGCTCATGTAGGTGTTGTTAACACTAGAGCTCGTGTAGGTGTTGTTAACACTAGAGCTCATGTAGGTGTTGTTAGCACTAGAGCTCATGTAGATGATGTTAACACTAGAGCTCATGTAGATGATGTTAACACTAGAGCTCATGTAGATGTTGTTAACACTAGAGCTCATGTAGATGTTAACACTAGAGCTGATGTAGATGTTAACACTAGAGCTCATGTAGATGTTGTTAACACTAGAGCTCATGTAGATGTTGTTAACACTAGAGCTCATGTAGATGTTGTTGGCACTAGAGCTCATGTAGATGTTGTTAACACTACAGCTCATGCAGATGTTTATGCTCTACACTAGTGTGTTTTAATTACTGTAGCATAATCACTACTGCAATAGATTTTTTGCATTTGGGTTTTTTCTTTTTACAAAACCACTACCAAGTTGTACAGTATGAGGAAAAAAAAAATTTTTTTTTTTCTCATCCAGCTGTAGAGGTCGGTGAGAGATCCAAGTGTCAAGTCACTGGTCAAGTTGATCCTGAACTAGAGAGGATGTTTGGCCAAGTCAAGGACGTCTTACCCGACACCCCCACACACCTTATTTGGTTTCATTTAAGTAAGTTGTTGTTTCTTCAAATCTCTACCTGGTTTTACTGGTTTTACCTGCTCATGTAGAAACAATGGTTGACCAATGGAAGCCCACACAAGCCAATGATTTTCTTTTATCAGAACAAACCAAGGATGTGGACACAACAATAACAAACATATTGGAAGGGAAAGACACAGCTGAGGCCTGCCCTTTAGTGAGTTAGTTTTTATATTACATTGAAAGGGGCTGCCACTTGTTTAAAGGGTAGCCTGACAGTGACAGCAAAGTAGGGTTACATGAATTTTTCCCATTAAAATCTCGAGCAACTCTAAACTTAACAGATAATAGAAGAATGTGTTTTCTTTATTTCCTCTCAGCCTCAGTCATTTAAAGCCAGCAAGTTTGAGGCAGCTGCCAGCGCCCGTCAGCTCTCATTTGCTGAGCGCAAGCAAGTGATGCTGGACACAGCCCGACTCAAGTACAGGATCAAACATGGACTGGAATAGTGGCGCATTGATTCAATACATTCTGTTCTACACTATTCACAACCTGAGTTTTCTCTTGCTTTGCCAGTAGATGTATGTCCATATGTAGGATGGCTCTCTCACTAGGGTGGGGCTAGTCATGTACGATTGACAAGAGAATAAAACAAAGCTTGAATCTCTTCATCATCTAGCCCTCTGGATGTTGGAGCTAGTCATGTATGATTGACGAGAGAGTAAAACAAAGCTTGAATCTGTTCATCATCTAGCCCTCTGGATGTTGGAGCTAGTCATGTATGATTGACAAGAGAGTAAAACAAAGCTTGAATCTGTTCATCATCTAGCCCTCTGGATGTACTAGAGTTGCGTAATGCAGTCAGGACCTTGACCTTGATCTCATGGGCCTTTTTACTCTGCTGCTGCAAGGTTTCTTTCCTCTCTGATTGTTGACCTGGTCAAGACAGATAGGTCAATGTTTACTTTATTAACAGGGGGGGAGGCTCCGGGGAAAAAACACTTTTTTAATACTACGCAGGAAAGAATTATTTCTCTATGGATTTCTTGTGGAGAATCTTGGTAACTATGACAACATCGGCCATCTTGAAAAATTAACTTTTAGGATTTCCACAGTTCATTAAAATTAGGTATTAAAGCCCAATAAATTATGAATTCATAATATATCCTATCATAGTTTTAGATACAAAATTCATGTGCAGATATTCAATATAATTCATCGCGAATGCTGTATTTGATTTAATTAATGCCCCAAGATTTACCAAAATTTGAAGGCCTGCCACTGATTAACTTTGTTAAAACGGCCGCTGTTGTCTAGTTAAAACGATTCCCTGATCAAATTTTTTCAAATGGAAACATACTGATGGCCCTTATGATAGCTAAAGAGAAAAAATAGTTTCCAGTGGTGTTTTTTCAAGAAATCTAGCAGTTATTGACTTAAAGAGAGCTTTTTAACAAGCAATGATCAGAATTAAAATGAACAGATGTTCGTAATTTTACAATCCGGGATTTTATGAATAAATATAAATCTAGTTATAATTTCTTAATTTAAATATTGTCTTACTAATAAACTATTTTTTTACAATTTGTAGACACAAACTAAAAGGCAGTCTTTTTTTGCAATAACACGCTTCTAAATGCACTAAAAATAAAAAAAAATTGGCTGGTCTGCTAAACACCATTAAAATTCCTAAAAACCAAGTGTATTGGCTGGTCTGCTAAACACCATTGAAATTCCTAAAAACCAAGTGTATTGGCTGGTCTGCTAAACACCATTGAAATTCCTAAAAACCAAGTGTATTGGCTGGTCTGCTAAACACCATTGAAATTCCTAAAAACCAAGTGTAGGTCAAGATCAACAAGAAACTGAGCTGGTGTTTCCCCAAAACACAGCAACCTGCCAGCTGGTTGATTATGTGCTGACTCCCCTTACCTACACTACTAGTGTATATATTCAGTGGCTACCCCACCTTACATGTATTCAGTGGCTACCCCACCTTACGTGTATTCAGTGGCTACCCCACCCTTACGTGTATTCAGTGGCTACCCCACCTTACATGTATTCAATGGCTACCCCACCTTACGTGTATTCAGTGGCTACCCCACCTTACGTGTATTATGTGGCTACCCCACCTTACATGTATTCAGTGGCTACCTCACATATATTATGTGGCTACCCCACCTCACGTGTAATCAGTGGCTACCCCACCTTACATGTATTATGTGGCTACCCCACCTTACGTGTATTCAGTATCTACCATACCTAACATGTATTCAGTGGCTACCCCACCTCACATGTATTCAGTGGCTACCCCACCTTACGTATATTATGTAGCTACCCCACCTTACGTGTATTATGTAGCTACCCCACCTCACGTGTATTCAGTGGCTACCCCACCTTACGTATATTATGTAGCTACCCCACCTTACGTGTATTATGTAGCTACCCCACCTCACGTGTATTCAGTGGCTACCCCACCTTACGTATATTATGTAGCTACCCCACCTTACGTGTATTCAGTGGCTACCCCACCTCACATGTATTCAGTGGCTACCCCAGCACTTACACTCTGCCAACCATGATGAGACACATTTCCTCAGCACTTACACTCTGCCAACCATGATGAGACACATTTCCTCAGCACTTACACTCTGCCAACCATGATGAGACACATTTCCTCAGCACTAGATCAGCCTTGTGAAGCTCACTATGGACAGGGGCAGCTCCCCTCTCTTCAACTGCCTGACTGGGCTTCTCTAATGCTGTTTGTACAAGGGAGGCCACTCTGAGGTCAAAGGTAATGTTGAACATGTCAGAAAAGTTAAGGTCAAAGGTAATGTTGAACAGGTCAGAAAAGCCAAGGTCAAAGGTAATGTTGAACAAGTCAGAAAAGCCAAGGTCAAAGGTAATGTTGAACAAGTCAGAAAAGTTAAGGTCAAAGGTAATGTTGAACAGGTCAGAAAAGCCAAGGTCAAAGGTAATGTTGAACAAGTCAGAAAAGCCAAGGTCAAAGGTAATGTTGAACAAGTCAGAAAAGCCAAGGTCAAAGATAATGTTGAACAAGTCAGAAAAGCCAAGGTCAAAGGTAATGTTGAACAGGTCAGAAAAGTTAAGGTCAAAGGTAATGTTGAACAGGTCAGAAAAGCCAAGGTCAAAGGTAATGTTGAACAAGTCAGAAAAGCCAAGGTCAAAGGGAATGTTGAACAAGTCAGAAAAGCCAAGGTCAAAGATAATGTTGAACAAGTCAGAAAAGCCAAGGTCAAAGGTAATGTTGAACAAGTCAGAAAAGCCAAGGTCAAAGGTAATGTTGAACAAGTCAGAAAAGCCAAGGTCAAAGATAATGTTGAACAAGTCAGAAAAGCCAAGGTCAAATGTAGAAAAAGTAAGTTGGAAGGGACAGGGGCCTTAAACCCTTTGTAATAATTGAAATACACCATTTGAAAAAATAATTTTAACTTATTTGCTAATAATTCAAGCATTTCAAGATTATGAACAATTTTAAGGAGTTATGACAGTAACATAGCTGGAGACCATTAGGAGGAGGGAGAAGAGGTGCTGACCACAGGCAAAACCTGACATCCACTCTGGCTCCTATAGTGGTTGATGCTGCCTTATGCTCCAGAGGTATCATAGAATCTAAGAATGTCTTAACATGGGATGGCATCATCATGCAACCACAGCAAGTTTGTGAAAAGTAGTTTATGCTATGATGACGCTGGTAGTAAAGGATAAGTTGAGCAAAGGTTATAGATAGCCCAGATCATTTAAAACTATTGGTCACTACGAACTATAAAAACAATTGGTCACCAACCACTATAACTAACAGTTATCCCAACAGCTACAAGTACTTCTCGTTATCTTCAATGAGCTGATTAATAAGTACAACTTACTTCAGAATGTGACCGTCTGGGTACAACTTACTTCTGAATGTGACCCTCTGAGTACAACTTACTTCTAAATGTGACCCTCTGAGTACAACTTACTTCTGAATGTGACCCTCTGAGTACAACTTACTTCTGAATGTGACCCTCTGTAAAAGGCTGCAGGGTTATGCTCTGTTTCTCCCACCAGAACCTAGAGCCATCTGGAGGCTCCAGGCTTTGGCCCATCCTCTGGATGCTAGCACATGTGACCCCCACTGAGCCTCTTGTTTGGTTGGCTCTGATAGCCTCAGCTACACCATGCTCCAGATACACCTGACAAAAGCCTGTTGATACTGCAGGACGAAAATATTCATAGTCACTTGACCTTTGTCTACTGGGGCATGTGGTCAGTCTACTGGGGCATGTGGTCACTACTGGGGCATGTGGTCAGTCTACTGGGGCATGTGGCCAGTCTACTGGGGCATGTGGCCAGTCTACTGGGGCATGTGGTCACTACTGGGGCATGTGGTCAGTCTACTGGGGCATGTGGCCAGTCTACTGGGGCATGTGGTCACTACTGGGGCATGTGGTCAGTCTACTGGGGCATGCAGTCAATCTACTGGCATGCAGCCAGTCTACTGGGGCATGTGGTCACTACTGGGGCATGTGGTCAGTCTACTGGGGCATGTGGCCAGTCTACTGGGGCATGTGGCCAGTCTACTGGGGCATGTGGTCAGTCTACTGGGGCATGCAGTCAGTCTACTGGGGCATGTGGTCACTACTGGGGCATGTGGTCAGTCTACTGGGGCATGCAGCCAATCTACTGGCATGCAGCCAGTCTACTGGGGCATGTGGCCAGTCTACTGGGGCATGTGGTCAGTCTACTGGGGCATGTGGCCAGTCTACTGGGGCATGTGGCCAGTCTACTGGGGCATGCGGCCAGTCTACTGGGGCATGTGGCCAGTCTACTGGGGCATGCAGCCAGTCTACTGGGGCATGCGGCCAGTCTACTGGGGCATGTGGTCAGTCTACTGGGGCATGTGGCCAGTCTACTGGGGCTTGTGGCCAGTCTACTGGGGCATGTGGCCAGTCTACTGGGGCATGTGGCCAGTCTGCTGGGGCATGTGGTCAGTCTACTGGGGCATGTGGCCAGTCTACTGGGGCATGTGGCCAGTCTACTGGGGCATGTGGCCAGTCTACTGGGGCATGTGGCCAGTCTACTGGGGCATGTGGCCAGTCTACTGGGGCATGTGGCCAGTCTACTGGGGCATGTGGCCAGTCTACTGGGGCATGTGGCCAGTCTACTGGGGCATGTGGCCAGTCTACTGGGGCATGTGGCCAGTCTACTGGGGCATGTGGCCAGTCTACTGGGGCATGTGGCCAGTCTACTGGGGCATGTGGCCAGTCTACTGGGGCATGTGGCCAGTCTACTGGGGCATGTCTACTGGGATGTCTTACAAAGTAAAAATGAATGAACCAGGCTTACATTCCCTAGACAGTTGGAAATATTCATATCTCATGCTGCGCAGATACATGTTGTCGTCAATGACAACAAGTACCTGAGTTATCCCAGGATTCCACAGTCTGGTCACTTCCTGGAGCACTGGCCCAAACTTGGACCATGTCTCACATGACACACCATCTGGACACTCCATTGAAATAGTCTGCTGGCGTAGCACAGGAATCAAATTCCTAACTAATGTTAAAACTTGGCGCCTAGCAAGTTTCCATTCTTTCACCTCCTGGAGAAGTTCAAATGGGCAACAGTTGGACTACTCGTCTTACAAGGAGAGCAGAAGTGGAGGGGGGGGGGGGGGATAGACTATGTATGATAACTAAAGAATTGTTATGGACCCACAGTTTTAAGGACCTGTAGTTCTGAGGTCCTACAGTTTTAAGGACCCACAGTTTATAGGACCTACAGTAGTTCTAAGGAAATACTGTTCTAAGGACCTACAGTTTTAAGATATGATGTCATATGTAAAGTACACCATACAACATGGATCTAATTAACTGTACTAGCCTGATTTTTTTAAGCTCCAGGTTTTGCTTGCCTCGTGTTTTTAAGGTCCATGTTTACTTGCCTCATGGTTTTAAGCTCCATGTTTACTAGCCTGATGTTTTTAAGCTCCATGTTTACTAGCCTGATGTTTTTAAGCTCATTGTTAAATGTACTAGCCTATCTTTTTAAGCTCTAGGTTTACTTACCTCATGTTTTTTAGCTCAAGGTTTACTTGCCTCATATTTTTAAGCTCCAGGTTTACTAGCCTGATGTTTCTAAGCTCCAGGTTTACTTGCCTGATGTTTCTAAGCTCCAGGTTTACTAGCCTGATGTTTTTAAGCTCCTAGTTAACTGTACTAGCCTGATGTTTCTAAGCTCCAGGTTTACTAGCCTGATGTTTCTAAGCTCCAGGTTTACTTGCCTGATGTTTCTAAGCTCCAGGTTTACTAGCCTGATGTTTCTAAGCTCCAGGTTTACTTGCCTGATGTTTCTAAGCTCCAGGTTTACTAGCCTGATGTTTTTAAGCTCCAGCTTTACTAGCCTGATGTTTTTAAGCTCCTAGTTAACTGTACTAGCCTGATGTTTCTAAGCTCCAGGTTTACTAGCCTGATGTTTCTAAGCTCCAGGTTTACTAGCCTGATGTTTCTAAGCTCCAGGTTTACTTGCCTGATGTTTCTAAGCTCCAGGTTTACTAGCCTGATGTTTCTAAGCTCCAGGTTTACTTGCCTGATGTTTCTAAGCTCCAGGTTTACTTGCCTGATGTTTCTAAGCTCCAGGTTTACTTGCCTGATGTTTGTAAGTCCTATATAGCAGCACTTGCCTGATGCTCTGATACAGATAAGAGTGAGTCGTACTCAATGCCAACAACAGCAAACTTGAGCTGCCCAACCTGCTCTAGTGTCTGCAGGCTGAGTTTGAGAGAGTTGAGCAAGGATGTTTTGCCTGCAGTGGGCAGCCCACACAGTACACAAATGCAGACTTGAACTTTTCCTTGCTCCACACAGCTGCCACTCTTGGTACCTCCAGCTGCCATCTTTTTTAGTTTTTTACTGCAAGCAACTTGTCTACTGTGGTAAAAAGTTCAGATTGTTGCATTTAGTTGGCACCATAAATATAAAGTTCAGATTGTTGCATTTAGTTGGCATCATAAATATAAAGTTCAAATTGTTGCATTTAGTTGGCACCATAAATATAAAGTTCAGATTGTTGCATTTAGTTGGCACCATAAATATAAAGTTCAGATTGTTGCATTTAGTTGGCACCATAAATATAAAGTTCAGATTGTTGCATTTAGTTGGCACCATAAATATAAAGTTCAGATTGTTGCATTTAGTTGGCACCATAAATATAAAGTTCAGATTGTTGCTTTAGTTGGCACCATAAATATAAAGTTCAGATTGTTGCATTTAGTTGGCACCATAAATATAAAGTTCAGATTGTTGCATTTAGTTGGCACCATGGGGTCACTGATGAATGATATGGGGTTGACCATAAATGATGTCACATATGATTAGCTACGGGAGTGAGTCAAGATTTGTGACGTCAACTCAGGCGGCTCCGCAATTTATGACATGTAGGTCTAATGAATGGAGGTGAACGGGGAAAAATACCTATGTCATTGACGGAGAACGTCTATAATGCTATATATTCAATAAAAAATAACAATAAATAAGCATTTGTATACGTATACCTTGCTCAATACGAATGCTCATAAATGTTGCAAACCTGCTAGTTTGAGACGTTTGGCAAAACGGCCTCAACACATTATCCCCGTCAAAAAGGCTTGCCACAAATTGCCTGCCGACTAATATGCCGCATCTAGTGCGGGGCGTTAGGAATACGGCCATCAGCATGGGGCCTAGGTCTGACGAACCAAATGGGACCACGATAGAGCACCAGTAGGCTATCGCGCTATGTATGATGCCGTAAATACTGTAATTCAGTGTCGCGAAACTACGCAAAAATTATTAATGTTCCTTCTTTTGAGGAAATATTTGTTTTTCTTGGACTTAAATTGAAATATGTTGACAGTTTGACCTAATACACAGCTTCTAATTTTCAAATGTCAATTTAAATGTAACAAGATTCAAAATTATAATTTACTTAAGTGTCATCTTATCGTTAATTGTGCTATTTATAAAGCTCCGAACAGCTTCAACATCAGGCGGCCTCCCCTGTTGTCACCAAGCGCATCTTTAGGGCGATTTTCTTTTGGAGCTTAATGGGTAGTCTATTTCTATAGGATGGGAGCTTAAATAATTTTTTAAAGACTTGTAGAAATTTTATAATCACGTACAATAAAATGGACGAGTGAGGGGTGGGAGAGGAGGGAGGGGGAGGGTGAGGGGCTGTTTGATTGAACATTAACATGAGTAATCAAATTAAACGTCACATAAGTTTCAAAATGGTAGTGCTTGTTTTTATCTCTGTAAAATTAGCCTAACGGTCGGCAGTACCAGTACATGATGTCACGCGCGAGCGTGAACTTGGTGAAGCTGTGCTAAGTGGGGGATGAAAAGGTGGGGTTCAAGAAATGCGACGCAGCATGCTTTTTACTTATCTAGACCTTTCTTAATAAAAAGTTAATAGTTCTATCGTGCCCACCAACAAAATCTGATCGTGAATCATATGAGTCGGGTGTGTGTCTTGACCTCCGCCGAATCCCCCAGACTAACTCACCAAACCACTGGGGTTTGATCAAGCTAGGGTTAAGAATAACTGTGTTACTGCTAAGTAGTGTAGTTATTTATTAAATTGAACGTTAAAATCAAATTAAACAGTTATAACGCTGAAAGTCTCAAAACGATAGTGCTTGATTTGAACTTGGTTACGATATGCTGAGTTTGAGATAAAACGGTGGAGTAAAGAAATGTGACGCATACGTTTAACATTTCTTTTTAAAAAAAAAACATCTAACAACTAAGGTAATTAATTATAGACGGGGTGGGATTTTGAGACCTCAATGTATGTTGACTGGCTTTTTGTAATGATGAGGGGTGGGGAGGGGGGAAACCGGCCACAGAGATATATAAAAAAAACGAATGAAAGTTGGAAGCAAACGAAGCGGTTACAGAAAACTAGTATTTAAATAATTAAGGATGTTTTGATAGTAAAAGCCAACCGCTTAGCCTTCAGTTATGGCTAAATGTATCACTAATGAATGACGTCATTCTTTTACAGCGTGTCTTTTTTCCCGACCATCCCCAGTTTTCACCACAAAAAACCAACTCTTCTCAAAAATCACATGGCTGAGTTCTACTCAACCTCTCCCCACCACAAATCACAATTTCTATCTAAAACAATATGTTCATCATTATATTTGTTCTGTAAAAGTAAAACAATATGTTCATCATTATATTTGTTCTGTAAAAGTGCACGCTGTCTAAACCCCGTAAGAGCGACGTCATTTATGGGCGATCTTAAATTTGGATGGATTACTGCAAAAAGCATTCAAAAGTTCAACCTCCCAACAATTGTTGTGGTCTTGGATGCACACTAAGTCTGAAAAGGTCTATTAGTCATTCATTTCAACTTTATTGAAGAAAAAAGAAAAATTACTCTACAACTACAGGCATATCTTAAACAATACAAAATAGCCATATCAAAACACAAAATCAACACAACAGATATGCGAATAGACAATTTTTCAAGGGAAACTACTCTATTATTGTTTTTGTAACATGGCCACTGCTTGTATTTACTCATTGTTGTCTCGAACAGGATAGTTTAAAGTTTATTTCTGGACATTTTTTACTGGTTTAGTCATGAATTGTGGTTTGTTATTCTATTAGGGCTAGGGCCTATCTGAACTTAATACTGTTATATTATGTAAAATATATAATAAATAAATATATAGGCCTATTATATGGCCAAATGAAAGAAATATTCACGCCGCCACACATTACTAGATCTAGATTCGTTGCAATTTACGATGCTAAATCGCTAAATACTACAAATAGTAAATAATAGTAAAGAGTAAATAAACTAAGGTTTAGTAATCGATCGTGTTTTAGGTACGTAAAATCGCCAGCGAAAAGTAATGTGAAAAACAGGTGACTCCTTAAATTTTAATAATTATTTCACATTTTGAGGAGGGTTTATGTTTTGAAAAATACAAAAATGTTTCCTTGTTTCATTTATGTAGGCCTACCTGTTTTTAAACAATTGAATTAAAACTTTTCAGTAATAAATAAAGCCTAGCGATGTTTCCAACAGATGCAATCATGCTAATTTACTATAACTATAGCAGCCATCTTGTTTATTTTTTTTATTATAAACTTATAGCGCAAGATTCAGGGGAAGCCACTCTAGCTTACAGATGGCCGCTATTTACTAGTATTTAGGCTAATAATTTAATAAATTTAGATAGCAAATCCTGCTAGCAAACACTCCTAAGTTAATTTCTTGCCTATATTCATTGAATTGATATATTTAGTGTTATTTAGCCATTGATTTAGGTTTATTATTCATTATATAGATCTAGTCTATTGAATATAGATCTAGATCTACTTCTTTTTAATTTTAAAGCCTTCACAATGAGGTAACTTTTTCGGACATTACTAGCCGCGGGCGATTTTACGTACACAAAATGTGACACGGGACACAACGATACATTTCATATTATTTCATTACATATGATGATAATCATAATGAGAGTGAGTCTAGGTCTAGAATATTACCTATACGCATATTATGATAATATTACTAGATCTAGATTCTAGATCTAGCTTCGTTGGAATTTACGACTATAGATCTAGATCTAGATCTAGATCTAGTATCTAGACATCTAGTATTCTAAACTCATTTATTTGTAAATAAACTAAGGTTAAAGGTTTTACCGATTACCTAAAACACATTTCCTGTCATATTTCTAATGAATAGAGTCCTTGCAAACACGTGACCTAAATCACGTGATACCTACGCCCGCCGCCACAGTGGTGTACATCAGACATAAACACAATCAGCTGTTCGCCAGCGCTGGACGTGTTCACCAACGCTGGACGTGTTCACCGTATGTAAAGAATCGCGCCCGCGGAAAAGGAAAAATATGTTAAAAAACTTGAACTCTTAGGAATTGAAGATCCTTATACAGTTATTGACAGTTTCGTGGATAATATAAATATGTGGCCGAAATTTCTAAATAAAAATACTGTTAGTAATACCGTTTGCGTTTAGAGTTTAAGTAGACGAAGCTGATCAAAATGCAGTAATATATTAGAGGTTATCTACTGTAGCAAACGTGAGACCACTTAACTCCTACAAAACCCACACTACAACGGCTAATATAATCCATGGGTAATAACCAATCTGGGTAGCATGTTATACAATTTAAGACCCTTATAATCCAGCAGGGAAGTAATCAGACACATTAATACTGACGTTCAACCGTCATGATGGCTGCCCCCACCTGTATCTAGCCCACAATAAAACCAAAGAGGAGTCTGCCCTGCCCTCCCCTGAAAATGTCTCACCTCCGTGATACCCAGCCCCACAGAGATAGTATTTCTTATATAATTTTGACCCTCAGGGCCCAGCAGGGAGAACAAAGGGGAAAGTCCCACTGCTCTCCCCTCAACACTTCTCACCTCGGTGTCATGTTATGTCATTTATAGCACACACGGCTTATCAGGGGAAAGCATTAAGGCATTAAGAATCTTAACTCTGGACAGCTACACACTAGTATACTAGCTACACACTAGGTGCCTACTGTAAACTACTAGACTGTAGGCCCTATGTAGACCTGCAATTGTATCAATTGTAGACTGGGTCCATTGTTATTATTCTAAACCATCTCACTTATAATGTTTCTAGCTTGATTTGTTTCTTTTATAAACAGTGGATTTAAAAAAAAATTAGCCTAATCATTAACCTAATAATAATAATGTGGTTATTTGTTGTTGGCTGGTATGATCTAGATTGTACTACTAGGCTACAAAAACTTAGTAGACCAATTACTAGATATGAATTTGAATTTAATTAAACTCAGTCCAGTATCAGATACATATTGCTGTAAAAAGACAACAAAGTAGGTAGGCCTTAGTAATTTATTAAAGCCTTCTACTACAATAATATCAACTACATGCTTGTATAAAGTTTTTACAATTTAATTTAAGTAGCAGATTCTAGATCTAAGTCTAGTCATATAATCTATTTCAATTTCAGAAAATTTCGTTTGCTAAAAAAATGATTAGATAATAGAGCGAGATTTTAGATCTTAGAGACAATTAAATGCTTTATTAGGCCTATTATGACTACTTTTGATTTATTATGGGTGTATTTTGAATCGAATGTAGATCTAAAGTAATTAAATTTAAGTAAAGAAGTAGATTCTAGATTCTATGTCTACCCAGCGGAGCCAGGTATAAGCCTACTATTAGATCTTGTTATTCTTATTAGCCTATAATATTACTTTTGGCTTTGTCTTTTACTATTAGTATTTGTGAAGGTCGAGCATATTTGTTTTATTAATAGTTATCTTTTATAATTAAAATGAAGTTTATTATTTTACTGTCCTTACATGAAACAAAGTATCGAGAACTGCATTTGATCAGATTCGGCTACTTTAACTCTAAACGCAAACAGTATTACTAACAGTATTTTTATTTAGAAATTTTGTCCACATATTTATTTATACGAAACTGTCAATAACAGTATAAGGATCTTCAATTCCTAAGAGTTCAAGTTTTTTAACGTATTTTTCCTTTTCCGCGGGTGCGGTTCTTTACATACAGTGAACGCGTCCAGCGCTGGTGAACACGTCCAGCGCTGGCGAACAGCTGATTGTGTTTACGTCTTGTGTACACCACTGTGGCGGCGGGCGTAGGTATCACGAACGGACGTGACGTCATATGAAAGGACTCTATACATTCAGAAGACTCAAAATAATAATAAAATAAATCTAGATCTATCAGTTTTCCAAGATCTAGATCTACATTTTAGATCAACAGAAATAATTAAAAATATGGAAACAAAGTATAGATTGCTAGATCAGTAGATGATCGGTGCCACTAGATCTAGTCGGTAGCGTAGCGAGGGGGGGGGGGGGCATATGTCCCCGGGCGCCGACCTTAGGGGGCGCCAAAATGGGTTGGAAAAATAAATTGAAAGGTTGAGGGGGGTGCAAATCGAAAGTTTGAGGGGGGGGGGGGGGCAAATCGAAAGTTTGAGGGGGGTGCAAATCGAAAGTTGAGGGGGTGGGTCGTTACGCCTCTGGATCTAGTAACATATGATCTATTATTTTATTATATTATTTTTATAACAATCTTGTTTGCAAGTCTGTTTCTTTGTCTTTACTAGATCTAGATCTACACCTTAATCCGAGTGCCATGAAACTTTGGGAAGTTGTTAAGAATACTCCTAAGCAGGTTTCTGCGAAAAAAAAATCTATTTTTCTCTGAATGCGGTAAATAAAAAAAAATAAAAGTCGGATGCGGTTCGACACCGTTCATCCGAGTGCCATGAAACTTTGGGAAGTTGATGAGAATACTCCCAAAAAGGTTTCTGGGGGGGGGGGGGTTAAATTTCGCACGGGCGCCCCCCTGCAGGGTGCGATTTTGGTGCCACGGTCTTTCCCGTGAGCAATATGACGCCCACGTTCGTTTAAAACAATGAGATAGACTATGGATATCGATAAGATAGGGCTTTATAGTCGTTCAATAAATTGAATCAGGCGAGTCCGCCGGCGCCCACGCAGGGTACAAATTGGCGTGCCGGGCTATCCCGTGAGCGCTATGGCGCCTACGTATGGATAAAATGGGGCCGACCTTAGGGAGCGCCAAAATGGGTGGAAAAAATTAAATTAAAAGCTCATTTTAGCTGCAGTTTTGCATTATAAATATATAAAAAATATATGGGGGGGGGCGCCAAATTGAAAGTTTGTCCCCCGGGAGAGGGGCGACAAATTGAAATTTTGTCCCCGGGCGCCGGGAAGATTCGCTACGCCTCTGCTGTTTTCTTTTGTGTTTGTACCGTGCGTCGTGTTTGCGTTTTCTTTTGTGTTTGCAGTTTTTGTATGAGTATGTGTTTTCTTTTGTGTTTGTATTTGTGTTGCGTGTTTTGTTTGTGTTGTGTTTGTGTTTGGTTTTGTTCCCAAGTTGATACATTACAAAAAGATTCACAAAAGCGAAGTGCGGGTATGCAGTTAGTTATATTTGTAAACCAGTAATTTTCCATGTTACTGTTTCCCTTTGTCGTAAAATTCAAACTTACAAAACGTGCAATGAAAATTTAAGTCATATTGGTCGCATTTAGTTAAACTGCGTATCTCAACTTCCTCAAATAAGGCAAAAACGCAGAAGGCCTATTCGATTCTTATAATAAACGCTAGGCCTATAAACAAAATTTTGGATCAGGGTTTTTTCCACAGCAAATAGATCTAGAATCTAGATCTAAGTCATATTTTTAAAAGTATAAAAGATTGTGAAGGTTTTTTTTTTAACTTGTTATATATAGATCTACATCTAATTTAAAAATTTTTAAAAGTTTCGCTCATCAACTTAGCCTGTCTTTAAGTGTTGATCATAAGCTATTTTATACATTTTTATAAGATCTACTAGATTTCTAGATTCTAGAACTAGATCCCCTGCTTAGGCCTAAGTCACTACTTGTTGGAAAATTTATCCAATGAAAACCGGGTTAGATTCTGCTGCGTGCTTGACAGGATCTGTGACGTCATTTCTTTCACATGGCTCTAGCAAGACAGTTGTGTGACCAATAAAGGATGTTGCACCACTATTAGACATTTACCATTGTTTACGTTTTATATTCTCTACATAACGTACACGCTAGAGAACACATTTAATTTACATAAATTTGTGTATTGTGTCTATTTTTCTAATAATATTTAAACGTTAAATAAGATAGACCTTTTTTTAATTTGAGTGGACACCATACTTTGACTTCTCAATAACAAAACCACGCCATACGGTTTTGTCTGTAGGATCGACTGTTGTCGATCAAAATAGTGTTTTTTAGTAACTAACTTCACATTGGTGATGGCCTCCAACGGAATGGATGGCGAATCAAGTGCTGATAGAAATGTTGAAATTTGGAAGATTAAAAAACTTATCAAGAGTCTTGAAGCTGCAAGAGGGTAACTAAATATTCACACTTTTTAGTTTTAGACTTCAACTAGCCTAAGGGCTAAGGGCCTAAGTTACTAAAGTTACTAAGTTAAAATTATAGTTTCTTAAGGCCTGCCCTATGAACAACAATGTCAAAATCCATTACAACACTCACTGCCTGCAGGTCTAGATCTAGAAATCTCTTCTTTCTAGAATCTAGGTCTATTATAAATTGATATCTAATCTAGATCTAGCTAAATTGTACATTATTTCCTGGTTTTACAGTACAATGCTTTAGAGTAGGCATTTCGACTTACGCTGTTTTGATTCGGTAGAACCACAGCCGGACTTTTTCACCGTACTTGTTGAAATTCGCCATTTTCAACATGTTAATTCTCGACATCGGAATCGAAGAATAAAATGTATTCGATATGACTGTTTGAGTTGAATTTCATCTTTTATACATACTAATAAATGAATTAGCTCCCGTTTTACATTGTCCGATACCGAAAGCGATCAACGATAATAGCGAATATTTGTCAATTTTAAGGGTTTTTAAGTACGGGGCAATGAGGAGTAGCGCGATAAAACTCGTAGGGTAGGAACGAGAAAGCGTGCGTAATTTCATAATGGAGGCCGAGTTACGAGATATTAATAGATATGCGCATACGATGTTTTTTAATAGCTGTTTGTTTTTAAATGGACTTACAATAAAATGGGCTTTAAAATAAATATAGGCCTACTGTAGATCTATATCTAAATTATTAAATTAAAAATGGAAAGAATGTAATTAATTGCTGCCTAAATAAAATTTTAAATTAGCCAGATTTTTATTAACCTTCTTAATACCAGGTTAACTAGATCTAGCAAACTTTTAACTAGCATTAACGAATTGCAGATAGATTATAAAAAGGCATTTTCAAGTAGAAATAAATCTAGATCTACATTTATTGCAAACAGTTTTTAAAAAAAATAGAATCTAGATCTAGTTGTAAATGCCAATGGAAATGAAAACACTAAAATAATATTGGGTCTAGAGATGTGTAGGCTAATATTAACATATTTAAAAAATCTATTAGGCCTAAATGTAAATACTGACAGGCCTATCTAGATCTATAAAGGGCCTAAATTAAAAATAACAATGCCCAATTTTATAAGCTGCACTGCATTACAGTTTTACAACTATAATAGAAAAAAACATGAACACTTTAATTAATGTCATTTTAAGAATTTATCAAGGATACGTCAACTTCAGTAGGCCTAAACATTTTATAAATAAGAATACTGTGAAATGTCAATCTTTGAGTTTTAGCACATCTCAACACTTTTCATCAGAAACATTACAAGAACCAAAATTTTCTAAATTAATAATATTTTTACATTGTCATACACTGACACAAATCCAATGTTTATGGCAAATCGTTAAGTATCTTGATCATATTGTGCTGTATTTGTAAGTTCTAACTCTATACATTACCTGTACAATATGTATACTAGCATTCTTATTACTAACACCAGAATCAATATGTAAAGTTTAATCTTTATTTTTATAGTAGCAACAAAGAAGTACAATATATTAACCTGTAGTTAATCATCATAGTCTAATTGCGCTGTACAATATTCAAGTTCACTATTTATAGTTTTCCTCTAGCTATGTTTATTTTACTTGCATGTTTGTATTTTTTACATTCTCTAGTCCTAATATTTATAATAGTTTCATGATGGTATATGGAATAGCAACCTAGCTGTGCAGTCTGGAAATCCTCTTATGGCAGTAACTATAGAACAGTGCCACACCCCTTAATTTGACTTCATTATTTCTAGTTATCTCTTTTCTAATTTTTATTTTATTTGTAGACTTTTATTGCCTATATCATTGAGTACAAATGTGCAAAGTTTTATCATTGTATCTTTAATAGCAACATTGGTATGCAAGTTTAAAGCCAATAACACGTCTCGAATGAAGGTTACAATGAAACATAACAAGTTAAACACATAACTTTGAAAATTCATATAAATAAAACTATTAGGCCTAGAATGATAAATTTGGTATTTTTATCAATAGGATTAATGTGTCCATTTTATAATTCTATGATAATTAGGAAAAATTTCCCAATTTGCCTACTTTAGAGTTAGAATTTAGAACTTTAGATATTCTTGCTAATTCTAAAAAATTTACTCAATTTTCAATTTAAACATGACCGCTGAATAATTTACATCCATATTTAATTCATTAGGCACACATTTTTAGAGGGTATTACCTCATTTTAGACTAAATTACTTAGGCCTAAGCTATTTTAAAATTTACTGCTGTTCACAGTTATGGCACGACACCTTTCCATTACAACCATATTATATCACCCTTATGTTTGAAACCACAGCAAGCCACAAACTGTGTTTGACTTTTTAACTGGCTATGCACCAAGGTTCCTCACAAGTGATCACCAAATAGCGCTCACATTGTTTTTAAAAATGAATAAATTTGGTTGTCATTTTATTGGCCTATCTTATAAAAAGTGGCTTGCAATGTTTGATTTATTTTTCATAGACTGATAAACCTAATAATGCTTCATTTTGGAAATCATGTTTGTAGTCTTGAAGTTATTTAAAAAGTTCTAATTTTAAAGAAACCGTTTTAATATAGCCTTCACTCTCCAAAGCAAATTTTGATATGGTTTTCTGGCATATAAAATATAGCCCTGCTACCTGTAGTTTGTTATTATAACGCCAAAAAAGAAAACCCGCCATTTCACCTGTAGTAATCCTTTTTTTAACGTAAGTTTAGGAAGGTACTGGAACTAAGATGAAAAATCTGCGGAAGTTATGCGCCCGGTGTGGATTCCTCCTGGTTAGTGAGCAATCCTAGTTTATAGGCCCTATAGGCCTACATTCCATAGTCAATATTTTCTTTAACATAGAGGAAAATGGGGTTCTCAATAGTTAGGACGTACATTTTTTTAGTGTTACTCTTGCTGTGAGTAGATCTACTCCATCCCATTTTAAATAGAGACTCGAACTAGACTATATTCCCTATATTTGATCTAAGTGTATAGATTTTCTAAATTACTGTATTTACAAAAAAATATTGTAGATCATCTACTTCATGTTTGAACCTCTACAAGCATGTCTAATAAATCAAATTTAAAAAATTCAAGTGGGTGACACATTGCCTTTGACATTCTGCCACAGTCGGCATCAGATCCAAAGAGTCATCGATTAGAGAAGCAGCTTCCAAATTGGAATCCCTCTTTCTACTTAGCATGATAAATTTAAATGGAGACAGCCAGTCGTTGCCTACAATTAATCTAATTAATTGGATTTATTAAAAGTGGCAATTTGGCATTAATCATGGTCTATAGTGCAATACTAGCAGCGATGCAATTACTTTAACTAGCGATCAGCCCCAAACTACCTCTCAGTTGACCATCCCTGTCATGTCTGATAACCAAATCAAGACATGTTAGCATTTTTCTTCTACTTCATTTTACCACTGACTCAGTTTCAACTTATGCCCTAATTTTTTATCCTAATTTTTTATGACAACACACTGAATGACCGATCTTAATGCCAATACATGAAGCTGAGTTGAACTCTAAAAGAGTTTTGAGTTTGCCTTTTTCTTGAAAGGCTTATCTAGGAATCAGCTTGTGTTCTTTTTTCCAAACTTGCCGGTACAAAAAGATCTGAGTTCTCATTTCCTGGTGGGGTCGGCGTGGTCGAGTCGGCAAAGCTCATGGTTGCTAAACCGAAAAGTCTAGAGTTCGAACCCTCGGGCAGATGTGGCTCGTTAGCTGGGGACAGCCACACTTCTAGGAGAGAAAACTCCAAAATCAAACAACTGCTGCCTTGTAGTTTGTTCTTGGTTGGACAAAGGCTATGGAAGCAAATCCAAAAAAAAAGAAAAGCAGGCTGAAATCGGAGTCAATGGCCTCAATGGCGCATAAACAGTTGACACGTAACTCTTAATTGTGTTGGAGGCGTGGTCGAGTCGGCAAAAAGCTCATGGTTGATAAATTTGAACAAAAGTCTCGAGTTCGAACCCACTGGCAGATAAATCTCGATCCCCTTCAACACTAATAATTAAGAACGAAGAAGAAGAAGAAGAAGATTTCCTGGTGAGGAGGAGGATTTTACCACTGTTAAACAGCTCTCCCTCCTTATCGCCATTAATTCCTGGGAAGTGAATGTCCCTGAAAAACCACAAATGAAAGATAACATTACAGTGGAGGATTCTTCAAATAAAGGTCCCTTTTGTTCATATCCACAAAATGTAAGGGCACAGGTAAGAAAAAAATATGGCCAGCCATGCCAAATCTTGTAAGTGGACATGAATTCAGAGGCATTAATAAAGAGATCAAGAAAAAACTGAGAGATAAAAGTTGGGCAACAAATTAGTAGTCCAAATAGAGAAAAAGTGAAGCAATATCAGAAGATGATGAAAGATGGAAAGAAAAAAATATCTACAGAAGCAAAGAAAAGCAAAAAGGATGAAAAATTTATTTATTGAACATATTATTGAGATTCAAGAAAATAATCAGTGATCATAACATCTGCTTTAATGTTGTCATGTTAAACACGGATTAGTCCAATGGATGGATGTTATTCTGGCTGTCATCTGATATATATTGGAGACAATATAAGTCTTTAGGTATTGTGCAGTGTTTGTGATTCCTGGTTGCATAGATGTTATAGACACAGTAAAAGATTTAATTACGTAGCAACTGTAACATTTTAGCTTTGTGTGCAACACATTTTGCCCAGATCACTAATTATCACACATTTATTTCAACCTTAAAAATGTATCTGTTCTATAATTTTCTTCATTTACTGTAAATTTATGTTCCATTTTTAGATCTAGAAAAAAATCTAGATGTTAATAAATTTAGTTATCTTCATTTTTTTTTTTTGCAATCTATCAATTTATAAAGCAATCATTACTGTTATAAATTGTAAAATATATATAGAATAAAATTTGCTTTGTAAGCAAGCAAGGGCAGGTCAGCAAATAAACAACAAGTCTGCAAATAAGATCATCACTAAGAACATTAATTTTTTTGCCAGATGTGTCTACAAAAAGCTGCTGAAAATTATTCAGTTCAGGTCCTAGATCTTATTTTGAGGCGTACAAGTTTTACTAATGATTATCAATATAAACTCTCTTTTCTTAAGTCCATATCAGGTAGCATAGAGTTTATTTATTACCTCAGAAATCTCATTCCTATATTTTTGCGATTTTTCTTCTTTCATAAACATAACATCACCTCACTAACTTTTACTAGAAAATTATATACACTTGAAAAATAACTTGTTCTTTTGTTAATTTTAAATATGCAAACATCAATATATTTTACCATCAAAATAAAATTAAAGGTGTTCTGAACAGAACATTTAACTCAAAGCAATAGCTGCAGTCTTTAACATGCTTATCTATGATTGTTTAGTTAACATCAAACATACAGCTAAGATTTAGTAACGGTGACAAGTTTAAGCATCTGAGCTTAGGCCAAATAAATTAATTTAAAAAACCACCACATAATCATATTCTATAGTTTTTGCTACTAAAATGTTTGTTCAAATGTTTAATCTATTCTATATTAGGACAGGGGTCGGCAACCTTTTGAAGCGCAAGAGCCACAAGTTACAATTTTCAAAATTTCCCTGATTTTAAAGAGCCACTAACATTTCTTTATTTCAAATATTTTATTTTTTGATTAAGATTATTAGTATTTGTGCAAGGAGCTGGAGAGCCGCATCTTGATATCAAAAGAGCCGCATGCTGCTCGCGAGCCGCAGGTTGCCGACCCCTGTATTAGGACACTACAGCAGAAAATTATGATTCCATATATTATATTTACAGACAGTAAAAGCATTTAAAAGTTTTACTTGGCACAATTAAAAATGGGTCTTATTACTTACTTACATTTTTCAACAGAAATGGCACAAGTATGATTTCTTTGATTATTCCACCAAGAGATCAGATTGCTCGTGTAAATAAAATGTTAGCAGATGAATTTGGTACAGCCTCAAATATCAAAAGTCGAGTCAACAGACTGTCTGTTCTTGGTGCCATCACTTCTGTACAACAAAGGCTTAAACTATACAATAAAGGTAAGAGATTTTTCTTTGTAGTCTAAATGTATTTCTTGTTTTATATTGAAGTTACCTCACAGAGTTTAATATTGCAGTTCCTCCAAATGGGCTTGTTATATACTGTGGTACCATCATAACTGAAGAAGGAAAAGAAAAGAAAGTGAACATAGACTTTGAGCCATTCCGCCCCATTAACACTTCTTTGTACCTATGTGACAATAAATTTCACACTGAAGTAAGTTATTTTACCCACACAAGTTTTCTCTCTGATTGATGTCTTATGTCATTAAATGTTTACTCACGGATTTCTTTATTAACTCATTTTCAGGCATTAACTGCCTTATTGGCAGATGACAACAAATTTGGCTTTATTGTTATGGATGGTAATGGAGCACTTTTTGGCACCCTATCTGGAAATACACGAGAAGTTTTGCACAAATTCACAGTTGACTTACCCAAAAAGCATGGTAAAATTTTGCTTGTTACATTTTTCTTTGCACTGTATTTAAGTTTATTTCTTCATTGGGTCAAGACTAGTAATACTTACTTTCTGAATTTTTTTCACCCTTGATTACGCTATGGTTTGCTTGTAGTAGGTACCCCAAACTTGCCAAAAATGGATTTTTTTTTTAGATAAGCCTACCTCCCGCCAAAAGCAGAATTGTTCCGCTTTTTAAAATAAATCGTGTCCTGTTCTGCTATCCCGCTTTCTTTATAGTTTGCTCCACTTTTCATAAAAACAAAGAAAACTAATACAGGAAATTGAAAAAAAGAGCATGGAAAAGTGATTATCTCCTTCTGGCACAGATTTCCGTTTACTAACAATATTTGCCAGTATAGTTTAATACTAGATCTATTAATAGATAATGTGGACAAGTTAGCTTCTGAACGTTCCTTTTGGTATTTGCAATTGTAGATTAAAATTATGGCCTAAATAACATGAAGGGAGAAAAATACAATAAAATCATGACTAATTTCTACATCTAGATATTAATTTATTAAATCTATCTTGAAGAATGTGACTATCTTGTAACTACCAAACTAAGACTTTTACTAGGTAGGCCTTTACTCCTTAGCTTTAACTTATATTTTATATTTCATACGAAGCCTTTAACATCTGTTGTTCATATGGCCTATAACATAGTAAGGCAGGAATAATCAAATAATGTTACATTAAAGCTATGGTTTTTATTAGGGGGGGGGGGGTCTCAGGTTACTGGTTAAATTTAAAAAAAAAATTTAAGCTGACATTAAGCAGTAATTAGATGTAGCGTATATATAACTAGAGGCCTACTAAAACACTATACCTACACTTGTATGTATGCTACTGTGTGTATAATGTTATCTGCACGTATGTTGCTCGTTTTGGCAAAAACAAAAAACAACCTCAAGTTCATAAAGCTCGTAACTTTTATACCTAAAAGAGCTTTTAAGTCTCGATCTCTCTCAATTAAAATTCAAAATCTCATTTGACAGGGAGAGATACACATTTACGAGCAAAATAAATTGCTTTGAACATGATTCCCACTAATAACAAAAAGCATTGTGATTATTTGTTTCTTGCTTTAAAGATGTAGCAGTTATATAAATTATAATTATTTTACTAATAATATAATTTAATTTAGCCCTGGTAGCCCATGGTTATTAATATTCAAACTACGTTTTAACAATTTGTTACTGATTCTAATAAATAACTAACCGTAGGCTTCATTTTTTAAAAAAATCCACTATTTAACAAAGGCCATATTTTTATTTAAGCTAGCCTACATCTACATTATTTAATACAGATATTCACATTTGGCATGAAAAATACTAGCTGTCAAGAACTATAAGTTAATGATCTACTTACAAGCCCTATTGTCCTACAGACATATACTTGAAACCTCATTCTAAGAATCTTAGTACTATTTGGGAAAAAAACCTAAGCTCTTGTGTGACTGATTAAAAAAACAATTTGGAGTACCCACTCAGGGATTCCTCAAATTAAAAACTCATCCAAATACTTAGTCTCCACAACCAATTCAATTTATTTAGATTAACTAATGAGATTTAGTTGTGTGAAAATTTCTCTTTAAGAGACCATCACAGACCAAGTTAGTACATTTCTCTCTTTTTGATGTTTTAGGGAGAGGAGGACAGTCTGCGCTCCGTTTTGCTCGTCTTAGGATGGAAAAGAGACACAACTATGTTAGAAAAGTTGCAGAAGTGGCAGTTACGTTATTTATTACAAACGACAAGCCAAATATTGCAGGATTAGTCCTCGCAGGGTCAGCAGATTTTAAAACAGAACTTAGTCAGTCAGATATGTTTGATCCTGTAAGTCCTTTAGCCCTAAAATGTTGCAAAGTTTGGGCTTTTTTTTAATAAGAATTTTAAAGCTGTCTTATTTATATTTCTAGAATCTAAATTCCAATAGTAAATTTTTGTTTATTTCTTAAATAAACAATGTTGCATGCATAACTAAGTTTTACTCTCATGGTTGCCACAGAGGCGGGAGTTTCAACATAAAATTATCTCGTTGGGAAATCTTGCGTTTGAGTTGTGAAAACTTCATATTTATCAAAGAAATTTAAAAAAAAAAGAAATTTGTAGAAATTTCTCCTTTGTAATTTATTTAAAACAAGGAAATGCTCATAAAATTTGCTTGCCTAATTACTCTTTGCCATTGTTTTCATCTAGCATTTTTCATTTATTAAATAAGCTGAAATATAGTTTAAGATATAAAATAACAAATGGGAGTCAGGTACCCTTCAGGATTGGGTAGACTCTGACATACTAAGAACTTGAACGATTAATTCAAACGAGACTTTCTTATGCTCTACTGCTCCGTCTACCATTTGTGTTTGAGATAATCTTTAAGTATTTTTATAAACAACAAAGTAAGCATGCGCTTTAAACACAAGCAGGTCCTGTTTTTTATCTTAATATTGTTTTTTTTTTTTAAAGCGTCTTCAAGGTAAAATTATCAAAATTGTGGATGTTTCATATGGTGGTGAGAATGGTTTTAACCAGGCTATAGAACTTGCAGCAGATTCCCTGGCAAATGTCAAATTCATCCAAGAAAAGAAACTGATAGGTTTGCTTGATTATTTTTTCTTCTGGTCCCATTAGTAAAACCACAAGCAGCACAAAATTACTAGGTTTACACCAAAAGTTGTTTTTTTTTTTTAATTTAGCCTCCATGGTTTTTACAGGGATGTGACTTCCGATTTTTAGCGGATATCTGATTTTTCCGTTTTTATTTTTGCCGATTTTTACTTAGTTTAAAAAATTAGGGAAAATAGAAATGACCTCCATCGAAACAGCCCACATGCGCATTCCACATATCTCTATTTAACTACTTAGGTAAAACGGACAATCTAATACTGGCATTTCTTTTCAATATGACGATTGTGCTAGGTCTGAAGGTGCTAGATTAAGATTAAATGTAGATCTAGGTCAAGAATCAGAATTTCTGTGCAATTCCGAATTTTTAAGAACGCTTATTTTTTAGTCCAATTTTTCCACTGATATTTCCAGTTAAATATTTTGATTATGCATGACTTGGAGGTTTCCATATCTGACATGTTTGGAAGTACTAGTACACGGGTGTAATGTTCCCAAATTTATAATTGTGTTGCACCACTAACGGACTATATCCGGTATATATATAAAAAGCACAGACATATTTATAAAGATATTTGAGAGAACCTGTTATCCGGTAGATTATGATCTGTGGGTGTAAGGGTACACACATGAATACTGCAGCTTATTTTTTATGTTAAACCTAATTGTAAATAGTGTAGTTTTAAGTTATGTCGCTGTTTGGTATTGTTTTAAAAAGTGCCTTTGTCCCCATTTGATAAAACCTAGTAATACTAAAGCGATGTTTGAAATGTTTAGGAAGATACTTTGATGAGATATCTCAAGACACAGGCAAATACTGTTTTGGAGTGGAAGATACACTGAAAGCTATGGAAATGGGAGCAGTGGACATTCTCATAGTGTGGGAGAATTTGGATATACAGAGATTTGTTCTGAAGAATCACTCCACAGATGGTAAGTCATTAGATCTTGTACAATAAACATTAATGTTATACCAATTTATTGTGAAAGTCCAGAGATGCGGTTCATCTAGGAGAAAAACACCAAAAACAAACCACTGCTACCTTGTAATTTGTTCTTGGATTGACATGCTAAGGAAGCAAATGCAGAAAGGAAATCGGGATGAAATCAGCATGTCATATGGTGCATAACCTGTTGCCACGTAATACTTAACTGTTTTGGAGGAGATCCTGTCTAACATTACAATTAACCCTTTACAGGCCTATGCACCCGCTGTCACGTTGCTATGTATAGTACGCTTATTTACAAATAGTAGCGGAAGTTTAGTTGATAACGAGATTTTGAAGATACCGGCAGAAGGGAGAAATAATAAGCTTTATTTATAATGTAACCATTGAAAGTAGCTCCAGAGACTACGTTGAATTTGTTTTTGCATTTAAAATAAAAAATGTATAGAAATTAAATTAGAAGTAGTGTTTCGTTTAAGTTTTTACTGGGATTAGTGTTATTTTTATGAAGTATAAGTATATTATTATTAGCGCAAGTGTGTTTTTCTTTCCCAATTATTTTTAAATAATTGCCGTGGTTGAAAAAGGTGTCATCTTTTCTCCTGGCCTTGGTAGTAAAATACTTTTGATGCCCAGGCCGGTAACTGGTTAAGAAAAAGTATACTGACTAAAACTTTTATTTTAACTCTTTAAGACCGTAACGGCGCTTCAAGCTGTCAACAGGGCAGCCTGCCATACCGTAACGATGCTTCCAGCGTCTGATACAATTTTCTCTATTTAATTAGTTGTTTTTCATAATCCAAGATTTTAATCGTAAATCTAGGTCATGACACCGCTTGAGCGGCTATTTTTCATTGTATTTACTTCTTTTGGTTTTCTCATTAGGTTGATTTTGTATTTTATAGAATTATTTTTTTTTAAACAACTAGCAAAACTGCATTTTTTTAACACTGCAGAATGGCGTTCAGCAACCGCATCAAACCGTTTACATTGCCGCATTCCAAAATAAACCAAAATCAAAGTATTTTTATTGAAACTAATTTGAAAAGTAATTCTTATCATTAATTTTCCAGTCAGAGCGTAATTTTTGCCTGAAAAAATCTTTATTTTTTCTTCTTTAAAACTAAGTAATTATCTTTCTTCAATAAATAAGTTACTTAAAATTTATATCAGTGCGTAGGGCATACAATTAAGTTTTATTTTTATCAATGTGTGAGGTTTAAATCAAGGGGTAAAAAGATAATGTCCATTTAGCCACAGGGGTACTGGGAAAAAATAATTACGGGCTTAAAGAGTTGATTTCTACCATCTCCCTATTTAATAAAACCTAGAGATACACATTTTTAATCCACTAAAAAGCGATAACAAATAGTATAATATCAAACATTAAAACAAAATTATTGGCTGCAGTATGCATCAAATGACCTCTTAATTCATTTTGTACAGAATGTTGTTTTACAAGTAACTTTTCTATTTGATTTCTTAACAGTCATACCTTAAAATGTTGAGATGGTCTATACAAGAAAATAGTTCGCCAAAATTTGTCTTTGTAAGGAAAAGAAGATAATTAACAATCATCTTTACTTGCAGATTCTAATTTGTGTTGTTTTAATTACAGAGGAAAAAATATTACACTTACGTCCTGATCAAGAAAAGGATAAAACTTATTTTACTGATAAAGAAGTGAGTTTTCTATTTGTCAAACACTAGCTTTATTTCTTGCTTTCATTGCCAACCTTAGCCCATAATCCTAACTCTGATCCCAACCATAACAAAGTCTCCATGAGAAAATACTTTATAACACTGCCATTGTATGTTCTGTACTAGCTGCCTCTGATTGCTTGCTGTGAACTTTTATTTTAGACTGGAGTAGAGCTGGAGTTGATAGAGCAGATGCCACTCCTGGAATGGTTTGCTAATAATTATAAAAATTTTGGTATGTATTTACTTTACATTTGTTTTCTACTTATTGATTGAGTTTAAAGCCGTAGAATTTTATCCTTGTCTAGTGAGTGTTTTTTTTCCTGAAATTGGTTGGGGTGCCACTTTTCTGGGATATCGATTGCAGATTTTTTAGACGGCTACCAAGTTGCGGGGCTAAACTAACATACATAAATGCATTCAGAGATATTTGCTTAGGCCTATCTGAACTTACTGTGACCTTATCTGTAGTCGAGTGGTACATCTAGGTCTGTAACTGTTAACTTTGCAAGTAACCCAGAAAAAAACAGCAATTTATTTATGTCAATGTTTATTGTGGGGATGAAAAAAAGTAATAGCTGTTATAGGCTTGAAAAGATGGTTCCAAATGATTGTTGCCAGAAAGCATATTTTTCAACCAAAATTGAATATTTTACATTTGTGAAATACTTACAGAATGAATTCTGGTTTTATTTAGGCTAGTAATATAATAGCAATTTAGCTAAGTTATTTTGAATTTTGTTTAATAGAGTCAGGGTGTTGTGGTGATAGGGGATTGTATATTATTTATACTACTTTCAGTTTTCTAATACCTACAACTTGAGTACTGTTTCTGTTAGAAAAAAATTCATAAATAAGTAAAAGATCTAGTTCTCTGTTCTCTCTTAAATTTTGAGTAATTTCTGTTGAATGTAAGTAGTACTCTACGTGATTTCCGATTTTTTTATAAAAATACACATGAATTTATATTTCAAACACTTCTACCAGACAAAGTTATTTTAAACTTTTTACGTAGGTCAATATTTGAAGACAATATACTGTGACATAAAATGTTACTTAATTAGATAATTAACTCTGAAAATTTAATCAAGGTTTTCTTTATAAAGTACTAATGTTTTCACTATTATACAAACGTTTGCTGTTCAATTGGTGCGCAATTCTTTTTAAAAAAAATGTAAGTATATAAAAATCATGTCTATATTTGAGTTGCTATTGGCCATAGTGTTCTATTAGAATATTCTAGAAAGTTTAGTGGAGATCCACTATTAATGTCGGCCTTAGTGTGGATCATTTCTTAATCCTTTGAACCCTTAGATCCTGAACCTAAAATACTTATTCTACTGAGCTGAATGTACACACAAGACTCAATAAAAAAAAGTAAACTACAAATATTACTACAAGATAAACATTTTTTCATGAATTATCGCTAATACTTTGACTTATTATGCCGTTCATCTGTTTAGGTATAACCTTCTTTCACAAATTGGTAGTTTTATACATAGGTGGAATGCAGATTGTTGGAATTTTATATTCATCCTCCATCGTAATTCTAAATGATATACACAACAATTTAGTTAATGGGGACAGCCATGAGTTGAACAGTACTACTTGCGTACTTTTTAAATTTCTCATTTTTTTATATGCATTGTTGATCTGGGGAAATTGTCTAATACTGATTTATCCGTCTATTGGGGCATAGAGATTTAAGACTTGGCTGATAAATCCATACCGCAGGTTCAAAAGTGTTATTGTTTCTGAAATTCCACAACATGAACTTTTAATATTCCTTTTATGTTATCACGTTTCTCGTGGGGGAAGGATGTTTATTTTAAAATTGCCGTTTAGCTTCAGGGTTTCCAAGTTTTAGTTCAAGGATTTAAAAATTTTGGGATTGATTTTCAGGATTCTTTTTAAAATAAGTTACACACCTGGGTGGTCAAGCATTGAACCAAATACTGTTTTTAAAAAAACTAGAGTTAAGATGAAACAGAACACTGCATTTTATAAATACTTTAAAATAATCTGTTTAGTGACAGTAACGTTAATTTTATTTTTATATATCACAAGTGGGTAAAATTCTTGGCACCCATTGCTAGTGTTGAAAGTATGGTGATTGTAGGTAAATAAAAGTAAGTTTTAAGTGTTGTGTTGTATGTATGGTGATTGTAGGTAAATAAAAGTAAGTTTTAAGTGTTGTGTTGTATGTATGGTTATAATGGGTGAACCCTGACAGATATCACACATACTTGTATCCAAGATGAACTTTGTAAAGTGGCATTATTTTTAACAGTTGATAGATGTTTATTTTTCCAATAGGTGCAACCCTGGAAATCATCACAGACAAATCTCAAGAAGGAGCTCAGTTTGTTAAAGGCTTTGGTGGTATAGGAGGTAAGCTATGTAATTTTTAAAGCAGGTATTTTTGTAAGTGAACTACTTCCATTTAACTGATTACTGCCTAGGAATTAATTTAAAAACCAATATATTAAATGATCAAACACAACACATTTGTATCCATCATAATTCATTATAATTTTGGCAAATTCCAAAATTTAAATTTTCTGTAAGTCTCTTTAGTCCACTGTCTTTACTACATAATCTCACATATGTAATAGTCTCAGTAGGCCTACAATATATCTACAGTTGTGTATCAACTTCTCTTTTTAAATTGTTAGCTACCATTTCCTGCAGCTTTTAGATCCATTTGGTAAACTTGTATTAATTTTGAGAGATACAATACTGGAAATTATTAGTAGCATTCAGCTTTTCTTAAAGCATAATAAATGATATGGCTACTATCAAATTAATGATTTTTTTTTTTTTTTTTTTTTTTTTTTTTTAATTATAAGTATTATTCCAAAATGGTTTTTAATTACATAAATAGAATTTATGCACTATCTAACAAATTAGTTTAATGATGAAAAAAATGCTTCTAGTATTTCAGTCTATTTTTATTAAATAGTGATATTTTTAAAACTGGAAAACTAGTACTTAAAAGTAAGTTTCAATGTTATTTTAGAGTAATGCAAATAGTTTTTTTTTTTTTTAATGTCATGGTCTTGTCTCATCTCTGCATAATTTTAAAACTTAATTATTTCACATATATCAAAAAAATAATAAAAAGGAATTTGTAGGAAAGAGATTGCTTGTGGCATCAAAATGTAGGTAGTTAACACCTTAAATTTACTGTCTATATAACAGATATTTGTTTTTTAGGCCTGAGATTATTTTCTATTTTAATAAAACAACAATTTAAAAAATATTTCAATCAACATGAAAGGTTCTGTAATTTTTTCAGGTCCTTCAGTAAAAATAACTTATCTTTTTTCTTCAGCATAAATGGATTGCTTTTAAGACTGGTTTACAAAATCACATTAATAACAGTGTTAATTCTAAAATTTAATAAATTGTTCTGCAAATGCTGACAGATTAATTTAATTAAAGGAAAATTAATTAAGCATCAAAATAATAGCACGAATTTATGTAAATGATAAAATGTAAAACCAATGTTGCACAGAAGTAGGTTACCCCTTAACTCTTAAATTGATTATTACTACTAAATCAGTGATACTCTGGAGTCAGGTTGGTAGAGCTGATCATTGCTAAACCAAAAAATCTTGATGTCCTTCATGAGGGTTCAATCTAGGAGGAAAAACTTTAAAATTTATACAACTGCTGCCTTGTACAAAATGGAGGCAAAAAAGAGGCTGAAAGTCAACTGCCTTTATGGCGCCTACCAAGTTGACATATTAAATAAAAAATACTCAAGCGTCGTAGGCAATCTCTACCAACAATACAATTGAGAACAAAAAGCAGAAAGTGATACTCTTTAAAAATTTCAGTCGACTTTTTGCTCAAACAACCACGAGCTTTACCAGCCAGCTTGACCATGCTGATGTTAAATTGAGCCTATCTCCTGAGGTATTTTTCTCAATTTGAAAACTGGCCTACAGCGTGTACTCCCAGCAACGGACAAATATGCAAAACTATGGATTTTAAATTATAACATAGAGCCACAAAAATTTTCCTTTTTCAAGGCTTTAGAAAAAAAAATATTATATTTTTGAGTTAAGTAACATTTTGAGGATTGACTGAGCAATACGCTATTTATTTAGCATAAGAATATTGACAATATTAATAAAAAAAAAAACCTCATTAGTTAGATTTCAAAACAAAATAAATTCCATATTTTCCACTGAACTGTTTTTGTATTCAATACTGTCCTACTAAGTCAGCTTTGGACAGTGTTATGACATGAGCTCTGTTATTTTACATTTCAGGAATCTTGCGGTACCAAGTTGACTTTCAAGCTTTGGATTCTTCACTGCATGATACATTGTATGAAGAGTTTGATTTGGATGATTATTAATACTTTGTTGTATGATGTGATGGACTTGGAATATATTCAAGTTGATGTTATAACCTTCATGAGAGCTTGAGCTATTCCAGGGTCATATGGCTAATGGTTGTACATCTGGCTGTTGTGTGATTGTGTGGGCATAAAGAATTTAGTTCCTATCCTGTGAGAGGCCATCTATATACCTTTTTAAAAATACTTTTGGTACCTATGCATGGAATAATGCTGCTGAGTGCTCCATGAAATTATTAACTGTGTAATAGGTCTGTCACACTGATGTGATAGGTCTGTCACACTGATGTGATAGGTCTGTCACACTGATGTGATAGGTCTGTCACACTGATGTGATAGGTCTGTCACACTGATGTGATAGATTGATCATACAGGTAACTTTGATTGACAACCTCCATCCTTGGTGTATATTTATATAGATGGCCTGTTGTATTCTTTCTTGCATAGACAAGAAAATGTTAACAAGCCATTTGAAAAAAAGAGCTGTTAATTTGTTTATTTTTCTGATGTAAGGGGAAGCTTGTAGTGTTTATTGTATGGAAGACAGATTTCAACTTTAACTTGTAATTGACTCTAATAAAAGAAGCAAATGCTATTTATTGCCATTTTAATTGATGCTGTTTTTATTTGGGTTCTATGGGCAACTGGGTACAGATATCTGAAAATAAAATTGACTCAATGTCTCTACCTGTTAATGCTTTATTTACAATTCTAATTAATTTGTTGACTGGTATCCATGTAGTCATATGGTACAATATGGGGGGAGGCATATTTGAAAATTGTTCATGAATGGTGCATCTAGTTTCAATAAACTAAGTAAATTTTATTTTGAAAAATCTAGATCAGACAAGTGCAATTACAATTAATAGCTTATTTTCACAAAGACAAGCTAGTTACTGAGGCTTAGTTACTTAGAGCTGGGAAGGTTTGAAAATTTAAAACTGCTCCATTTATAGTTATAGGGGTCTCAGATCTTTTTTGCAAGCTCTTATTAAACTCACTTCCTCAGTCGTCTGAGCGAAATTTTGAACACTTCTGACAAATACGATTCGTAGTTGGTACATGGGTCAAGACATGAAGACAATGCATCATGACATTAATTTGACTTAATTGGATGCCTAATTAATTTTTTATGAATTAAAATTTTGACCAAATTAGTAGGCAGTTCTATCCAACTACACACGCGTCATCACGTTCAATGGGCCCACAATGGTTTTTGCAAGCTTTTATTTAACTCACTTCCTCTGTCGACAGTCTGTCTGTCATTAGTTTAGATCGAAACGCCAGAGCGAAATTACAGGCACTTGACAGATATGGTTCTTGGTTGGTACATGGGTCAAGACATGAAGACAATGCAATCTGAAATTAAATTTGACTTAATTGGATGCCTAATTAATTTTTTATGAATTAATTGAAATTTTGACCAAATTAGGCATTTCTATCCAACCACACCACTCGTGTCATCACGTTTCAATAGGCACGCAATGATTTTTTAGTCATGTAACTCTTATTGTGAATAAAAAGTACTAAAAAATGTTTTCATAAAAAACGTTTTAATAACAAGCTTTTGTGTAATAATGCACTAAAAAGTAGAAAATAATTTATAGACTACTATTTAAATAACTACAAAAATGTACAACTATTTAAATAAACTGGGAGTGATCTCCCCTACACTTTCTTGAATATTCTTATATAACTGATTATAACACTATGGGGGATGGCAACTCAGGGATATAGACAATATTTGAAAACATTTTTAACAACTTAAACTTTTTAAAATAGAATATGGTAGAAAAAAGAATTACACACCAAGTGAACGCCAAAACAAAATGTGCATAATATTTCGGGATGTTATTAGTACTTTATAAATTCACAAGCGTTTATTTGAGAAATCGGAAATTGCGAAAATCACTACTTCCTGTCAACGGAAATTACTCAAAATTTGAAAGAAGGCTGAGAAACAGAACTTTTACTTATATGTGAAATTTCATTTATCTATCTGAAATAGTACTCAAGTTGTAGGCTTTTGAAAAATTAAAAGTAGAAAAAGTTCCACTTCTGGTTATCGGAAATCGCTAAAAAGTTGATATGGATCTACAAATTTGATATAATACTTATACTTATATATGAAATTTCATCAACCTAGCTGTACAGACAGAATTGCAAAGTCCAGTTTTTCTACTCGATTACGCGTAAAACGCTGAAATTTTAATAAATAAGGATTTAGAATTTTTGCCCAATTTTTTTTTTGCACGATTACAATTCTTTCTCTATAACCCTAATACGAGAAAGTAAAAACTAAAGAAAAGAGTGGGTCACTATTAGAGAATTTGAATCACATCTTATACACTAGTTTCTGTCAACTGTGATGTCCAGTCATTGGAAGTAGCATTATATTTCTACTTTGGCTTGTTTCAACAGTATGACCATTGGGTCAGTGGGGAATCTGCAAAAAAGCAGAATTTATGTATGGACGATCTCTAATGATGTGTAAATGTTATCAATCCATGTAAATATGTCAGTTACATTAAATGAACAAGTACCACACATAGTTGGCTGCCTTTTAACACCTGATATTGATATGGAGATTTTAACAATATTTTCTTTTCAAGGAAGGGACAGTAATGTCAGAAGTTCTACATCCCTGCACTAGAGCCCAATACAGAACTAGGCAGAAAAATATTGTACCGGTTTATTAGAATAAGGTTGTGACTGGTTACAGCTGGTTGAATCTATCTTCTGATTGTTGGTAAATTCTAGTTAAATTCCATTTCTGTTAGCTCTCCACTAGAAATTGTACAGTGATGATGTCCCCTAGTCCAGCCTGAATGACGTCCCCTGGTTGTACTTGGGAGACGCCAGCAGGGGTTCCTGTAAGGATTAAATCCCCTGGCTCCAGCGTGAAATACTGGCTAGCATAGCTAATCAAATGCTCCACAGAAAAGATCATATCCCTGGTATTGCCTTCTTGTCTGGTCTTGCCATTCACTTTGAGCCATATATCGACGTTATTTGGATCTGGGATCTAGAATTAGAATACATCAGGGGTCTACATGTATAGGATGAAAGGATTATAGTAAATAAATTATGGGTCTAAGTCTAAGACATAGAAAGAAAATACTTTATCTCTAACCTTTTCTTTTTCTATAAAAGTACTAACTGGACATGAAGTATCAAAACCTTTAGCAAGAGACCATGGGTGGCCAGATTTTTTAGCCACTGACTGCCAGTCTCGAGCTGTCATGTCCAGGCCAAGTGCAAAACCAGCAACGAAATTCAATGCATTTTCCTGTGTCACTTTAGTAGCACGGGCCCCAATCACAACTCCTAACTCAACTTCATGGTTCAGATCTTTGCATCCTTCTGGTATCTGCAAAAGTCATTTGTCTAGCTTCAATCAGTGAACACAGAGTTTGCTATTTACAAAAATTAGCTGCTTGGTCCAGTCTTGTGAACGAATCCTCGGGCAGATGAGGCTCGATAGCTGGGGACAGTCACTCTTCTAGGAGAGACAACTCCAAAACCAACCTATTGCTGCCTTTTAGTTTGTTCTTGGTTGGACAAAGGCTATGGAAGCAAATCCAAAAGTAGTTGGGTGTTTGATCAAATACACACAAATTTTTTTAAAAGTTTCACTTAAAATTTAATTTAGCTTCATGTCTGGCTAACTTGACCTGATGTCAACACTCCTTGGTCCCCATTGTTAATGCTTACTGAAATACTTGAATGTTAATCAGATGTCAGGGATCAAATGATATGGGTTGATTGGCTAGCTATGAACCAATTCAGTGAGGCCTAACATTGTTTTCTCTGTAAATCTCAAGTTTGGTGCCAGATGCAGGTGGAATCATATAGTGCACAAAAGATAACTTAGCTGGACACTTTTCTCCACTCAATTGGCTCACTCTCACCACAATCTCACCACACAGTCTCACTCTACCCTCAGTCTCACCCTACCCTCACAGTCTCACTCCTACACTCAGTCTCACCATAGAGTCTCACCCTACCCTCACAGTCTCACCACACAGTCTCACCCTCCCCTCACTGTCTCACTCCTACACTCAGTCTCACCACACAATCTCACCACACAGTCTCACCCTACCCTAACAGTCTCACCCTACCCTCACAATCTCACCCTACCCTCACAGTCTCACTACCCTCACAATCTCACCACACAATCTCACCACACAATCTCACCACACAGTCTCACCCTACCCTCACAATCTCACCACACAATCTCACCCTACCCTCACAGTCTCACTACCCTCACAATCTCACCACACAATCTCACCACACAATCTCACCACACAGTCTCACCCTACCCTCACAATCTCACCCTACCCTCACAGTCTCACCCTACCCTCACAATCTCACCACACAATCTCACCCTACCCTCACAGTCTCACCCTACCCTCACAGTCTCACCCTACCATCACAATCTCACCACACAATCTCACCCTACCCTCACAATCTCATCACACAATCTCACCATACCCTCACAGTCTCACCCTACCCCCACAGTCTCACCCTACCCTCACAGTCTCACCCTACCCCCACAGTCTCACCCTACCCTCACAATCTCACCACACAATCTCACCCTACCCTCACAATCTCACCACACAATCTCACCCTACCCTCACAGTCTCACCCTACCCTCACAGTCTCACCCTACCCTCACAGTCTCACCCTACCCTCACAATCTCACCCTACCCTCACAATCTCACCCTACCCTCACAATCTCACCCTACCCTCACAATCTCACCCTACCCTCACAATCTCACCCTACCCTCACAATCTCACCCTACCCTCACAATCTCACCCTACCCTCACAGTCTCACCCTACCCTCACAATCTCACCTCACAGTCTCACCATACCCTCACAATCTCACCTCAAAGTCTCACCACACAGTCTCAATACCCTCACAATCTCACCCTACCCTCACAGTCTCACATCACAATCTCACCACACAATCTCACCCTACCCTCAAAATCTCACCACACAGTCTCACCCTACCCTCACAATCTCACCACACAGTCTCACCCTACCCTCACAATCTCACCCTACCCTCACAGTCTCACCCTACCCTCACAATCTCACCCTACCCTCACAGTCTCACCCTACCCTCACAATCTCACCCTACCCTCACAATCTCACCACACAATCTCACCCTACCCTCACAGTCTCACCCTACCCTCACAATCTCACCACACAATCTCACCCTACCCTCACAATCTCACCCTACCCTCACAATCTCACCCTACCCTCACAGTCTCACCCTACCCTCACAATCTCACCACCACACAGTCTCACCCTACCCTCACAATCTCACCCTACCCTAACAATCTCACCCTACCCTCACAGTCTCACCCTACCCTCACAATCTCACCCTACCCTCACAATCTCACCTCACAGTCTCACCCTACCCTCACAATCTCACCACACAATCTCACCCTACCCACACAATTTCACCTCACAATCTCACCCTACCCTCACAGTCTCACCATACCCTCACAATCTCACCCTACCCTCACAATCTCACCACACAATCTCACCCTACCCTCACAATCTCACCCTACCCTAACAATCTCACCACACAATCTCACCACACAATCTCACCACCACAGTCTCACCCTACCCTCACAATCTCACCCTACCCTAACAATCTCACCCTACCCTCACAATCTCACCCTACCCTCACAATCTCACCACACAATCTCACCCTACCCTCACAGTCTCACCCTACCCTCACAATCTCACCCTACCCTCACAATCTCACCCTACCCACACAATCTCACCACACAGTCTCACCCTACCCTCACAATCTCACCCTACCCTCACAGTCTCACCCTACCCTCACAATCTCACCCTACCCTCACAATCTCACCCTACCCTCACAATCTCACCCTACCCTCACAGTCTCACCCTATCCTCACAATCTCACCTCACAGTCTCACCATACCCTCACAATCTCACCTCACAGTCTCACCACACACTCTCACTACCCTCATAATCTCACCACACAGTCTCAATACCCTCACAATCTCACCCTACCCTCACAGTCTCACCTCACAATCTCACCACACAGTCTCACCCTACCCTCACAATCTCACCACACAGTCTCACCCTACCCTCACAATCTCACCCTACCCTCACAGTCTCACCCTACCCTCACAATCTCACCCTACCCTCACAATCTCACCCTACCCTCACAATCTCACCCTACCCTCACAGTCTCACCCTACCCTCACAATCTCACCTCACAGTCTCACCATACCCTCACAATCTCACCTCACAGTCTCACCACACACTCTCACTACCCTCATAATCTCACCACACAGTCTCAATACCATCACAATCTCACCCTACCCTCACAGTCTCACCTCACAATCTCACCACACAATCTCACCCTACCCTCACAATCTCACCACACAGTCTCACCCTACCCTCACAATCTCACCACACAGTCTCACCCTACCCTCACAATCTCACCACACAATCTCACCCTACCCTCACAATCTCACCCTACCCTCACAATCTCACCCTACCCTCACAATCTCACCACACAGTCTCACCATACCCTCACAATCTCACCCTATCCTCACAGTCTCACCCTACCCACACAGTCTCACCCTACCCTCACAATCTCACCTCAGTCTCACCATACCCTCACAATCTCACCCTACCCTCACAATCTCACCACACAATCTCACCCTACCCTCACAATCTCACCCTACCCTCACAGTCTTACCCTACCCTCACAATCTCACCACACAGTCTCACCCTACCCTCACAGTCTCACCATACCCTCACAATCTCACCTCACAGTCTCACCATACCCTCATAATCTCACCACACAATCTCACCCTACCCACACAATCTCACCCTACCCTCACAATCTCACCCTACCCTAACAATCTCACCCTACCCTCACAGTCTCACCATACCCTCACAATCTCACCTCACAGTCTCACCATACCCTCATAATCTCACCACACAATCTCACCCTACCCACACAATCTCACCCTACCCTCACAATCTCACCCTACCCTAACAATCTCACCCTACCCACACAGTCTCACCCTACCCTCACAATCTCACCCTACCCACACAATCTCACCCTACCCTCACAATCTCACCCTACCCTCACAATCTCACCACACAGTCTCACCCTACCCTCACAATCTCACCCTACCCTCACAATCTCACCACACAGTCTCACCCTACCCTCACAATCTCACCTCACAGTCTCACCATACCCTCACAATCTCACCACACACTCTCACTACCCTCACAATCTCACCACACAATCTCACCCTACCCTCACAGTCTCAATACCCTCACAATCTCACCACACAATCTCACCACACAATCTCACCCTACCCTCACAATCTCACCACACTATCTCACCACATAATCTCACCCTACCCTCACAATCTCACCACACAATCTCACCACACAATCGCAATACCTCACTCCTACCCCCACCATCAGTTGGTGTCAATAAGTAACAAACATAAACTCTAAAAGGCTATAAATGAACTACAAAACACAATGTGTAAATTTGTGGCTGCCCATTCACCCCCTCCCCTCTAACACTACTGGTTCTGTGTATGTGTTTAGCACTTAGTGCATGAGCTGATTACCTTTATGCTCTGACCCTCCCCAATATAAGCAGATGTAGGCTTAAGAAACAGGATGGGTTGACTCGGCACAGGATTTCCTAACTCTGCTGCATGTTCTCTGAAACAAATAGACAAATGGGCTAGGTCAGGGGTCGGCAACCTGTGGCTCGCGAGCCTCATGCGGCTCTTTTGATGTCAAGATGCGGCTCTCCAGCTCCTTGCACAAATACTAATAATCTTAATCAAAAAATAAAATACTTGAAATTAAAAAAATGTTAGTGGCTCTTTAAAACCAGGGAAATTTTGAAAATTGTAACTTTTGGCTCTTCCGCTTCAAAAGGTTGCCGACCCCTGGGCTAGGTCGCTAGGAAAAGCTAGGGGTTTTATAACAGAGGCGTAGCAAGAGGGGGGGGGGGGGAGGGTGGAAATCGAAAGTTTGAGGGAGGTGGGAGGGTGTAAATCAAAATTTTCCGCCGGCGCTCGGAAAGGGCGCGATTTGGCGCTACGGGATAGACTGTGAGCAATATGCCTTTATGATTACATTTAAATTGAGTTTATGTTGAGTGTTGTTTTTGTTTTTTCGTTTTTGTTTTTTCTTTGCGTTCGTTTGTGTTGTATTTAGTTTTGTTCTGTTCCCAACTTGGTACATTTAAAAAAGATTTACCGTGTGTTGTGGTTATTTTGTGGTTGTGGTTGTGTTGTGGTTGTGTTGTGATTGTGTTGTGGTTGTAATGTGGTTGTGTTGTGGTTGTGGTTGTGTTTTGTTTGTGTTTATGTTGTGTTTTTGTTTGTTTTGTTCTGTTCCAAAGTTGGTATATTTTAAAAAGATTTACCGTGGCGGAGCACGGGATGCAGCTAGTAAACTATAATAGAGTATACTATAGTCTCAGTATAAGCTATAACTGCAGAGAATAGAATAACCAATAAATGTTTTACTAGGCCTAAAGTTAGTTAGATCTAATCTAGTACTAGTATATACTATATTCATATAGATCTAGATTCTAGTAGAGAGTAGTGAGAGTAGTCATAGTCATACATACTACATAGAGTACCTGTAGTTTCGCCCAACACAAACAATTTTTTTGCCGATTTCGCGAAATTGTGTTAATCGAGACATGATTGATTATTGATTATGATTGATAATGTTGTCAATCTCAGGTAAACTAGACTTATTTTATATTTCACAACATAACAAGTAACAAGGATGTACTGTGACAAAAAAATAAAACTGTAATAATTTAGATCTAGAATCTAGAATTAGATCTCAATATTTTCACTAGATCTCTTCTACACCACACAAGTTCGACCTTTGTCCTTTGCCCTCACTGATAGTATGAAAATAAAAATAAAATGTCACTGTAACACTAAATCACGAGAGATAGACATATTAATCTAGGGGCTATATGGTGCTGCTTAAAATTTCATTTGAATTGGCCTTGATCTATATATGTAGTAATAAATCTATAAACAATAACGGTCATTATTATTACAAGTAAGTGAAGATTAAACCCTGAAATAAAAAAATAGTGAGTGTTTTTTTAATGATATAAAAGTTGTAAACTAAATACTAAACAAACATAAAATGATAAAATCTCTTAACTAACAATTCATGGTTTTTATCTAAAAGTTTACTTTAAAAATTACATTTTAGGGTTAAGGTTAAAAAAAAAGCTAAAAATCAACATTCAGTAAGTGTATTATTATTAGTCAGAAAGGCATAGAATGTTAACCTAATGTAATATACATCCAGACAAACATTTCAGACTACAACAACTAGAAAATAATAAAAATAAAATTACACGAGTTGCATATCTGGACCATCTTAGTAAGATTCTTTCTCGCAGCGGCTATAATAACTTTTAAGTCCTTTTAAATTTGAACAATATGGGAACAAAGCATCAGTTTGGCCAATAAGCCAGCCTTCGCAACCAGCCTGAGGTCTGCCACCATCCGAGGCCTATACCAAGGCCTGCCACCATCCAAGGTCTGCCACCATCCAAGGTCTGCCACCATCCAAGGTCTGCCACCATCCAAGGTCTGCCACCATCCAAGGTCTGCCACCATCCAAGGCCTGCCACCATCCAAGGTCTGCCACCATCCAAGGCCTATACCAAGGCCTGCCACCATCCAAGGTCTGCCACCATCCAAGGTCTGCCACCATCCAAGGCCTGCCACCATCCAAGGCCTGCCACCATCCAAGGCCTGCCACCATCCAAGGTCTGCCACCATCCAAGGTCTGCCACCATCCAAGGTCTGCCACCATCCAAGGTCTGCCACCATCCAAGGCCTGCCACCATCCAAGGCCTGCCACCATCCAAGGCCTGCCACCATCCAAGGCCTATACCAAGGTCTGCCACCATCCAAGGCCTGCCACCATCCAAGGTCTGCCACCATCCAAGGTCTGCCACCATCCGAGGCCTATACTGAGGTCTGCCACCATCCAAGGCCTATACCAAGGCCTGCCACCATCAGAGGCCTTTACAGAGGTCTGCCACCATCCAAGGCCTATACCGAGGTCTGCCACCATCCAAGGCCTGCCACCATCCAAGGCCTATACCAAGGTCTGCCACCATCCAAGGTCTGCCACCATCCAAGGCCTGCCACCATCCAAGGCCTGCCACCATCCAAGGCCTATACCGAGGTCTGCCACCATCCAAGGCCTATACCGAGGTCTGCCACCATCCAAGGCCTATACTGAGGTCTGCCACCATCCAAGGTCTGCCACCATCCAAGGTCTGCCACCATCCAAGGCCTATACTGAGGTCTGCCACCATCCAAGGCCTGCCACCATCCAAGCTGCCACCATCCAAGGCCTGCCACCATCCAAGGCCTATACCGAGGCCTGCCACCATCCAAGGCCTATACTGAGGTCTGCCACCATCCAAGGCCTATACCGAGGTCTGCCACCATCCAAGGCCTATACCGAGGTCTGCCACCATCCAAGGCCTATACTGAGGTCTGCCACCATCCAAGGCCTATACCGAGGTCTGCCACCATCCAAGGCCTATACCGAGGTCTGCCACCATCCAAGGTCTGCCACCATCCAAGGTCTGCCACCATCCAAGGCCTATACCGAGGTCTGCCACCATCCAAGGTCTGCCACCATCCAAGGCCTATACCGAGGTCTGCCACCATCCAAGGCCTGCCACCATCCAAGCTGCCACCATCCAAGGCCTATACCGAGGTCTGCCACCATCCAAGGCCTGCCACCATCCAAGGCCTATACCGAGGTCTGCCACCATCCAAGGCCTATACCGAGGTCTGCCACCATCCAAGGCCTATACCGAGGTCTGCCACCATCCAAGGCCTGCCACCATCCAAGGCCTATACCGAGGTCTGCCACCATCCAAGGTCTGCCACCATCCAAGGTCTGCCACCATCCAAGGCCTATACCGAGGTCTGCCACCATCCAAGGCCTGCCACCATCCAAGCTGCCACCATCCAAGGCCTATACCGAGGTCTGCCACCATCCAAGGCCTGCCACCATCCAAGGCCTATACCAAGGTCTGCCACCATCCAAGGTCTATACCGAGGTCTGCCACCATCCGAGGCCTATACCGAGGTCTGCCACCATCCAAGGTCTATACCAAGGTCTGCCACCATCCAAGGCCTATACCGAGGTCTGCCACCATCCAAGGCCTGCCACCATCCAAGGCCTATACCGAGGTCTGCCACCATCCAAGGCCTATACCAAGGTCTGCCACCATCCAAGGCCTATACCAAGGTCTGCCACCATCCAAGGCCTGCCACCATCCAAGGCCTATACAGAGGTCTGCCACCATCCAAGGCCTATACTGAGGTCTGCCACCATCCAAGGCCTATACCAAGGCCTGCCACCATCCGAGGCCTATACCGAGGTCTGCCACCATCCAAGGCCTGCCACCATCCAAGGCCTATACCGAGGTCTGCCACCATCCAAGGCCTATACTGAGGTCTGCCACCATCCAAGGCCTATACTGAGGTCTGCCACCATCCAAGGCCTATACTGAGGTCTGCCACCATCCAAGGCCTATACCAAGGCCTGCCACCATCCAAGGCCTATACCGAGGTCTGCCACCATCCAAGGCCTATACTGAGGTCTGCCACCATCCAAGGCCTATACCAAGGCCTGCCACCATCCGAGGCCTATACCGAGGTCTGCCACCATCAAAGGCCTGCCACCATCCAAGGCCTATACAGAGGTCTGCCACCATCCGAGGCCTATACCGAGGTCTGCCACCATCCAAGGTCTATACCAAGGTCTGCCACCATCCAAGGCCTATACCGAGGTCTGCCACCATCCAAGGCCTGCCACCATCCAAGGCCTATACCGAGGTCTGCCACCATCCAAGGCCTATACCAAGGTCTGCCACCATCCAAGGCCTATACCGAGGTCTGCCACCATCCAAGGCCTGCCACCATCCAAGGCCTATACAGAGGTCTGCCACCATCCAAGGCCTATACCGAGGTCTGCCACCATCAAAGGCCTGCCACCATCCAAGGCCTGCCACCATCCAAGGCCTGCCACCATCCAAGGCCTGCCACCATCCAAGGCCTGCCACCATCCAAGGTCTGCCACCATCCAAGGTCTATACCGAGGTCTGCCACCATCCAAGGCCTGCCACCATCCAAGGCCTATACCGAGGTCTGCCACCATCCAAGGCCTATACCAAGGTCTGCCACCATCCAAGGCCTATACCAAGGTCTGCCACCATCCAAGGCCTGCCACCATCCAAGGCCTATACCGAGGTCTGCCACCATCCAAGGCCTATACCGAGGTCTGCCACCATCCAAGGCCTATACCGAGGTCTGCCACCATCCAAGGCCTATACCGAGGTCTGCCACCATCCAAGGCCTATACCGAGGTCTGCCACCATCCAAGGCCTATACCGAGGTCTGCCACCATCAAAGGCCTGCCACCATCCAAGGCCTATACCGAGGTCTGCCACCATCCAAGGCCTATACCGAGGTCTGCCACCATCCAAGGCCTGCCACCATCCAAGGCCTGCCACCATCCAAGGCCTATACCAAGGTCTGCCACCATCCAAGGTCTGCCACCATCCAAGGTCTGCCACCATCCAAGGTCTGCCACCATCCAAGGTCTATACCAAGGTCTGCCACCATCCAAGGCCTGCCACCATCCAAGGCCTATACCGAGGTCTGCCACCATCCAAGGCCTATACCGAGGTCTGCCACCATCCAAGGTCTGCCACCATCCAAGGCCTATACTGAGGTCTGCCACCATCCAAGGTCTGCCACCATCCAAGGCCTATACCGAGGTCTGCCACCATCCAAGGTCTATACCGAGGTCTGCCACCATCCAAGGCCTGCCACCATCCAAGGCCTATACCGAGGTCTGCCACCATCCAAGGTCTATACAGAGGTCTGCCACCATCCAAGGCCTATACTGAGGTCTGCCACCATCCAAGGTCTGCCACCATCCAAGGCCTATACCGAGGTCTGCCACCATCCAAGGTCTATACAGAGGTCTGCCACCATCCAAGGCCTATACTGAGGTCTGCCACCATCCAAGGCCTATACCGAGGTCTGCCACCATCCAAGGCCTATACTGAGGTCTGCCACCATCCAAGGCCTATACCGAGGTCTGCCACCATCCAAGGTCTGCCACCATCCAAGGCCTATACTGAGGTCTGCCACCATCCAAGGCCTATACCAAGGCCTGCCACCATCCGAGGCCTATACTGAGGTCTGCCACCATCCAAGATCTGCCACCATCCAAGGTCTGCCACCATCCAAGGTCTGCCACCATCCAAGGTCTGCCACCATCCAAGGCCTATACCGAGGTCTGCCACCATCCAAGGTCTGCCACCATCCAAGGTCTGCCACCATCCAAGGCCTATACTGAGGTCTGCCACCATCCAAGGCCTGCCACCATCCAAGGTCTATACCGAGGTCTGCCACCATCCAAGGCCTATACCGAGGTCTGCCACCATCCAAGGTCTGCCACCATCCAAGGCCTATACTGAGGTCTGCCACCATCCAAGGCCTATACTGAGGTCTGCCACCATCTAGCGTGTGCCAATATTATTTTATTACATTCTAGCTTTCCCCTGGCCTGCTCACCCCCAATATCTTATGTTAACCCCGTGGGTAGTAGTAAAAAGGTGTTAATGGCCTGATGTTATGCTGTCTTTTTGCCTGTCCTATGAGATGCTGTCTGGTGTCTGTCATCGTGATGTCAACCTGTACCTGTGCTGTGAGATCCTGTACAGTTCCTGTCGGCAAGATGCTGTCCAGTACCTGTCGGCTAGATGCTGTCTAGTATACCTGTCGGCTAGATGCTGTCTAGTATACCTGTCATGATGGCAACCGGAGGCTGTCGACAAGAAGCTGTTGCCCGTTCCTGTTATGTCGCTGTGTGTCTGGCTAGGTAGTTTGTGAGTACCGGTACTGGGTAGTTTGTGAGTACCAGATTCTGAAACATCACTATGACAGTATGAATCACTATGACCGGCGGTCACGGCTACGCTCACTCCAATGGCACAATAAATAGCTGCTGGTATGAAAATAATAAATACCATGTAAACCATTAATTGAAAATTTTATATATTCACAAACCCTAGCGAGCGCAGCGTATATGCTGTTTAATTTGCACGCAAGTCACGGTCCTCTACTTCTACTCTAGAGAAACGTTTATCTGAAAGTAAAATACAAGGCTTGTTCCAATTTAAATTTTAGAAACAGTGCATTGATGACATTCAAAATGTTGAATGTGTGGTGTGAACATTCATAGTAAACTGTATTTACTGTGAGCAGAAGTCCAAGAGCACCGTTCAAACTAAAAATAATTAATTAATAATTAGGGCTAAAGACTTCGAACCAAATTTGTTTTTCATCATTTTTCATTATTTTTTGGGTAACTAGTAAAACCAAAGTATTTATTTTTATTGACTTCATTGCTGAAAAGTTCAGACGAGCGAATGTTGAATGTTGTAGATCTATTATGGTTGATAAGATCGATTTCTCAGAGGTAGGTATTTTGATGAAAATATAGGCCTAAAAATTAGTTCTAATATTTATTAGTAATTCTCACTATATTTTAAATCTCTTTATTAAGTATTCTCACTACATTTTAAATCTCATTATAAAGTATTCTCACTCAATTTTAACGTTTACTAACGTCTAACAGAGTCCATAAGTATTAATAAGTAAAGTTTAAAAGTAAAGTTCCCCTTCCAAACCTGACGGCTATGGGCATGGGGCAAGTGAAGTAGAGTTCACCTGTTTCTGTGACCTCGGCATATGAAGGGATAGTGTGGTCAGCCGCCTTTACTTTCCCTAACATGAGTTAGGTACCCATCAGAGCTGGGTGGATGGTCTAACTAACTTGAACCCGGATTTGAATTCGAGACACATGGGTTAGCAGTCTAGCTCTCTACCGCAAGGCCACTCCGTCCCATAACAGAGTCCAAAGGGAATAGGGTGTTTTAGAAACAACTAAACTGTTTCTTTAATTGAAAAAAACTATCATTGAACATTGTGAGTCCTACTACACTGCTGCATAAAAAAACAGATTAATCTGATGTTACAACATGTAAATGACAGAGTCAGACGAAATTAAAATACTGCATCTTAGCCCCAAACGAGCTAGGACCATCAAATGTAGTGTCTGTTTGATTTGTTTATATCTAGTTTTCATTGGTATTGTTTCAGTAGAAAAATATAAAAAATTTAGTGAGAGATGATAGATGGGAAAAGAGAGCCCCTTACAGCTCATGGGTTGGCAACTTGATTTTAGGAAAACAATTCAGAGGAAAAAAATGCAGGAAAAGTCACAGGAAGAAAGTCACAAATGCGTATTTGCATGGAATTTGTTAATACTGTTATATATTATGCTAATCAATTTAGGATTAATTAAATGTAATGTAATCATTTGTATACATTTAGTGATATTTATAACACACATACAAGATTTTAGTATAAAGTTTGTAGGTTAATTTTAATTCTGTTTTACATTTACAGTATAATATTTAATAGAATTTAAAATAATGTTCAAACCTTGTTGGTTTCAATAGTGTTTTTTAAATACTAACTTTAAATTAGCCTGAAATAGCATAAAGGCAAATTAAATGTGACTTGCTGTCCTCAACTATTCACAACAATAGTTCAACCACATGTACTGCCTACATTTATCATGCTTATTACATAACAAAGCCTAGGATCAAAAGAGAAAGCCGGCATGGTACAAAGGCTGTGATTAACGCAAAATGTAAATAACACACAATATGGACGGACAAAGCTGCCTGAGGAGAAGACGACCATGATAAGGCCTACGGCAAAAACATGCAAACCCAATGATGAGCCTAAATTTATTTTAAAATAATTTTTCACAGCATCTTTAACTGAATAAGTAACCAATGTTGACATTGCTATGTACATTATCTTACAGTAACTTGTAATTGTTATAAAAAATAATGCTTTTAAAGTTTACAAATTTGCTACAGAAAAACTTAGCAAGCAAATTAATACGCCCCAAAATTTTACAATAATCAACAGTTAAGTCAAAATATTTTTTAGAATATTTTTGTGACTTATTTCTGTGACTTTATTACTATGACTTTTTTTCCAATAAAATTTTTTCTTTTGTGACTTTTTTGTTTTTTTTCCCTGTGACTTTTTTCCTTTCACCGGCAACCCAACTCACCCCTGTAGCTAATCCTCTGTCAGGTTACAATTCTGTCCGGCTACAATTCTGTCAGGTTACAAAAACTGTTGTGTAAGATGGGTCAGATGCTGGATCCAGAGGTTCATCTTTCATATTTTGCCATCTAGGTCAATAATTGACACTTGTGTAGCTAGGTCAATAATTGACACTTGTGTAGCTAGGTCAATAATTGACACTTGTGTAGCTAGGTCAATAATTGACACTTCAGTAGCTAGGTCAATAATTACCACTTGAGTAGCTAGGGTTGATTAAAAGCTTTGTTATAACTTGTATATCTTTAGGTGCCAAAAGATGTAGGAGATGAGTATGATTCAGCCTTTGAGTCGGAGATTAAATCTAAAAGGTAACACTAACTTTAGAATGGTTTCACACCCTGACTCCAACACTAACTTTAGAATGGTTTCACACCCTGACTCCAACACTAACTTTAGAATGGTTTCACACCCTGACTCCAACACTAACTTTAGAATGGTTTCACACCCTGACTCCAACACTAACTTTAGAATGGTTTCACACCCTGACTCCAACACTAACTTTAGAATGGTTTCACACCCTGACTCCAACACTAACTTTAGAATGGTTTCACACCCTGACTCCAACACTAACTTTAGAATGGTTTCACACCCTGACTCCAACACTAAATTTAGAATGGTTTCACACCCTGACTCCAACACTAATTTTAGAATGGTTTCACACCCAGGCAGGTTGACAAAGGCCTTGTGAAGGAGAGAAAAAGTCAAACCAAAGTTGCAAGCAAGCGTCAACTGGAGGATGAATTGATTAGGTAAGTTACAGAGTTAGATTGGTTACCACTAGGTAGGTTACCAGAGGTCGGTAGGCTATCAGATGTAAGTAGGTTACTACTAGGTAGGTAGGTTAGCAGAGGTAGGTAGGTTACCACTAGGTAGGTAGGTTACCACCATGTAGGTAGGTTACCATTAGGTAGGTTATCAGAGATAGGTAGGTTACCATTAGGTAGGTTATCAGAGATAGGTAGGTTACCACTAGGTAGGTTATCAGAGATAGGTAGGTTACCATTAGGTAGGTTACCAGAGGTAGGTAGGTTACCACTAGGTAGGTAGGTTACCACTAGGTAGGTAGGTTACCAAATGTATATGTATGTGTTCAAATCTTAAAGTCAGGAAATGTATACTTAAATCTGAAAGTGAAATTTATTTCAGAGAAGAGGGCAAAGCCTACAGATATCATGCAGTGGCCAAGGATGTTGTATCCTTTTTCTCATCTTTTCACCTGGGTGTCATACATTGACCTAGTTTCATAGTTTCACCTGGGTGTCATACATTGACCTAGTTTCATAGTTTCACCTGGGTGTCATACATTGACCTAGTTTCATAGTTTCACCTGGGTGTCAGACATTGACCTAGTTTCATAGTTTCACCTGGATGTCAGACATTGACCTAGTTTCATAGTTTCGCCTGGGTGTCAGACATTGACCTAGTTTTAAGATTTGACCTTGACAAGCAGTAGTACAGCAGGCATAAAGAATACATCAACAACTACCTGCACTACTACGGTGGCTCGCAGGTGGACCTAAGGAGGGACACGTAAGACACATTCAGACAGTTTTGTAAGACTGAGACAGTTTTGTAAGACTGACAGTTTTTTTTAATATATATAATACAGTTTAATGACAGGTAGAAATTTAACCGACAGGTCAACACATAAATAAATGATAAAGGTTGATGTTGTCTAGTTTAAGTTGAGGGACAGATGATGTCTAGTCAAGGGACAGATTATGTCTAGTCAAGGGACAGATTATGTCTAGTCAGGGGACAGATTATGTCTAGTCAGGGGACAGATGATGTCTAGTCAGGGGACAGATTATGTCTAGTCAGGGGACAGATGATGTCTAGTCAGGAGACAGATTATGTCTATTCAGGGGACAGATTATGTCTAGTCAGGGGACAGATTATGTCTAGTCAGGGGACAGATGATGTCTAGTCAAGGGACAGATTATGTCTAGTCAAGGGACAGATTATGTCTAGTCAGGGGACAGATGATGTCTAGTCAGGGGACAGATGATGTCTAGTCAGGGGACAGATTATGTCTAGTCAGGGGACAGATGATGTCTAGTCAGGGGACAGATTATGTCTATTCAGGGGACAGATTATGTCTAGTCAGGGGACAGATTATGTCTATTCAGGGGACAGATTATGTCTAGTCAGGGGACAGATTATGTCTAGTCAGGGGACAGATGATGTCTAGTCAGGGGACAGATGATGTCTAGTCAGGGGACAGATTATGTCTAGTCAGGGGACAGATGATGTCTAGTCAGGGGACAGATTATGTCTATTCAGGGGACAGATTATGTCTAGTCAGGGGACAGATTATGTCTAGTCAAGGGACAGATTGATGATGAAAATGTTGTCTTGGTTAGGTCAAGGGACAGACGGGATGCAGATGTCATCAAAGACAACCATCAATTTTTATGGGAGGAAGATGATCCAGTGGACAGTTGGTTAAGACATATTACATCTACCATCCTGTCTCTCCATCTACCATCCTGTCTCTCCATCTACCATCCTGTCTCCATCTACCATCCTGTCTCCATCTACCATCCTGTCTCTCCATCTACCATCCTGTCTCTCCATCTACCATCCTGTCTCTCCATCTACCATCCTGTCTCTCCATCTACCATCCTGTCTCTCCATCTACCATCCTGTCTCCATCTACCATCCTGTCTCCATCTACCATCCTGTCTCCATCTACCATCCTGTCTCTCCATCTACCATCCTGTCTCTCCATCTACCATCCTGTCTCTCCATCTACCATCCTGTCTCTCCATCTACCATCCTGTCTCTCCATCTACCATCCTGTCTCTCCATCTACCATCCTGTCTCTCCATCTACCATCCTGTCTCTCCATCTACCATCCTGTCTCTCCATCTACCATCCTGTCTCCATCTACCATCCTGTCTCCATCTACCATCCTGTCTCTCCATCTACCATCCTGTCTCTCCATCTACCATCCTGTCTCTCCATCTACCATCCTGTCTCTCCATCTACCATCCTGTCTCCATCTACCATCCTGTCTCCATCTACCATCCTGTCTCCATCTACCATCCTGTCTCTCCATCTACCATCCTGTCTCCATCTACCATCCTGTCTCTCCATCTACCATCCTGTCTCCATCTACCATCCTGTCTCCATCTACCATCCTGTCTCCATCTACCATCCTGTCTCTCCATCTACCATCCTGTCTCTCCATCTACCATCCTGTCTCCATCTACCATCCTGTCTCTTCATCTACCATCCTGTCTCTCCATCTACCATCCTGTCTCCATCTACCATCCTGTCTCCATCTACCATCCTGTCTCTCCATCTACCATCCTGTCTCCATCTACCATCCTGTCTCTCCATCTACCATCCTGTCTCCATCTACCATCATGTCTCTCCATCTACCATCCTGTCTCTCCATCTACCATCCTGTCTCTCCATCTACCATCCTGTCTCTCCATCTACCATCCTGTCTCTCCATCTACCATCCTGTCTCTTCATCTACCATCCTGTCTCTCCATCTACCATCCTGTCTCCATCTACCATCCTGTCTCTCCATCTACCATCCTGTCTCTCCATCTACCATCCTGTCTCCATCTACCATCCTGTCTCCATCTACCATCCTGTCTCTCCATCTACCATCCTGTCTCTCCATCTACCATCCTGTCTCTCCATCTACCATCCTGTCTCTCCATCTACCATCCTGTCTCTCCATCTACCATCCTGTCTCTTCATCTACCATCCTGTCTCTCCATCTACCATCCTGTCTCCATCTACCATCCTGTCTCCATCTACCATCCTGTCTCTCCATCTACCATCCTGTCTCCATCTACCATCCTGTCTCTCCCTCTACCATCCTGTCTCTCCATCTACCATCCTGTCTCCATCTACCATCCTGTCTCCATCTACCATCATGTCTCTCCATCTACCATCCTGTCTCTCCATCTACCATCCTGTCTCTCCATCTACCATCCTGTCTCTCCATCTACCATCCTGTCTCTCCATCTACCATCCTGTCTCCATCTACCATCCTGTCTCTCCCTCTACCATCCTGTCTCTCCATCTACCATCCTGTCTCCATCTACCATCCTGTCTCCATCTACCATCCTGTCTCTCCATCTACCATCCTGTCTCTCCATCTACCATCCTGTCTCTCCTTCTACCATCCTGTCTCCATCTACCATCCTGTCTCCATCTACCATCCTGTCTCCATCTACCATCCTGTCTCTCCATCTACCATCCTGTCTCTCCATCTACCATCCTGTCTCCATCTACCATCCTGTCTCCATCTACCATCCTGTCTCTCCATCTACCATCCTGTCTCCATCTACCATCCTGTCTCTCCATCTACCATCCTGTCTCCATCTACCATCCTGTCTCCATCTACCATCCTGTCTCTCCATCTACCATCCTGTCTCCATCTACCATCCTGTCTCTCCATCTACCATCCTGTCTCTCCATCTACCATCCTGTCTCTCCATCTACCATCCTGTCTCTCCATCTACCATCCTGTCTCTCCATCTACCATCCTGTCTCTCCATCTACCATCCTGTCTCCATCCACCATCCTGTCTCCATCTACCATCCTGTCTCCATCTACCATCCTGTCTCCATCTACCATCCTGTCTCTCCATCTACCATCCTGTCTCCATCTACCATCCTGTCTCCATCTACCATCCTGTCTCCATCTACCATCCTGTCTCTCCATCTACCATCCTGTCTCCATCTACCATCCTGTCTCCATCTACCATCCTGTCTCTCCATCTACCATCCTGTCTCTCCATCTACCATCCTGTCTCTCCATCTACCATCCTGTCTCCATCTACCATCCTGTCTCTCCATCTACCATCCTGTCTCCATCTACCATCCTGTCTCTCCATCTACCATCCTGTCTCCATCTACCATCCTGTCTCCATCTACCATTCTGTCTCTCCATCTACCATCCTGTCTCCATCTACCATCCTGTCTCTCCATCTACCATCCTGTCTCTCCATCTACCATCCTGTCTCCATCTACCATCCTGTCTCCATCTACCATCCTGTCTCTCCATCTACCATCCTGTCTCTCCTTCTACCATCCTGTCTCTCCTTCTACCATCCTGTCTCTCCTTCTACCATCCTGTCTCCATCTACCATCCTGTCTCTCCATCTACCATCCTGTCTCCATCTACCATCCTGTCTCTCCATCTACCATCCTGTCTCCATCTACCATCCTGTCTCCATCTACCATCCTGTCTCCATCTACCATCCTGTCTCCATCTACCATCCTGTCTCTCCATCTACCATCCTGTCTCCATCTACCATCCTGTCTCTCCATCTACCATCCTGTCTCTCCATCTACCATCCTGTCTCTCCATCTACCATCCTGTCTCCATCTACCATCCTGTCTCCATCTACCATCCTGTCTCTCCATCTACCATCCTGTCTCTCCATCTACCATCCTGTCTCTCCATCTACCATCCTGTCTCTCCATCTACCATCCTGTCTCTCCCTCTACCATCCTGTCTCCATCTACCATCCTGTCTCCATCTACCATCCTGTCTCCATCTACCATCCTGTCTCCATCTACCATCCTGTCTCCATCTACCATCCTGTCTCCATCTACCATCCTGTCTCCATCTACCATCCTGTCTCCATCTACCATCCTGTCTCTTCATCTACCATCCTGTCTCTCCATCTACCATCCTGTCTCCATCTACCATCCTGTCTCTCCATCTACCATCCTGTCTCTCCATCTACCATCCTGTCTCCATCTACCATCCTGTCTCTCCATCTACCATCCTGTCTCTCCATCTACAATCCTGTCTCTCCATCTACCATCCTGTCTCCATCTACCATCCTGTCTCCATCTACCATCCTGTCTCTCCATCTACCATCCTGTCTCCATCTACCATCCTGTCTCCATCTACCATCCTGTCTCCATCTACCATCCTGTCTCCATCTACCATCCTGTCTCCATCTACCATCCTGTCTCCATCTACCATCCTGTCTCCATCTACCATCCTGTCTCTCCATCTACCATCCTGTCTCTCCATCTACCATCCTGTCTCTCCATCTACCATCCTGTCTCCATCTACCATCCTGTCTCCATCTACCATCCTGTCTCTCCATCTACCATCCTGTCTCTCCTTCTACCATCCTGTCTCTCCTTCTACCATCCTGTCTCTCCTTCTACCATCCTGTCTCCATCTACCATCCTGTCTCTCCATCTACCATCCTGTCTCCATCTACCATCCTGTCTCTCCATCTACCATCCTGTCTCCATCTACCATCCTGTCTCCATCTACCATCCTGTCTCCATCTACCATCCTGTCTCCATCTACCATCCTGTCTCTCCATCTACCATCCTGTCTCCATCTACCATCCTGTCTCTCCATCTACCATCCTGTCTCTCCATCTACCATCCTGTCTCTCCATCTACCATCCTGTCTCCATCTACCATCCTGTCTCTCCATCTACCATCCTGTCTCCATCTACCATCCTGTCTCTCCATCTACCATCCTGTCTCCATCTACCATCCTGTCTCCATCTACCATCCTGTCTCCATCTACCATCCTGTCTCTCCATCTACCATCCTGTCTCCATCTACCATCCTGTCTCTCCATCTACCATCCTGTCTCCATCTACCATCCTGTCTCCATCTACCATCCTGTCTCTCCATCTACCATCCTGTCTCTCCATCTACCATCCTGTCTCCATCTACCATCCTGTCTCTCCATCTACCATCCTGTCTCCATCTACCATCCTGTCTCTCCATCTACCATCCTGTCTCCATCTACCATCCTGTCTCCATCTACCATCCTGTCTCTCCATCTACCATCCTGTCTCCATCTACCATCCTGTCTCTCCATCTACCATCCTGTCTCCATCTACCATCCTGTCTCTCCATCTACCATCCTGTCTCTCCATCTACCATCCTGTCTCTCCATCTACCATCCTGTCTCCATCTACCATCCTGTCTCCATCTACCATCCTGTCTCCATCTACCATCCTGTCTCTCCATCTACCATCCTGTCTCCATCTACCATCCTGTCTCTCCATCTACCATCCTGTCTCCATCTACCATCATGTCTCTCCATCTACCATCCTGTCTCCATCTACCATCCTGTCTCCATCTACCATCCTGTCTCTCCATCTACCATCCTGTCTCCATCTACCATCCTGTCTCCATCTACCATCCTGTCTCTCCATCTACCATCCTGTCTCCATCTACCATCCTGTCTCCATCTACCATCCTGTCTCTCCATCTACCATCCTGTCTCCATCTACCATCCTGTCTCCATCTACCATCCTGTCTCTCCATCTACCATCCTGTCTCTCCATCTACCATCCTGTCTCTCCATCTACCATCCTGTCTCTCCATCTACCATCCTGTCTCCATCTACCATCCTGTCTCTCCATCTACCATCCTGTCTCCATCTACCATCCTGTCTCTCCATCTACCATCCTGTCTCCATCTACCATCCTGTCTCCATCTACCATCCTGTCTCCATCTACCATCCTGTCTGTCTCCATCTACCATCCTGTCTCTCCATCTACCATCCTGTCTCTCCATCTACCATCCTGTCTCTCCATCTACCATCCTGTCTCTCCATCTACCATCCTGTCTCTCCATCTACCATCCTGTCTCTCCATCTACCATCCTGTCTCCATCTACCATCCTGTCTCCATCTACCATCCTGTCTCTCCATCTACCATCCTGTCTCCATCTACCATCCTGTCTCTCCATCTACCATCCTGTCTCCATCTACCATCCTGTCTCCATCTACCATCCTGTCTCCATCTACCATCCTGTCTCTCCATCTACCATCCTGTCTCCATCTACCATCCTGTCTCTCCATCTACCATCCTGTCTCCATCTACCATCCTGTCTCCATCTACCATCCTGTCTCCATCTACCATCCTGTCTCTCCATCTACCATCCTGTCTCCATCTACCATCCTGTCTCCATCTACCATCCTGTCTCCATCTACCATCCTGTCTCCATCTACCATCCTGTCTCCATCTACCATCCTGTCTCCATCCACCATCCTGTCTCCATCTACCATCCTGTCTCCATCTACCATCCTGTCTCTCCATCTACCATCCTGTCTCCATCTACCATCCTGTCTCCATCTACCATCCTGTCTCCATCTACCATCCTGTCTCTCCATCTACCATCCTGTCTCCATCTACCATCCTGTCTCCATCTACCATCCTGTCTCCATCTACCATCCTGTCTCCATCTACCATCCTGTCTCCATCTACCATCCTGTCTCCATCCACCATCCTGTCTCCATCTACCATCCTGTCTCCATCTACCATCCTGTCTCTCCATCTACCATCCTGTCTCTCCATCTACCATCCTGTCTCTCCATCTACCATCCTGTCTCTCCATCTACCATCCTGTCTCTCCTTCTACCATCCTGTCTCTCCATCTACCATCCTGTCTCTCCATCTACCATCCTGTCTCTCCATCTACCATCCTGTCTCTCCATCTACCATCCTGTCTCTCCTTCTACCATCCTGTCTCTCCATCTACCATCCTGTCTCTCCATCTACCATCCTGTCTCTCCATCTACCATCATGTCTCTCCATCTACCATCCTGTCTCTCCTTCTACCATCCTGTCTCTCCATCTACCATCCTGTCTCCATCTACCATCTTGATGTTCTGTTGTATTGATGTTCTGTTGTATTGATGTTCTGTTGTATTGATGTTCTGTTATGTTGATGTTCTGTTGTATTGATGTTCTGTTGTATTGATGTTCTGTTGTATTGATGTTCTGTTCTGTTGATGTTCTGTTGTGTTGATGTTCTGTTGTGTTGATGTTCTGTTGTGTTGATGTTCTGTTGTGTTGATGTTCTGTTGTGTTGATGTTCTGTTGTGTTGATGTTCTGTTGTATTGATGTTCTGTTGTATTGATGTTTTGTTATGTTGATGTTCTGTTGTATTGATGTTCTGTTGTATTGATGTTCTGTTGTATTGATGTTCTGTTGTGTTGATGTTCTGTTGTGTTGTGTTGATGTTCTGTTGTATTAATCCGTTGTATTGATGTGTATTTATGTTCTGTTGTATTGATGTTCTGTTGTATTGATGTTCTGTTGTATTAATCTGTTGTATTGATGTTCTGTTGTATTGATGTTCTGTTGTATTAATCTGTTGTATTGATGTTCTGTTGTATTGATGTTCTGTTGTATTGATGTTCTGTTGTATTGATGTTCTGTTGTATTGATGTTCTGTTGTATTGATGTTGTGTTGTATTGATGTTCTGTTGTATTGATGTTCTGTTGTATTGATGTTGTGTTGTATTGATGTTGTGTTGTATTGATGTTCTGTTGTATTGATGTTCTATTGTATTGATGTTCTGTTGTATTGATGTTCTGTTGTATTGATGTTCTGTTGTATTGATGTTATTAGAGATGTTGACAATATAAGGTTGGCCATCCAGCCTATAAGTAGAGATGTTGACAATATAAGGTTGGCCATCCAGCCTTTAAGTAGAGATGTTGACAATATAAGGTAGGCCATCCAGCCTATAAGTAGAGATGTTGACAATATAAGGTAGGCCATTCAGTCTATAATAGAGATGTTGACAATATAAGGTAGGCCATCCAGCCTTTAAGTTGAGATGTTGACAATATAAGGTTGGCCATCCAGCCTTTAAGTAGAGATGTTGACAATATAAGGTTGGCCATCCAGCCTTTAAGTAGAGATGTTGACAATATAAGGTTGGCCATCCAGCCTATAAGTAGAGATGTTGACAATATAAGGTTGGCCATCCAGCCTTTAAGTAGAGATGTTGACAATATAAGGTAGGCCATCCAGCCTTTAAGTAGAGATGTTGACAATATAAGGTTGGCCATCCAGCCTATAAGTAGAGATGTTGACAATATAAGGTTGGCCATCCAGCCTTTAAGTAGAGATGTTGACAATATAAGGTTGGCCATCCAGCCTTTAAGTAGAGATGTTGACAATATAAGGTTGGCCATCCAGCCTATAAGTAGAGATGTTGACAATATAAGGTTGGCCATCCAGCCTTTAAGTAGAGATGTTGACAATATAAGGTTGGCCATCCAGCCTTTAAGTAGAGATGTTGACAATATAAGGTTGGCCATCCAGCCTTTAAGTAGAGATGTTGACAATATAAGGTTGGCCATCCAGCCTTTAAGTAGAGATGTTGACAATATAAGGTAGGCCATCCAGCCTATAAGTAGAGATGTTGACAATATAAGGTTGGCCATCCAGCCTATAAGTAGAGATGTTGACAATATAAGGTTGGCCATCCAGCCTTTAAGTAGAGATGTTGACAATATAAGGTAGGCCATCCAGCCTATAAGTAGAGATGTTGACAATATAAGGTAGGCCATCCAGTCTATAATAGAGATGTTGACAATATAAGGTAGGCCATCCAGCCTTTAAGTTGAGATGTTGACAATATAAGGTTGACCATCCAGCCTTTAAGTAGAGATGTTGACAATATAAGGTTGGCCATCCAGCCTTTAAGTAGAGATGTTGACAATATAAGGTTGGCCATCCAGCCTATAAGTAGAGATGTTGACAATATAAGGTTGGCCATCCAGCCTTTAAGTAGAGATGTTGACAATATAAGGTAGGCCATCCAGCCTTTAAGTAGAGATGTTGACAATATAAGGTTGGCCATCCAGCCTATAAGTAGAGATGTTGACAATATAAGGTTGGCCATCCAGCCTTTAAGTAGAGATGTTGACAATATAAGGTAGGCCATCCAGCCTATAAGTAGAGATGTTGACAATATAAGGTAGGCCATCCAGTCTAGAGATGTTGACAATATAAGGTAGGCCATCCAGCCTTTAAGTTGAGATGTTGACAATATAAGGTTGACCATCCAGCCTTTAAGTAGAGATGTTGACAATATAAGGTTGGCCATCCAGCCTTTAAGTAGAGATGTTGACAATATAAGGTTGGCCATCCAGCCTATAAGTAGAGATGTTGACAATATAAGGTTGGCCATCCAGCCTTTAAGTAGAGATGTTGACAATATAAGGTAGGCCATCCAGCCTTTAAGTAGAGATGTTGACAATATAAGGTTGGCCATCCAGCCTATAAGTAGAGATGTTGACAATATAAGGTTGGCCATCCAGCCTTTAAGTAGAGATGTTGACAATATAAGGTTGGCCATCCAGCCTATAAGTAGAGATGTTGACAATATAAGGTTGGCCATCCAGCCTTTAAGTAGAGATGTTGACAATATAAGGTAGGCCATCCAGCCTATAAGTAGAGATGTTGACAATAGAGGATAGGCCATCCAGCCTATAAGTAGAGATGTTGACAATATAAGGTAGGCCATCCAGCATTTAAGTAGAGATGTTGACAATATAAGGTTGGCCATCCATCCTTGGGTTTGGGTTAGATCAAGTATCACATGGCTTAGATCAAGTATCACATAGGTTAGATCAAGTATCACATAGGTTAGATCAAGTATCACATGGCTTAGATCAAGTATCACATGGGTTAGATCAAGTATCACATGGGTTAGATCAAGTATCACATGGGTTAGATCAAGTATCACATGGGTTAGATCAAGTATCACATGGGTTAGATCAAGTATCACATAGGTTAGATCAAGTATCACATGGCTTAGATCAAGTATCACATGGGTTAGGTCAAGTATCACATGGGTTAGGTCAAGTATCACATAGGTTTGACCAGCTGTTTCCTATTGCAGGTTGGCATGCGCTGGAGAACACAACAGGAAGTTGTTGACGGCATTGGTAAGTTGTGGGGTCAAGGGGTCTGTCTGGTGGGGTCAAGTGGGCTGTCTGGTGGGGTCAAGTGGTCTGTCTGGTGGGGTCAAGTGGGCTGTCTGGTGGGGTCAAGTGGGCTGTCTGGTGGGGTCAAGTGGGCTGTCTGGTGGGGTCAAGTGGGCTGTCTGGTGGGGTCAAGTGGGCTGTCTGGTGGGGTCAAGTGGTCTGTCTGGTGGGGTCAAGTGGTCTGTCTGGTGGTCAGTCTGGTGGGCTGTCTGGTGGGGTCAAGTGGGCTGTCTGGTGGGGTCAAGTGGGCTGTCTGGTGGGGTCAAGTGGGCTGTCTGGTGGGGTCAAGTGGTCTGTCTGGTGGGGTCAAGTGGTCTGTCTGGTGGTCAGTCTGGTGGGCTGTCTGGTGGGGTCAAGTGGGCTGTCTGGTGGGGTCAAGTGGGCTGTCTGGTGGGGTCAAGTGGGCTGTCTGGTGGGGTCAAGTGGTCTGTCTGGTGGGGTCAAGTGGTCTGTCTGGTGGTCAGTCTGGTGGGCTGTCTGGTGGGGTCAAGTGGGCTGTCTGGTGGGGTCAAGTGGGCTGTCTGGTGGGGTCAAGTGGGCTGTCTGGTGGGGTCAAGTGGGCTGTCTGGTGGGGTCAAGTGGGCTGTCTGGTGGGGTCAAGTGGTCTGTCTGGTGGGGCCAAGTGGTCTGGTGGGGTCAAGTGGGCTGTCTGGTGGTCTGTCTGGTGGGGTCAAGTGGGCTGTCTGGTGGTCTGTCTGGTGGGGTCAAGTGGGCTGTCTGGTGGTCTGTCTGGTGGGGTCAAGTGGGCTGTCTGGTGGTCTGTCTGGTGGGGTCAAGTGGGCTGTCTGGTGGTCTGTCTGGTGGGGTCAAGTGGGCTGTCTGGTGGGGTCAAGTGGTCTGTCTGGTGGGGTCAAGTGGTCTGTCTGGTGGGGTCAAGTGGTCTGTCTGGTGGGGTCAAGTGGGCTGTCTGGTGGGGTCAAGTGGTCTGTCTGGTGGGGTCAAGTGGTCTGTCTGGTGGGGTCAAGTGGTCTGTCTGGTGGGGTCAAGTGGGCTGTCTGGTGGGGTCAAGTGGGCTGTCTGGTGGGGTCAAGTGGGCTGTCTGGTGGGGTCAAGTGGGCTGTCTGGTGGGGTCAAGTGGTCTGTCTGGTGGGGTCAAGTGGTCTGTCTGGTGGGGTCAAGTGGTCTGTCTGGTGGGGTCAAGTGGGCTGTCTGGTGGGGTCAAGTGGGCTGTCTGGTGGGGTCAAGTGGGCTGTCTGGTGGGGTCAAGTGGGCTGTCTGGTGGGGTCAAGTGGTCTGCCTGGTGGGGTCAAGTGGTCTGTCTGGTGGGGTCAAGTGGTCTGTCTGGTGGGGTCAAGTGTCTGTCCTGGTGGGGTCAAGTGGTCTTCTGGTGGGGGTCAGAGTGGTCTGTCTGTTGGGGTAGGGCTGTCTGGTGGGGTCAAGTGGGCTGTCTGGTGGGGCCAAGTGGGTCTGGTGGGGGTCAAGTGGTCTGTCTGGTGGGGTCCAAGTGGTCTGTCTGGTGGTCAGTCTGGTGGGGTCAAGTGGTCTGTCTGGTGTGGGTCAAGTGGGCTGTCTGGTGGGGTCAAGTGGTCTGTCTGGTGGGGTCAAGTGTCTGTCTGGTGGGTCTGTCTGGTGGGGTCAAGTGGTCTTCCTGGTGGCTGTCTGGTGGGGCCAAGTGGTCCCTGTTGTGGGGGTCAAGTGGTCTGTCTGGTGGGGGTCAAGTGGGGTCTGGTGGGGTCAAGTGGTCTGTCTGGTGGGCTGTCTGGTGGGGCCAAGTGGTCTGGTGGGGTCAAGTGGTCTGTCTGGTGGGGTCAAGTGGGCTGTCTGGTGGGGTCAAGTGGGCTGTCTGGTGGGGTCAAGTGGTCTGTCTGGTGGGGTCAAGTGGTCTGTCTGGTGGGGTCAAGTGGTCTGTCTGGTGGTCTGTCTGGTGGGGTCAAGTGGTCTGTCTGGTGGTCTGTCTGGTGGGGTCAAGTGGTCTGTCTGGTGGGGTCAAGTGGTCTGTCTGGTGGGGTCAAGTGGGCTGTCTGGTGGGGTCAAGTGGGCTGTCTGGTGGGGTCAAGTGGTCTGTCTGGTGGGGTCAAGTGGTCTGTCTGGTGGTCAGTCTGGTGGGGTCAAGTGGGCTGTCTGGTGGGGTCAAGTGGTCTGTCTGGTGGGGTCAAGTGGGCTGTCTGGTGGGGTCAAGTGGGCTGTCTGGTGGGGTCAAGTGGACTGTCTGGTGGGGTCAAGTGGTCTGTCTGGTGGGGTCAAGTGGTCTGTCTGGTGGTCAGTCTGGTGGGGTCAAGTGGGCTGTCTGGTGGGGTCAAGTGGGCTGTCTGGTGGGGTCAAGTGGGCTGTCTGGTGGGGTCAAGTGGGCTGTCTGGTGGTCTGTCTGGTGGGGTCAAGTGGGCTGTCTGGTGGGGTCAAGTGGTCTGTCTGGTGGGGTCAAGTGGGCTGTCTGGTGGGGTCAAGTGGGCTGTCTGGTGGGGTCAAGTGGGCTGTCTGGTGGGGTCAAGTGGTCTGTCTGGTGGGGTCAAGTGGTCTGTCTGGTGGGGTCAAGTGGGCTGTCTGGTGGGGTCAAGTGGTCTGTCTGGTGGGGTCAAGTGGGCTGTCTGGTGGGGTCAAGTGGGCTGTCTGGTGGGGTCAAGTGGGCTGTCTGGTGGGGTCAAGTGGTCTGTCTGGTGGGGTCAAGTGGGCTGTCTGGTGGGGTCAAGTGGGCTGTCTGGTGGGGTCAAGTGGTCTGTCTGGTGGGGTCAAGTGGGCTGTCTGGTGGGGTCAAGTGGGCTGTCTGGTGGGGTCAAGTGGGCTGTCTGGTGGGGTCAAGTGGGCTGTCTGGTGGGGTGTCTGGTGGGGTCAAGTGGGCTGTCTGGTGGGCTGTCTGGTGGGGTCAAGTGGTCTGTCTGGTGGGCTGTCTGGTGGGGTCAAGTGGGCTGTCTGGTGGGGTCAAGTGGGCTGTCTGGTGGGGTCAAGTGGGCTGTCTGGTGGGCTGTCTGGTGGGGTCAAGTGGGCTGTCTGGTGGGGTCAAGTGGTCTGTCTGGTGGGCTGTCTGGTGGGGTCAAGTGGGCTGTCTGGTGGGGTCAAGTGGGCTGTCTGGTGGGGTCAAGTGGTCTGTCTGGTGGGGTCAAGTGGGCTGTCTGGTGGGGTCAAGTGGGCTGTCTGGTGGGGTCAAGTGGGCTGTCTGGTGGGGTCAAGTGGGCTGTCTGGTGGGGTCAAGTGGTCTGTCTGGTGGGGTCAAGTGGTCTGTCTGGTGGGGTCAAGTGGGCTGTCTGGTGGGGTCAAGTGGGCTGTCTGGTGGGGTCAAGTGGGCTGTCTGGTGGGGTCAAGTGGTCTGTCTGGTGGGGTCAAGTGGTCTGTCTGGTGGGGTCAAGTGGGCTGTCTGGTGGGGTCAAGTGGGCTGTCTGGTGGGGTCAAGTGGTCTGTCTGGTGGGCTGTCTGGTGGGGTCAAGTGGGCTGTCTGTTGGGGTCAAGTGGGCTGTCTGGTGGGCTGTCTGGTGGGGTCAAGTGAGCTGTCTGGTGGGGTCAAGTGGGCTGTCTGGTGGTCTGTCTGGTGGGGTCAAGTGGGCTGTCTGGTGGGCTGTCTGGTGGGGTCAAGTGGGCTGTCTGGTGGGCTGTCTGGTGGTCTGTCTGGTGGGGTCAAGTGGGCTGTCTGGTGGGGTCAAGTGGGCTGTCTGGTGGGCTGTCTGGTGGGGTCAAGTGAGCTGTCTGGTGGGGTCAAGTGGGCTGTCTGGTGGGGTCAAGTGGGCTGTCTGGTGGTCTGTCTGGTGGGGTCAAGTGGGCTGTCTGGTGGGGTCAAGTGAGCTGTCTGGTGGGGTCAAGTGGGCTGTCTGGTGGTCTGTCTGGTGGGGTCAAGTGGGCTGTCTGGTGGGGTCAAGTGGTCTGTCTGGTGGGGTCAAGTGGGCTGTCTGGTGGGGTCAAGTGGGCTGTCTGGTGGGGTCAAGTGGTCTGTCTGGTGGGGTCAAGTGGGCTGTCTGGTGGGGTCAAGTGGGCTGTCTGGTGGGGTCAAGTGGGCTGTCTGGTGGGGTCAAGTGGTCTGTCTGGTGGGGTCAAGTGGGCTGTCTGGTGGGGTCAAGTGGGCTGTCTGGTGGGGTCAAGTGGTCTGTCTGGTGGGGTCAAGTGGGCTGTCTGGTGGGGTCAAGTGGGCTGTCTGGTGGGGTCAAGTGGGCTGTCTGGTGGGGTCAAGTGGGCTGTCTGGTGGGGTCAAGTGGGCTGTCTGGTGGGGTGTCTGGTGGGGTCAAGTGGGCTGTCTGGTGGGCTGTCTGGTGGGGTCAAGTGGTCTGTCTGGTGGGCTGTCTGGTGGGGTCAAGTGGGCTGTCTGGTGGGGTCAAGTGGGCTGTCTGGTGGGGTCAAGTGGGCTGTCTGGTGGGCTGTCTGGTGGGGTCAAGTGGGCTGTCTGGTGGGGTCAAGTGGTCTGTCTGGTGGGCTGTCTGGTGGGGTCAAGTGGGCTGTCTGGTGGGGTCAAGTGGGCTGTCTGGTGGGGTCAAGTGGTCTGTCTGGTGGGGTCAAGTGGTCTGTCTGGTGGGGTCAAGTGGGCTGTCTGGTGGGGTCAAGTGGGCTGTCTGGTGGGGTCAAGTGGTCTGTCTGGTGGGGTCAAGTGGGCTGTCTGGTGGGGTCAAGTGGGCTGTCTGGTGGGGTCAAGTGGGCTGTCTGGTGGGGTCAAGTGGTCTGTCTGGTGGGGTCAAGTGGTCTGTCTGGTGGGGTCAAGTGGGCTGTCTGGTGGGGTCAAGTGGGCTGTCTGGTGGGGTCAAGTGGTCTGTCTGGTGGGCTGTCTGGTGGGGTCAAGTGGGCTGTCTGTTGGGGTCAAGTGGTCTGTCTGGTGGGCTGTCTGGTGGGGTCAAGTGAGCTGTCTGGTGGGGTCAAGTGGGCTGTCTGGTGGTCTGTCTGGTGGGGTCAAGTGGGCTGTCTGGTGGGGTCAAGTGGTCTGTCTGGTGGGCTGTCTGGTGGGGTCAAGTGGGCTGTCTGGTGGTCTGTCTGGTGGGGTCAAGTGGGCTGTCTGGTGGGCTGTCTGGTGGGGTCAAGTGGGCTGTCTGGTGGGCTGTCTGGTGGTCTGTCTGGTGGGGTCAAGTGGGCTGTCTGTTGGGGTCAAGTGGGCTGTCTGGTGGGCTGTCTGGTGGGGTCAAGTGAGCTGTCTGGTGGGGTCAAGTGGGCTGTCTGGTGGGGTCAAGTGGGCTGTCTGGTGGGGTCAAGTGGGCTGTCTGGTGGGCTGTCTGGTGGGGTCAAGTGGTCTGTCTGGTGGGGTCAAGTGGGCTGTCTGGTGGGGTCAAGTGGTCTGTCTGGTGGGGTCAAGTGGGCTGTCTGGTGGGGTCAAGTGGGCTGTCTGGTGGGGTCAAGTGGGCTGTCTGGTGGGGTCAAGTGGGCTGTCTGGTGGGGTCAAGTGGTCTGTCTGGTGGGCTGTCTGGTGGGGTCAAGTGGGCTGTCTGGTGGGGTCAAGTGGGCTGTCTGGTGGGGTCAAGTGGGCTGTCTGGTGGGGTCAAGTGGTCTGTCTGGTGGGGTCAAAAGGCTGTCTGGTGGGGTCAAGTGGGCTGTCTGGTGGGGTCAAGTGGTCTGTCTGGTGGGGTCAAGTGGTCTGTCTGGTGGGGTCAAGTGGGCTGTCTGGTGGGGTCAAGTGGGCTGTCTGGTGGGGTCAAGTGGTCTGTCTGGTGGGGTCAAGTGGGCTGTCTGGTGGGGTCAAGTGGGCTGTCTGGTGGGGTCAAGTGGGCTGTCTGGTGGTCTGTCTGGTGGGGTCAAGTGGTCTGTCTGGTGGGGTCAAGTGGGCTGTCTGGTGGGGTCAAGTGGGCTGTCTGGTGGGGTCAAGTGGTCTGTCTGGTGGGGTCAAGTGGTCTGTCTGGTGGGGTCAAGTGGTCAGTCTGGTGGGGTCAAGTGGTCTGTCTGGTGGGGTCAAGTGGTCTGTCTGGTGGGGTCAAGTGGTCAGTCAACTGCTGCCTTTATTGCAGGCCAGTTCGCCTGTGGTAACAAAAAGTGCAGGGAGAGAGAAGGCCTTAGAAGTTGGGAAGTTAACTTTGGCTACATGGAGGCCGGGCTCAAGAAAAATGCTCTTATCAAGTTACGCTTGTGTCCTGACTGTTCTTACAAGCTCAACTATCATCACAAGTAAGTTTTTGTTAGTTCACATTATAAAGTAACCTTTAGCTTATGGATTTTTGCCACTGTTTGAGCCAGTCACTATTTGATGTAGACATAACTAAGGTGGTCACTATTTGATGTAGACATAACTAAGGTGGTCAGTATTTGATGTAGACATAACTAAGGTGGTCACTATTTGATGTAGACATAACTAAGGTGGTCACTATTTGATGTAGACATAACTAAGGTGGTCACTATTTGATGTAGACATAACTAAGGTGGTCACTATTTGATGTAGACATAACTAAGCTGGTCACTATTTGATGTAGACACAAGGAGGCGACACAGAAGGTGCCACAGAAGGCAAGCTCACCTCCCCCAGAAAACAAGAGGACCTGCTATTCAGGTAAATAAAAGCTGAACTCAATATTTTGCTAAATAATACTTGAACTCATCTCTAAAGGTCCTAGTCCTAGGTCATTTATTGACTATTATTTGAAGTAGAGGCTACACTATAGACTATTATTTGAAGTAGAGGCTACACTATAGACTATTATTTGAAGTAGAGGCTACACTATAGACTATTATTTGAAGTAGAGGCTACACTATAGACTATTATTTGAAGTAGAGGCTACACTATAGACTATTATTTGAAGTAGAGGCTACACTATAGACTATTATTTGAAGTAGAGGCTACACTATAGACTATTATTTGAAGTAGAGGCTACACTATAGACTATTATTTGAAGTAGAGGCTACACTATAGACTATTATTTGAAGTAGAGGCTACACTATAGACTATTATTTGAAGTAGAGGCTACACTATAGACTATTATTTGAAGTAGAGGCTACACTATAGACTATTATTTGAAGTAGAGGCTACACTATAGACTATTATTTGAAGTAGAGGCTACACTATAGACTATTATTTGAAGTAGAGGCTACACTATAGACTATTATTTGAAGTAGAGGCTACACTATAGACTATTATTTGAAGTAGAGGCTACACTATAGACTATTATTTGAAGTAGAGGCTACACTATAGACTATTATTTGAAGTAGAGGCTACACTATAGACTATTATTTGAAGTAGAGGCTACACTATAGACTATTATTTGAAGTAGAGGCTACACTATAGACTATTATTTGAAGTAGAGGCTACACTATAGACTATTATTTGAAGTAGAGGCTACACTATAGACTTATGTTGAAATTGTAGTGGAGGACGCTGTCAAGCCTGAGAAGAGTGGGGGGACGTCAGAGCAGGAAGGACCTGGGGTTTGGAGTGAAGCTGTCAGTTTGGGAGAAATCATGTCCAGGTAACCTTTGACCTAAAGTGTGTAGAAATCAAGTCCAGGTAAACTTTGACCTAAAGTGTGTAGAAATCATGTCCAGGTAACCTTTGACCTAAAGTGTGTAGAAATCATGTCCAGGTAACCTTTGACCTAAAGTGTGTAGAAATCATGGCCAGGTAACCTTTGACCTAAAGTGTGTAGAAATCATGGCCAGGTAACCTTTGACCCAAAGTGTGTAGAAATCATGTCCAGGTAACCTTTGACCTAAAGTGTGTAGAAATCATGACCAGGTAACCTTTGACCTAAAGTGTGTAGAAATCATGTCCAGGTAACCTTTGACCTAAAGTGTGTAGAAATCATGGCCAGGTAACCTTTGACCTAAAGTGTGTAGAAATCATGGCCAGGTAACCTTTGACCCAAAGTGTGTAGAAATCATGTCCAGGTAACCTTTGACCTAAAGTGTGTAGAAATCATGACCAGGTAACCTTTGACCTAAAGTGTGTAGAAATCATGGCCAGGTAACCTTTGACCTAAAGTGTGTAGAAATCATGACCAGGTAAACTTTGACCTAAAGTGTGTAGAAATCATGTCCAGGTAACCTTTGACCTAAAGTGTGTAGAAATCATGTCCAGGTAACCTTTGGCCTAAAGTGTGTAGAAATCATGGCCAGGTAACCTTTGGCCTAAAGTGTGTAGAAATCATGTCCAGGTAACCTTTGGCCTAAAGTGTGTAGAAATCATGTCCAGGTAACCTTTGGCCTAAAGTGTGTAGAAATCATGGCCAGGTAACCTTTGGCCTAAAGTGTGTAGAAATCATGGCCAGGTAACCTTTGACCTAAAGTGTGTAGAAATCATGTCCAGGTAACCTTTGACCCCACGGGGATCCAGGGAGTGAGTCAGCAAGATGTCTCTGGCTCTTGTGGCTTAATCTGACCTCACTATCCTCCTGTACACCTAACTCAGGGAAACTGACCTCACTATCCCCCTGTACACCTAACTCAGGGAAACTGACCTCACTATCCCCCTGTACACCTAACTCAGGGAAACTGACCTCACTATCCCCCTGTACACCTAACTCAGGGAAACTGACCTCACTATCCCCCTGTACACCTAACTCAGGGAAACTGACCTCACTATCCCCCTGTACACCTAACTCAGGGAAACTGACCTCACTATCCCCCTGTACACCTAACTCAGGGAAACTGACCTCACTATCCCCCTGTACACCTAACTCAGGGAAACTGACCTCACTATCCCCCTGTACACCTAACTCAGGGAAACTGACCTCACTATCCCCCTGTACACCTAACTCAGGGAAACTGACCTCACTATCCCCCTGTACACCTAACTCAGGGAAACTGACCTCACTATCCCCCTGTACACCTAACTCAGGGAAACTGACCTCACTATCCCCCTGTACACCTAACTCAGGGAAACTGACCTCACTATCCCCCTGTACACCTAACTCAGGGAAACTGACCTCACTATCCCCCTGTACACCTAACTCAGGGAAACTGACCTCACTATCCCCCTGTACACCTAACTCAGGGAAACTGACCTCACTATCCCCCTGTACACCTAACTCAGGGAAACTGACCTCACTATCCCCCTGTACACCTAACTCAGGGAAGCTGACCTCACTATCCCCCTGTACACCTAACTCAGGGAAACTGACCTCACTATCCCCCTGTACACCTAACTCAGGGAAACTGACCTCACTATCCCCCTGTACACCTAACTCAGGGAAACTGACCTCACTATCCCCCTGTACACCTAACTCAGGGAAACTGACCTCACTATCCCCCTGTACATCTAACTCAGGGAAACTGACCTCACTATTCCCCTGTACACCTAACTCAGGGAAACTGACCTCACTATCCCCCTGTACACCTAACTCAGGGAAACTGACCTCACTATCCCCCTGTACACCTAACTCAGGGAAACTGACCTCACTATCCCCCTGTACACCTAACTCAGGGAAACTGACCTCACTATCCCCCTGTACACCTAACTCAGGGAAACTGACCTCACTATCCCCCTGTACACCTAACTCAGGGAAACTGACCTCACTATCCCCCTGTACATCTAACTCAGGGAAACTGACCTCACTATTCCCCTGTACACCTAACTCAGGGAAACTGACCTCACTATTCCCCTGTACACCTAACTCAGGGAAACTGACCTCACTATCCCCCTGTACACCTAACTCAGGGAAACTGACCTCACTATCCCCCTGTACACCTAACTCAGGGAAACTGACCTCACTATCCCCCTGTACACCTAACTCAGGGAAACTGACCTCACTATCCCCCTGTACATCTAACTCAGGGAAACTGACCTCACTATCCCCCTGTACACCTAACTCAGGGAAACTGACCTCACTATCCCCCTGTACACCTAACTCTGGGAAACTGACCTCACTATCCCCCTGTACACCTAACTCAGGGAAACTGACCTCACTATCCCCCTGTACACCTAACTCAGGGAAACTGACCTCACTATCCCCCTGTACACCTAACTCAGGGAAACTGACCTCACTATCCCCCTGTACACCTAACTCAGGGAAACTGACCTCACTATCCCCCTGTACACCTAACTCTGGGAAACTGACCTCACTATCCCCCTGTACACCTAACTCAGGGAAACTGACCTCACTATCCCCCTGTACACCTAACTCAGGGAAACTGACCTCACTATCCCCCTGTACACCTAACTCAGGGAAACTGACCTCACTATCCCCCTGTACACCTAACTCAGGGAAACTGACCTCACTATCCCCCTGTACACCTAACTCAGGGAAACTGACCTCACTATCCCCCTGTACACCTAACTCAGGGAAACTGACCTCACTATCCCCCTGTACACCTAACTCAGGGAAACTGACCTCACTATCCCCCTGTACACCTAACTCAGGGAAACTGACCTCACTATCCCCCTGTACACCTAACTCAGGGAAACTGACCTCACTATCCCCCTGTACATCTAACTCAGGGAAACTGACCTCACTATTCCCCTGTACACCTAACTCAGGGAAACTGACCTCACTATTCCCCTGTACACCTAACTCAGGGAAACTGACCTCACTATCCCCCTGTACACCTAACTCAGGGAAACTGACCTCACTATCCCCCTGTACACCTAACTCAGGGAAACTGACCTCACTATCCCCCTGTACACCTAACTCAGGGAAACTGACCTCACTATCCCCCTGTACACCTAACTCAGGGAAACTGACCTCACTATCCCCCTGTACACCTAACTCAGGGAAACTGACCTCACTATCCCCCTGTACACCTAACTCAGGGAAACTGACCTCACTATCCCCCTGTACACCTAACTCAGGGAAACTGACCTCACTATCCCCCTGTACACCTAACTCAGGGAAACTGACCTCACTATCCCCCTGTACACCTAACTCAGGGAAACTGACCTCACTATCCCCCTGTACACCTAACTCAGGGAAACTGACCTCACTATCCCCCTGTACACCTAACTCAGGGAAACTGACCTCACTATCCCCCTGTACACCTAACTCAGGGAAACTGACCTCACTATCCCCCTGTACACCTAACTCAGGGAAACTGACCTCACTATCCCCCTGTACACCTAACTCAGGGAAACTGACCTCACTATCCCCCTGTACACCTAACTCAGGGAAACTGACCTCACTATCCCCCTGTACACCTAACTCAGGGAAACTGACCTCACTATCCCCCTGTACACCTAACTCAGGGAAACTGACCTCACTATCCCCCTGTACACCTAACTCAGGGAAACTGACCTCACTATCCCCCTGTACACCTAACTCAGGGAAACTGACCTCACTATCCCCCTGTACACCTAACTCAGGGAAACTGACCTCACTATCCCCCTGTACACCTAACTCAGGGAAACTGACCTCACTATCCCCCTGTACACCTAACTCAGGGAAACTGACCTCACTATCCCCCTGTACACCTAACTCAGGGAAACTGACCTCACTATCCCCCTGTACACCTAACTCAGGGAAACTGACCTCACTATCCCCCTGTACACCTAACTCAGGGAAACTGACCTCACTATCCCCCTGTACACCTAACTCAGGGAAACTGACCTCACTATCCCCCTGTACACCTAACTCAGGGAAACTGACCTCACTATCCCCCTGTACACCTAACTCAGGGAAACTGACCTCACTATCCCCCTGTACACCTAACTCAGGGAAACTGACCTCACTATCCCCCTGTACACCTAACTCAGGGAAACTGACCTCACTATCCCCCTGTACACCTAACTCAGGGAAACTGACCTCACTATCCCCCTGTACACCTAACTCAGGGAAACTGACCTCACTATCCCCCTGTACACCTAACTCAGGGAAACTGACCTCACTATCCCCCTGTACACCTAACTCAGGGAAACTGACCTCACTATCCCCCTGTACACCTAACTCAGGGAAACTGACCTCACTATCCCCCTGTACACCTAACTCAGGGAAACTGACCTCACTATCCCCCTGTACACCTAACTCAGGGAAACTGACCTCACTATCCCCCTGTACACCTAACTCAGGGAAACTGACCTCACTATCCCCCTGTACACCTAACTCAGGGAAACTGACCTCACTATCCCCCTGTACACCTAACTCAGGGAAACTGACCTCACTATCCCCCTGTACACCTAACTCAGGGAAACTGACCTCACTATCCCCCTGTACACCTAACTCAGGGAAACTGACCTCACTATCCCCCTGTACACCTAACTCAGGGAAACTGACCTCACTATCCCCCTGTACACCTAACTCAGGGAAACTGACCTCACTATCCCCCTGTACACCTAACTCAGGGAAACTGACCTCACTATCCCCCTGTACACCTAACTCAGGGAAACTGACCTCACTATCCCCCTGTACACCTAACTCAGGGAAACTGACCTCACTATCCCCCTGTACACCTAACTCAGGGAAACTGACCTCACTATCCCCCTGTACACCTAACTCAGGGAAACTGACCTCACTATCCCCCTGTACACCTAACTCAGGGAAACTGACCTCACTATCCCCCTGTACACCTAACTCAGGGAAACTGACCTCACTATCCCCCTGTACACCTAACTCAGGGAAACTGACCTCACTATCCCCCTGTACACCTAACTCAGGGAAACTGACCTCACTATCCCCCTGTACACCTAACTCAGGGAAACTGACCTCACTATCCCCCTGTACACCTAACTCAGGGAAACTGACCTCACTATCCCCCTGTACACCTAACTCAGGGAAACTGACCTCACTATCCCCCTGTACACCTAACTCAGGGAAACTGACCTCACTATCCCCCTGTACACCTAACTCAGGGAAACTGACCTCACTATCCCCCTGTACACCTAACTCAGGGAAACTGACCTCACTATCCCCCTGTACACCTAACTCAGGGAAACTGACCTCACTATCCCCCTGTACACCTAACTCAGGGAAACTGACCTCACTATCCCCCTGTACACCTAACTCAGGGAAACTGACCTCACTATCCCCCTGTACACCTAACTCAGGGAAACTGACCTCACTATCCCCCTGTACACCTAACTCAGGGAAACTGACCTCACTATCCCCCTGTACACCTAACTCAGGGAAACTGACCTCACTATCCCCCTGTACACCTAACTCAGGGAAACTGACCTCACTATCCCCCTGTACACCTAACTCAGGGAAACTGACCTCACTATCCCCCTGTACACCTAACTCAGGGAAACTGACCTCACTATCCCCCTGTACACCTAACTCAGGGAAACTGACCTCACTATCCCCCTGTACACCTAACTCAGGGAAACTGACCTCACTATCCCCCTGTACACCTAACTCAGGGAAACTGACCTCACTATCCCCCTGTACACCTAACTCAGGGAAACTGACCTCACTATCCCCCTGTACACCTAACTCAGGGAAACTGACCTCACTATCCCCCTGTACACCTAACTCAGGGAAACTGACCTCACTATCCCCCTGTACACCTAACTCAGGGAAACTGACAGGGAAACTGACCTCACTATCCCCCTGTACACCTAACTCAGGGAAACTGACCTCACTATCCCCCTGTACACCTAACTCAGGGAAACTGACCTCACTATCCCCCTGTACACCTAACTCAGGGAAACTGACCTCACTATCCCCCTGTACACCTAACTCAGGGAAACTGACCTCACTATCCCCCTGTACACCTAACTCAGGGAAACTGACCTCACTATCCCCCTGTACACCTAACTCAGGGAAACTGACCTCACTATCCCCCTGTACACCTAACTCAGGGAAACTGACCTCACTATCCCCCTGTACACCTAACTCAGGGAAACTGACCTCACTATCCCCCTGTACACCTAACTCAGGGAAACTGACCTCACTATCCCCCTGTACACCTAACTCAGGGAAACTGACCTCACTATCCCCCTGTACACCTAACTCAGGGAAACTGACCTCACTATCCCCCTGTACACCTAACTCAGGGAAACTGACCTCACTATCCCCCTGTACACCTAACTCAGGGAAACTGACCTCACTATCCCCCTGTACACCTAACTCAGGGAAACTGACCTCACTATCCCCCTGTACACCTAACTCAGGGAAACTGACCTCACTATCCCCCTGTACACCTAACTCAGGGAAACTGACCTCACTATCCCCCTGTACACCTAACTCAGGGAAACTGACCTCACTATCCCCCTGTACACCTAACTCAGGGAAACTGACCTCACTATCCCCCTGTACACCTAACTCAGGGAAACTGACCTCACTATCCCCCTGTACACCTAACTCAGGGAAACTGACCTCACTATCCCCCTGTACACCTAACTCAGGGAAACTGACCTCACTATCCCCCTGTACACCTAACTCAGGGAAACTGACCTCACTATCCCCCTGTACACCTAACTCAGGGAAACTGACCTCACTATCCCCCTGTACACCTAACTCAGGGAAACTGACCTCACTATCCCCCTGTACACCTAACTCAGGGAAACTGACCTCACTATCCCCCTGTACACCTAACTCAGGGAAACTGACCTCACTATCCCCCTGTACACCTAACTCAGGGAAACTGACCTCACTATCCCCCTGTACACCTAACTCAGGGAAACTGACCTCACTATCCCCCTGTACACCTAACTCAGGGAAACTGACCTCACTATCCCCCTGTACACCTAACTCAGGGAAACTGACCTCACTATCCCCCTGTACACCTAACTCAGGGAAACTGACCTCACTATCCCCCTGTACACCTAACTCAGGGAAACTGACCTCACTATCCCCCTGTACACCTAACTCAGGGAAACTGACCTCACTATCCCCCTGTACACCTAACTCAGGGAAACTGACCTCACTATCCCCCTGTACACCGGTGAACGGAAAAAAAGTCACAGGAAAAAAAAAAACAGAAAAAAAGTCAGTTTTTGCTAGGAAAAAAAGTCTCAGAAAAAAAGTCACAATGGAAAAATTTTATCGGAAAAAAAGTCACAGAAATAGTCACACAAAAAAGTCACAAAAATCTTTTTAGAAATATTTTTATTAATTTGTTAAAAATTGTAAAATTTTGTATGTTTATTGTTGTGGGTTGTATTTTTTGATAGCATAAATTATTTATAGACGTTAAAAGCATTATGATTTATAACAATTGTAAGTAAAAATACTCTAAGATAATTAACACAACAATCTCAACTTTTGTACGTATTTAGTTAAATACGCGGTAGAAAAGTTAATTATAAAAGAAATTTAGGCACATTTTGCCGTAGGCTATTCTCTGGTCGGCCTCTCCTCAGTAGGCATTGTCCGAACATATTTTGTGTTGTTGACGTTATGCGTCAATGACAGCCTTTAAACCTTGTCGGCTTTCTGTTTTGATCCTAAGTTTTGTTATGTAATGATCGTGATAAATGTGGGCAGTAAAGGTGGTTGAACTATTGTTGCCATGAGTTGAGGGCAGCAAGTCAGATCAACTTACCATTTCACGGTAATTTAATATTGGTATTTAAAGAAAAACACGATGAAAAACGTGGACTTTGGAGCATTCTATTAAATTCTACTGATCTTAAGTTTAAAATAATTACAATCTACATACTTCATAATAAATACTTTTAGATGAATTATTAAAATTCCTATGCGTATACAGCCTACACACATTACATTACATTTAATTAATCCTAAGTTAATTTGCACTCTCTAAATATTTAATACATAAAAGTATTAACAAATATCATGCAAATATATATTTGTGACTTTTTTCCTGTGACTTTTTTTCCGTGTTTTTTTTTTTCCTGTGTTTTTTTCCTGTGACTTTTTTTCCTACAATCTGTACACCTAACTCAGGGAAACTGACCTCACTATCCCCCTGTACACCTAACTCAGGGAAATAGAGGCAGCAGGGTCTAGTCTGGCCACACCACCCCCCCCCCCCCCCCTGTAGGCCATTCAAACAGATGAACTCTACTTCATTAGCCCCATGTATCTTGGGCTCAAAAGGGAAATGATGATTCACATTAGTGATTTAAAAAGTTTAAGTAAATTTCACAGATTACATAAAATGTTTGAAGGATTTTTTTAAATTGAAATAATGGTACAAGAATTTTTTAAATGCTTTTCTACAACTTTTCTAGATTTGATATTTTTATTGTTGCAATTTGTAAGTTAATAATATGCTATTTATATTCAAATGTTTTTTGTTTAAATTTTTGTATTGAATCTATTTTTTTTTTTAAAAGTTATACAGAAATGTTGGTCGGCATAGACAGTAAAGGGTTCAAAGCCTTTCTTTGCAGAGGGTTGGCGCCCGGGGACATACCTTTCAATTTTTTATTTGCGCACCCCCCCCCCCCCCCCCCCAATTTAATTTTAAAATTGATAATGAGATTTTAATTTGTTTTTCCAACCCATTTTGGCACCCTGTGACATATGTGTCGTCGTCCGTCCCCCCCCCCCCCCCCCCGTTTCTTTAGTCTACTGGTTTGATTCTTTCTTTGGAAAATGCTTCTTGTTGACTGGTTTGATATGAAAATGTTTCAGGGAGGACGAGTTTGATAGCTACTTCACGGACATGTTTTTATGACCTACTCATGGCACTGAAGAGGATGATGTTAGCAGCAACAGATGGACTGACTAGCAGGTGTTTGACTGGCAGGTGTTTGGCTGGCTGATACACACCTGACTACCAGTGTACCAAATAGTTCCAACTTTAGAAAATTTGTAATAAATACTTTAACAGCATCACTGTACTAACTTGTTTTTTTAAAGTCACCCACATGTGTTAGTTCAACAATATTGTCCTTGAATAAAGTCACCAACATGTGTTAGTTCAACAATATTGTCCTTGAGTAAAGTCACCAACATGTGTTAGTTCAACAATATTGTCCTTGAGTAAAGTCACCAACATGTGTTAGTTCAACAATATTGTCCTTGAATAAAGTCACCAACATGTGTTAGTTCAACAATATTGTCCTTGAGTAAAGTCACCCACATGTGTTAGTTCAACAATATTGTCCTTGAATAAAGTCACCAACATGTGTTAGTTCAACAATATTGTCCTTGAGTAAAGTCACCAACATGTGTTAGTTCAACAATATTGTCCTTGAGTAAAGTCACCAACATGTGTTAGTTCAACAATATTGTCCTTGAGTAAAGTCACCAACATGTGTTAGTTCAACAATATTGTCCTTGAGTAAAGTCACCAACATGTGTTAGTTCAACAATATTGTCCTTGAGTAAAGTCACCAACATGTGTTAGTTCAACAATATTGTCCTTGAATAAAGTCACCAACATGTGTTAGTTCAACAATATTGTCCTTGAGTAAAGTCACCAACATGTGTTAGTTCAACAATATTGTCCTTGAGTAAAGTCACCAACATGTGTTAGTTCAACAATATTGTCCTTGAGTAAAGTCACCAACATGTGTTAGTTCAACAATATTGTCCTTGAATAAAGTCACCAACATGTGTTAGTTCAACAATATTGTCCTTGAGTAAAGTCACCAACATGTGTTAGTTCAACAATATTGTCCTTGAGTAAAGTCACCAACATGTGTTAGTTCAACAATATTGTCCTTGAGTAAAGTCACCAACATGTGTTAGTTCAACAATATTGTCCTTGAATAAAGTCACCAACATGTGTTAGTTCAACAATATTGTCCTTGAATAAAGTCACCAACATGTGTTAGTTCAACAATATTGTCCTTGAGTAAAGTCACCAACATGTGTTAGTTCAACAATATTGTCCTTGAGTAAAGTCACCAACATGTGTTAGTTCAACAATATTGTCCTTGAATAAAGTCACCAACATGTGTTAGTTCAACAATATTGTCCTTGAGTAAAGTCACCAACATGTGTTAGTTCAACAATATTGTCCTTGAGTAAAGTCACCAACATGTGTTAGTTCAACAATATTGTCCTTGAATAAAGTCACCAACATGTGTTAGTTCAACAATATTGTCCTTGAGTAAAGTCACCAACATGTGTTAGTTCAACAATATTGTCCTTGAGTAAAGTCACCAACATGTGTTAGTTCAACAATATTGTCCTTGAGTAAAGTCACCAACATGTGTTAGTTCAACAATATTGTCCTTGAATAAAGTCACCAACATGTGTTAGTTCAACAATATTGTCCTTGAATAAAGTCACCAACATGTGTTAGTTCAACAATATTGTCCTTGAGTAAAGTCACCAACATGTGTTAGTTCAACAATATTGTCCTTGAATAAAGTCACCAACATGTGTTAGTTCAACAATATTGTCCTTGAGTAAAGTCACCAACATGTGTTAGTTCAACAATATTGTCCTTGAATAAAGTCACCAACATGTGTTAGTTCAACAATATTGTCCTTGAGTAAAGTCACCAACATGTGTTAGTTCAACAATATTGTCCTTGAGTAAAGTCACCAACATGTGTTAGTTCAACAATATTGTCCTTGAGTAAAGTCACCAACATGTGTTAGTTCAACAATATTGTCCTTGAGTAAAGTCACCAACATGTGTTAGTTCAACAATATTGTCCTTGAGTAATCAACAGAATTGAGTCAGTGCAGGTGCATATTTGTATTGATCAAATTTCTTTGGTGTCCTAAACTAAGATTTACCTGTGCAAACACACTTTGTACACAATAAATTCTTAATATGAACATTTCATGACACATTTTGTACAAAATACATTCTATACAAACATTGATGGAAGGGACATATAGTGGAGAAAATAGTTTGTTATATAAATTCTTTTCCTGTTGGTCAGTCATATCAATTCTTGGCCTGTTGGTCAGTCGTATCAATTCTTGGCCTGTTGGTCAGTCATATCAATTCTTGGCCTGTTGGTCAGTAGTATCAATTCTTGACCTGTTGGTCAGTCGTATCAATTCTTGGCCTGTTGGTCAGTCGTATCAATTCTTGGCCTGTTTGTCAGTCGTATCAATTCTTGACCTGTTGGTCAGTCGTATCAATTCTTGGCCTGTTGGTCAGTCGTATCAATTCTTGGCCTGTTTGTCAGTCGTATCAATTCTTGACCTGTTGGTCAGTCGTATCAATTCTTGGCCTGTTTGTCAGTCGTATCAATTCTTGACCTGTTGGTCAGTCGTATCAATTCTTGGCCTGTTGGTCAGTCGTATCAATTCTTGGCCTGTTTGTCAGTCGTATCAATTCTTGACCTGTTGGTCAGTCGTATCAATTCTTGGCCTGTTGGTCAGTCTTATCAATTCTTGACCTGTTGGTCAGTCTTATCAATTCTTGACCTGTTGGTCAGTCGTATCAATTCTTGACCTGTTGGTCAGTCGTATCAATTCTTGACCTGTTGGTCAGTCGTATCAATTCTTGACCTGTTGGTCAGTCGTATCAATTCTTGGCCTGTTGGTCAGTAGTATCAATTCTTGACCTGTTGGTCAGTCGTATCAATTCTTGGCCTGTTGGTCAGTCGTATCAATTCTTGGCCTGTTTGTCAGTCGTATCAATTCTTGACCTGTTGGTCAGTCGTATCAATTCTTGGCCTGTTGGTCAGTCTTATCAATTCTTGACCTGTTGGTCAGTCGTATCAATTCTTGACCTGTTGGTCAGTCGTATCAATTCTTGACCTGTTGGTCAGTCGTATCAATTCTTGACCTGTTGGTCAGTCATATCAATTCTTGACCTGTTGGTCAGTGGTATCAATTCTTGGCCTGTTGGTCAGTCGTATCAATTCTTTTCCTGTTGGTCAGTCGTATCAATTCTTGACCTGTTGGTCAGTCGTATCAATTCTTGACCTGTTGGTCAGTCGTATCAATTCTTGACCTGTTGGTCAGTGGTATCAATTCTTGGCCTGTTGGTCAGTCGTATCAATTCTTTTCCTGTTGGTCAGTCGTATCAATTCTTGGCCTGTTGGTCAGTCGTATCAATTCTTGACCTGTTGGTCAGTCTCTGAACAACATAAAATGGCTTGGTAAAGCACTTGATAATAGAATGAATCAAAACTTGAGGCCCTGCAAGTAATACCAAACATATTTCCAGCTCCAATTGACCTTGAGGGTTAGAGGTACAGAAATAACGACTTTCATGCTGTTAATTAACGACAAATCCCAATTTCACCCCTTCAATAAAAACTAAGTACAGGTTTCGTATCCTCTTTTATAATCATTTTAGGCTGGCGGGGGTTAACTTTTTGGAGGGGCTTACACACAACTCTACTTGACAATATTCATTTATAACATTTTGATAGCAGAGAAATTAAAAAAAAATTTTCAGGCGAATTAATTTGCCTGTATTTTAAAGGATGTTCAATAATTTCCCCTTTTGTTGTCCAAAGTATGTCAGGTTAGTTCTACTTTATTTTTATTAATTACACCCCAATGTTTAAATTATCAAATTTTCTTTAAAGAGTTTACTTAAATTATGCAATTTTGGATTACACAATTAGTATTACTAAGTTCAAAATTAATTATAGTTATAGTAATTTTGAAAGCTAATGCATTTTAACAGTCAAAATAAATGACATTCAACGATGTAGACAGTATACAAAGAGGTTAACAATATTTATAAAAAAAAAATTGACATTCAATGAAGTAGTTTGTAGATAATTGTAGGCAATAGATCTTTCTTTCAGGTATCTATTTGGGGGAGGGGATGGGACACTGCACCGACCCCCCCCCTCCCCCCCTTCAATCCAAACAATAGAGAAAAATATATTCCTTAACCAGATCTGGGCCTAGCATAGTGTATTTTGTTTTCTGCAAGAAATTGTTTCAGCTTTTTTGTCTGTCAGACTAGTGATTACACTGTTGATTCTCTCTCAAAGCTACATGCCCTTGTTGTTCCTCAACTGATACAACAAAAATGACTTCCCAGAGCTTTCTCTCCACACAAACGTTTGTTCTTCTCACTAACTTCTGCTGGCCGTGTACACTTGGCAGCTTCTTGCTTCAGTGAACTGGGCTGGTTTGGGGTGCTGGCAGCTGCTTGTCTCTGTGGCAAAAATACACTGAGTCAACTCACTGTCACTTGCTGACTATGGTGTTTAGGGTAAGTGGTGGAATACAAGGCAAAATGTACTGAGTCAACTCACTGTCACTTGCTGACTATGGTGTTTAGGGTAAGTGGTGGAATACAAGGCAAAATGTACTGAGTCAACTCACTGTCACTTGCTGACTATGGTGTTTAGGGTAAGTGGTAGAATACAACTTGTATTCCACCACTTGTATTACACAAGGCAAAATGCATGTATCGGTAATGGCGGTAATCTATCGTTATCGGTAAATAAAATTTAAAAATAGGCCAAGGCTAGATCTAGAAATGTGAAAAAAGTTACCTCATTGTTAAAGCTTTAACAGAAGTATATTGTGATAAATTGGTGTTAATTATAATAGATAGGAATAATTAAAATAAAAAACCAAAAGCTATGTCTAAATATATCAATATATAGGGCATTATATGGTAATCTATCGTTTTGGGTACGTAAAATCGCCCGCGGCTATTAATGTACGAAACCGTTACCTCATTGTCAAGGCTTTAACAGAAAAGTACTATATTGTGATATAGATGTTTGTATCAAATATTACGCCCCTATAAATAAATGAATACTAAACCTAAATCCTTCCCCCTGAATCTCGCGCTATAAGTTTATAAAAATAAAACTTAAACAAGATGGCTGCTATAGTAAGTGAGCATGGTTGCATCTGTTGGAAACATCGCTAGTCTTCATTTATTACTGAAAAGTTTTAATTCAATTGTTTAAAAAAAAATTCATAAAAAACGTTTTAATAACAAGCTTTTATGTAATGATGCACTAAAAAGTAGAAAATAAATTATAGACTACTATTTAAATAACTATTAAGAAAAGCGTGGGTCACTTTAGTATCTATTGGATACCTTTACTAATGTTAAGGAAGACACCCACGCTTTTCTTTATAGTTATTTAAATAGTAGTCTATAATTTATTTTCTACTTTTTAGTGCATCATTACATAAAAGCTTGTTATTAAAACGTTTTTTATGAATTTTTTTTTCAGTACTTTACATGTTTTATCTACAATAGAGTTACATGACTAAAAACCATTGCGCGCCTACTGAATATCACGTTCAGTAGGCGCGCAATGGTTTTTGAACGCAGCCATTACGTGGTCGTGATGGCGCAGCTATTGATGACGCGTGTGGTGTGGTTGGCTAGACATGCCTACTAATTCGGTCCAAATTTTAATTAATTCATAAAAAATCAATTAGGCATCCAATTAAATCAAATTTAGTTTCAGATTGCATTGTCTTCATGTCTTGACCCACGTGCCAACTGTGAATCGTGTCGGTCAAGTAGAACTGTCCGAATTTTCACTCCTGCGTTTCCGTCTAGACTCTAGACTGACGACAGACTGACGAGGAAGTGAGTTAAATAAAAGCTTGTAAAAAAAATATTCATAAAAAACGTTTCAATAACAAGCTTTTATGTAATGATGCACTAAAAAGTAGAAAATAAATTATAGACTACTATTTAAATAACTATAAAGAAAAGCGTGGGTCACTTTAGTATCTATTGGATACCTTTACTAATGTTAAGGAAGACACCCACGCTTTTCTTTATAGTTATTTAAATAGTAGTCTATAATTTATTTTCTACTTTTTAGTGCATCATTACATAAAAGCTTGTTATTAAAACGTTTTTTATGAATATTTTTTTTCAGTACTTTACATGTTTTATTTACAATAGAGTTACATGACTAAAAACCATTGCGCGCCTACTGAACATTACGTTCAGTAGGCGCGCAATGGTTTTTGAACGCAGCCATTACGTGATGGCGCAGCTATTGAAGGTGATGACGCGTGTGGTGTGGTTGGCTAGACATGCCTACTAATTCGGTCCAAATTTTTATTAATTCATAAAAAATTAATTAGGCATCCAATTAAGTCAAATTTAGTTTCAGATTGCATTGTCTTCATGTCTTGACCCACGTGCCAACTGTGAATCGTGTCGGTCAAGTAGAACTGTCCGAATTTTCACTCCTGCGTTTCCGTCTAGACAGACTGACGACTGACGAGGAAGTGAGTTAAATAAAAGCTTGTAAAAACAAGTAGATCTACATAAATGAAACAAGGAAACATTTTTGTATTTTAAATAAACCGGGAGTGATCTCCCCTAAACTTTCTCGAATATTCTAATATAACACTACGGGGGATGGCAACTCGGGATATAGACTTCTAGACATGATTTTTTATTCCTTTTTAAATACTCACATTTTTAAAAATAGAATATAATCTCGTAGAAAAAAGAAATGCACACCAAGTGAACGCTAAATAAAGATGTGCATAATAGTGCGCAATATTATTAGTACTTTATAAATTTACATGCGTTTTTGAGAAATCGGAAGTAGCGTAAATAAGTACTTCCGATAAACGGAAATTACTCAAAATTTGACAGAAGGTAGAGAATTAGATCTTCTACTTACATATCAAATTTCATTATATCTATCTGAAATAGAACTCAAGTTATAGGCTTTTGAAAAATTCAAAGTAGAAAAAGTACCACTTCCGGTTATCGGAAATCGCTCAAAAGTTGATACGGATCTACGATTTTGATAAAATACTTATATATGAAATTTCATCAACCTAGCTGTAACGGTACTCAAGTTATCGTGTTTACACACGGACACACACACGGACAGAATTGGATAATCCAGTTTTTCCAACTCCATTACGCATAAAACGCCAAAATTTTTATATATCTGAGTTTATAATTTTTGCCCGATTAAAATAAGTCTTCTATATCCCGGATGTGATGAAGGACTGAGGAGTAAAACGGTGAAAACTGTCCAAATTTAATGTGATTTTTGTGCACGATTACAAGACTTTCTCTATACTTCGTATATACGAGAAAGTAAAAACATAAATCCTCCTCAAAATGTGAAATAATTATTAAAATTTAAGGAGTCACCTGTTTTTTCACATTACATTTACAAGTCGCGGGCGATTTTCTTTACGTACCCAAAACGATAGATTACCCAATATAGGCCAGAAATTAACTTTAAACAACAGTGTTTGCGAGCAAGATAGTATATACTAATTAGATCTATATATATAATTCTCTTCTGGGAGACGCTAGAAAACAAGCTGTAAACGCGCTCCCTACCACCCCCATCCCTACATGGTCTGGTGAGCTGTGGTTCACTCTAAATGTTTACAAACAGAGCCGGGTTTAGTGACGACTATTAGGGGCAGATAATTTAGTTCGAAACGATTTTAAACGTAGGGGGGGGGTAATTAAGTGGAGTTTACTTTAACGGAGGAGGGGGGGGGGGTTGTCGTCCTTAACGAGCTACTTATAGTGTTATAAAGAAATATTTTCAGTGGCAGCGTTGGTAGTGTCGAATTCACAAATTATGAATAACTGAAAATTAGAAAAAAAAAAAAAAAAAAAAACTAAATAGCGGCGTATGATATGCCACGGGTCGGCTCATATAGTATATAGGCCTAGACAGTAGCCATCTGTAAATAAGAGTGGTTTCCCCTGAATCTATTATTTTACAAAAAAACAACAACAAACAAACAAGATGTCTGCTAAAAGTGCTAACGTAAATAATAAATAAGCTTGGTTGAATCTGATGAAAACGTCGCAAATCTTGATTGGTAATCTATCGTTTTGGGTACGTATAATCGCCCGCGACTAGTAATGTAAAAAACAGGTGACTCCTTAAATTTTAATAATTATTTCACATTTTGAGGAGGATTTGTGTTTTGAAAAATACAAAAATGTTTCCTTGTTTCATTTATGTACCTGTTTTCAAACAATTGAATTAAAACTTTTCAATAATAAATGAATACTAGCGATGTTTCCAACAGAAACAACCATGCTCATTTACTCTAGCAGCCATCTTGTTTAAGTTCTTTCTTTGTTAATTTATAGCGCGAGATCAGGGGAAGGCAACTCTATTTTACAAATGGCTGCTGTTTATATAGGAAATCCTGCTCGCAAACACTGCTGTTAAAAGTTAATTTCTTGCCTATATTGATATATTTAGCTATTGATTTAGGTTATTTATTCATTTATCTATAATATTTGACACAAATATATCAAAATATACTTCTATTAAAGCCTTGACAATGAGGTAACTTTTTCGTACATTACTAGCCGCGGGCGATTTTACGTACCCAAAACGATAGATTACCTCTTGATTTATTACTGAACAGTTTTTAGATCTTGAATATATATACTAGATCTCTAGATCTTATTATTTAAAAAAAGGTACTTGAAACTTTTAGAAACATTTTAAATAGGCCCTAACTTTCAAAACATAAATATTAAATATTAAATATTATTAAACAAATCCTCCTAAAATGTGAAAGAATTACTCTTTAATTTTAAATTAATTTAAATAAATTTAACGAGTCACCTCTTTTTTTTACATTAGCATCGGCCGATTTTTACCTAAAAAGGATAGATTACCAATGGACCATGTACTCTACTAGAACCTCTATCTATACTACAAGGCAAAACAGATTTCTCTGGATTTGTGCTCTACCCCCCCCCCCCCCCCCCATGTGCAGATTGGTTGTTGGGTCAGTCAAGCAAGGTCTTGTCATGATTGACTTTTTCAATGAAGAGAAATAGAGATGGTTGACTAGCAGCAGTGCAGTCGCTAGGTCGGGTGTCACCCTTCCCCCCCCCCCCCCCCCCAGAAAAAACTTTGTATATGATATATAGGCCTATATATATATATATATATATATATATATATATATATATATATATATATATATATATATATATATATATATATATATATATATATATATATAACTTAAATATGTGATTTATAGTCGGTTATTAATACCTCTGGATGTTGCATTGGTTTCTCTATAGTTAGCAAGTTCACATCATAGTATGTCCCCTCCCCCCTTGTGATTGTCAATTTGTAATTAAAAAGGCTTTTTAACTCTAAGTAATATTTAAATGAACAGCAAAAAGCTTTTTTTCTTTTTGCAATTTTTGCCTTGGTGTTACCCCCTAAATGGTGTCACTTGGTGCTGTCTGCCCGCCCAGCCTCGTGACACCACTGGCTATCAGTAAAAATTCTAGACATGTTTGGCTATCAGTAAAAACTGTAGACATGTTTGGCTATCAGTAAAAATTCTAGACATGTAAAAACTGTCGACTGACATTGCTTGTGTAGCTGGAGCCATGAGCCTGCTGGCTCAGGTCTGGTTGGGGTGATGTACCCGGGCCGTCCTGACTTTTCTCCTGCTGGACAAGTTCCCCTCGGACTTGCTTTTCTTTGTCTGTTTCTCCTAGAGTTTGGAAATCAGTTTAAAATTGAACTTTGACCTTCCAAAAAAAAAATTAAATTAAAACAACAATAAAGAAAATATAACAGAAATTAAAGCCTACTTTAGGGTTTTATTGCTTTTAGTTTAAAATAGTTTTTTCATTTCTTTTCTTTACAAAGTACAACTGCTAGCCAGTGTTAAAAAATAAAATTTTATTCAGAGCTAAATATAGTGCAATTGAAAAGCTTCTTAAGCTGTATTATAAATATCTTGTTGTAACATTTCCTAAATACCATTTGAGGAAATAATCATGCAAAATAGTATAATAAGTTGGTACACAGAATAAAGTAACACAACACAGAACAAAATGTGCTGTAACACAACACAGAACAAAGTGTGTTGTAACACAACACAGAACAAAGTGTGCTGTACTGTAACACAACACAGAACAAAGTGTGCTGTAACACAACACAGAACAAAGTGTGTTGTAACACAACACAGAACAAAGTGTGCTGTACTGTAACACAACACAGAACAAAGTGTACTGTAACACAACACAGAACAAAGTGTGCTGTACTGTAACACAACACAGAACAAAGTGTGTTGTAACACAACACAGAACAAAGTGTGCTGTAACACAACACAGAACAAAGTGTGTTGTAACACAACACAGAACAAAGTGTGCAGTAACACAACACAGAACAGTGTGCTGTACTGTAACACAACACAGAAAAAGTGTACTGTAACACAACACAGAACAAAGTGTACTGTAACACAACACAGAACAAAGTGTACTGTAACACAACACAGAACAAAGTGTGCTGTAACACAACACAGAACAAAGTGTGCTGTAACACAACACAGAACAAAGTGTGCTGTACTGTAACACAACACAGAACAAAGTGTACTGTAACACAACACAGAACAAAGTGTACTGTAACACAACACAGAACAAAGTGTACTGTAACACAACACAGAACAAAGTGTGCTGTAACACAACACAGAACAAAGTGTACTGTAACACAACACAGAACAAAGTGTGCTGTAACACAACACAGAACAAAGTGTACTGTACTGTAACACAACACAGAACAAAGTGTGCTGTAACACAACACAGAACAAAGTGTACTGTAACACAACACAGAACAAAGTGTACTGTAACACAACACAGAACAAAGTGTACTGTAACACAACACAGAACAAAGTGTGCTGTACTGTAACACAACACAGAACAAAGTGTGCAGTAACACAACACAGAACAAAGTGTGCTGTACTGTAACACAACACATGATAATGCACAGAAAAACAAGTTTATGAATAAAAAAGGGGAGACTAATCTAGATCAATAAAGTAAAAGAAATATCTAATTTAACACAGAGAATACTCTGAAATTTTTGAAAAAGTAATTAATTTAAACCCCTACAAAAGATGACAGAACATATAAATATAAACATCTAAAAAAGATAGAAATATTGTGTGAAAATATATAGTGGTAGTTAGAAAAACCAACAACTGTGGAAACAGGTCATAATGTTGGGACACCATCTAAACAATTTGTTATAGGTTGGGACACCATCTAGGCAATTTGTTATAGGTTGGGACACCATCGTGACAATTTGTTATAGGTTGGGACACTTAATAGACAATTTGTTATAGGTTGGGACACTAAAAGGCACTTTGTTATAGGTTGGGACACCATATAGGCAATTTTTTATAGGTTGGGACACTAAATAGACAATTGTGATAGGTTGGGACACCATCTAGGCAATTTGTTATAGGTTGGGACAATAAATAGACAATATGTTATAGGTTGGGACACCATCGTGACAATTTGTTATAGGTTGGGACACCAAAAGGCAATCTGTTATAGGTTGGGACACCATCTAGGCAATTAGTTATAGGTTGGGACACCAAAAGGCAATTTGTTATAGGTTGGGACACCAAAAGGCAATCTGTTATAGGTTGGGACACCATCTAGGCAATTAGTTATAGGTTGGGACACCATCTAGGCAATTTGATATAGGTTGGTACACCAAAAGGCAATCTGTTATAGGTTGGGACACCATCTAGGCAATTTGTTATAGGTTGGGACACCATCTAGGCAATTAGTTATAGGTTTATATGGGAGGTTTATATGGGAGGTTTATATGGGAGGTTTATAGAACCTGAAGTAGCAAGAGTGTGTAGTGCCTGCCAGTGCTGCCTATTGCTGAGACAACCATCATTCAATGGACTCAGTGACGCAGAAACTTTAGCAAATAGCTGGGAAAAAGTTACAAATATTATCATTCAATGGACTCAGTGACGCAGAAACTTTAGCAAATAGCTGGGAAAAAGTTACAAATATTATCATTCAATGGACTCAGTGACGCAGAAACTTTAGCAAACAGCTGGGAAAAAGTTACAAATATTTTCCTTTTTTTATATCATTAGAAAACAAAACTCCTTCAAGTTTTTCACTTTCTTTTCTTCCTTGACAGTTGGGGGAATCTTTCATCGTATAAACATTACACATAAATTGGGGGAGGGGGCACCAAGGTCGGTAATAGAGACTACACAGACAATCGTGTTCCCATGGTAACTGCAGGCCAGAAGCGATGAGACCCAGACGACATAATGACGACAGTGGTATAGATAGTGATGACAACACTCTCTACAAAGTGACAACATAGTCTAGACAGCGAGACAAAAGTTGCCCACTAGAGTTCCTTCGTGAGATGTGCTTCTCCCTTTGGTTCTGGACGCAGCTGTCTCTTTACTGGAAGGGAGGGGCTTGACTCCAGGGGGGTGCGGCATTTTCTGATATGGGGATGGGGGTGGATGCGGGTCAGAAGATCTGCGTGTTTCAAACAGGGGCTTCCCCAGCAGAAGGGAGCCCCTTTGGGGGGAGCGTGGGGCTTTCTTTGGCTGGCTGCCAAGTTTTGAGCTTAGGTTGGGCTTAGCTCTGGGTGGAGTTATTGTTTTCTTGACGTCAGCGTCTGAGTCAGTCTCAGACGCCAGCAGGTTCCAGTGATGCCGATTTGACATGAGCCCAGCATAGAGCGGTGACAACTTCGGGAACATTGTGGAAAAGGCCTTGTAAGGGGAAAACATTCTTGTTAATTAGAGACTGGTAAGTTTAGTACATTCAGTCAAAACCTCACCTCATAGACTGGTAAGTTTAGTACATTCAGTCAAAACCTCACCTCATAGACTGGTAAGTTTAGTACATTCAGTCAAAACCTCACCTCATAGACTGGTGAGTTTAGTACATTCAGTCAAAACCTCACCTCATAGACTGGTGAGTTTAGTACATTCAGTCAAAACCTCACCTCATAGACTGGTGTGCATATTATAAAGTCAATAAACAACTTACCTCATAGACTGGTGTGCATATAAAGTCAATGAACAACTTACCTCATAGATTGGTGTGCATGTGACCTACTTAGGTTTGGTAATGTTTATTTTTACATTTGTTACCTTACCATATATGGTCTGTGGTATAATCACTGGTTTTTTCCACTGTCTTAAGAAAGTCTTAGACTCAGTATTTTTCCATCATGAGATGCTTGGTTGAGACGGACCAGGATGTGGTACAGTGGTTAGGATCTCGGCGCGCCATGGCGGCGGCCGAGGTTCAATTCCTTGGTTCGAATCACTGTGATTCAGTGATTAGGGTGGCCCTGTTACGCAGTGGCCTGGATCACGCTCGCTCAAGGCGGCGGCCGGGTTTCGGTTCCCGGTTAGATCCCATGGCCCGCGGTGGTGGCCTGTGTGGTCGAGAATTGTAGCTTAAGTGGTCTAGTGGTTCGACACTTAAATAATCTGTAGCTCAAGCGGGGTAGTGGCAGAGCTGGAAAACGCTCGCCCGCTAACTTGAGTGATCTATGAGTCTTGGTGGCACACGTATATCTGGGCAGTTCTTTAACCAGACGTCTTTGAGAGAGAATAAGCCCTGTGTGTCGCTGTGTAGTACTAAGTTGTTTAAGTAGCATATTCTTATATTACTTGTGGTTAAGTAATACTATATGCTTATAGCAGTGATGTGTATACTGTGGTGATTTTTCTGAAGTGTTAAAAGCTGTGATAGTGTATCATATTATTTTTCCCACGAATTGTAAGTTGGGTTTTGTTCATTATGTAAATCTATTTTATCCTGTTTAAATCTAGTGTTCTGCCACGACTTTGTACACTCATTAAAAGTTATATGCAGATTAAATGTATTGTTGGCATGAGTAGTTTCTCTAGTGTTTCCCCTAGACATCAAGTACGAGTCCTAGTGAACTATTGTGTTAGCTTTCTTTTATTTAGGCTTGTCGCCATCTGTGTATAATCAGTTAAACGAATCCGGGAGCGTTCGCCAACTATCTGGCTGATAGATTGGAGCTCGTTACATGCACATAAAGTCAATGAACAACTTACCTCATAGATTGGTGTGCATATAAAGTCAATGAACAACTTACCTCATAGACTGGTGTGCATATAAAGTCAATGAACAACTTACCTCATAGATTGGTGTGCATATAAAGTCAATGAACAACTTACCTCATAGATTGGTGTGCATATAAAGTCAATGAACAACTCACCTCATAGATTGGTGTGCATATAAAGTCAATGAACAACTTACCTCATAGATTGGTGTGCATATAAAGTCAATGAACAACTTACCTCATAGACTGGTGTGCATATAAAGTCAATGAACAACTCACCTCATAGATTGGTGTGCATATAAAGTCAATGAACAACTCACCTCATAGATTGGTGTGCATATAAAGTCAATGAACAACTTACCTCATAGATTGGTGTGCATATAAAGTCAATGAACAACTTACCTCATAGATTGGTGTGCATATAAAGTCAATGAACAACTTACCTCATAGATTGGTGTGCATATAAAGTCAATGAACAACTCACCTCATAGATTGGTGTGCATATAAAGTCAATGAACAACTCACCTCATAGATTGGTGTGCATATAAAGTCAATGAACAACTCACCTCATAGATTGGTGTGCATATAAAGTCAATGAACAACTTACCTCATAGATTGGTGTGCATATAAAGTCAATGAACAACTTACCTCATAGATTGGTGTGCATATAAAGTCAATGAACAACTTACCTCATAGATTGGTGTGCATATAAAGTCAATGAACAACTCACCTCATAGATTGGTGTGCATATAAAGTCAATGAAGTCCACCTGCATCCTTGGTAGTTCATCTTTCCTCTCACGATCCATCATAGGCTACACAACACAATTGTTTACAATTAGGAGGTCAAAAGGTCATAGGCTACACAACACAAATGTTTACAATTAGGAGGTCAAAAGGTCATAGGCTACACAACACAAATGTTTACAATTAGGAGGTCAAAAGGTCATAGGCTAGAAAGTTTCACCAGTCAAACTAGTCAAAGCTAGTCCAACATTTAAATAAACACACAGACACACCTTCATACAGACACACCTGCACACAGACACAAAAAATCTATTTCTCCCCCCCCCCCCCTGGAAAATTGAATCAGCCTTCCCCCCCCCCCCCTCCGAAAAGTTTAATTGCGCCTCCACCCCCTACCAGGCATAAAAAACAGAAAGAAAGACTGCATACTGTCACACAGATACAGACAGACATACGAACGTACAATGGGTTTCTCCCCGAGCTTGCTCTTCTCAATGTCTCCCTGTTCAAAGAACTCAGCAGTCACTAGCTGGGCCACTTTCTTCTGGACCTCCCAGGGTTTCGTGATGGCCGCCACATCACAGGCCGTCATCATCATAGCCCTGTGGTACAGTGGTGCATCTGCTTCATATGGCATCTATGTCCCAACAGTCTAGTCTAGCATGTCATCTATCTACCACCAGTCTAGTCTAGCATGTCATCTAGCTACCACCAGTCTAGTCTAGCATGTCATCTGTCTACCACCAGTCTAGTCTAGCATGTCATCTAGCTACCACCAGTCTAGTCTAGCATGTCATCTACCTACCACCAGTCTAGTCTAGCATGTCATCTGTGTACCACCAGTCTAGTCTAGCATGTCATCTATCTACCACCAGTCTAGTCTAGCATGTCATCTATGTGCCACCAGTCTAGTCTAGCATGTCATCTACCTACCACCAGTCTAGTCTAGCATGTCATCTGTGTACCACCAGTCTAGTCTAGCATGTCATCTATCTACCACCAGTCTAGTCAAGCATGTCATCTATCTACCACCAGTGTAGTCTAGCATGGCATCTATGTGCCACCAGTCTAGTCTAGCATGTCATCTGTGTACCACCAGTCTAGTCTAGCATGTCATCTATCTACCACCAGTCTAGTCTAGCATGTCATCTGTATACCACCAGTCTAGTCTAGCATGTCATCTATCTACCACCAGTCTAGTCTAGCATGTCATCTATCTACCACCAGTCTAGTCAAGCATGTCATCTATCTACCACCAGTGTAGTCTAGCTTGCCATCTATCTACCACCAGTCTAGTCTAGCATGTCATCTATCTACCACCAGTCTAGTCTAGCATGTCATCTATCTACCACCAGTCTAGTCTAGCATGGCATCTATGTGCCACCAGTCTAGTCTAGCATGTCATCTGTGTACCACCAGTCTAGTCTAGCATGTCATCTATCTACCACCAGTCTAGTCTAGCATGTCATCTATCTACCACCAGTCTAGTCTAGAATGTCATCTGTGTGCCACCAGTCTAGTCTAGCATGTCATCTGTGTACCACCAGTCTAGTCTAGCATGTCATCTATCTACCACCAGTCTAGTCTAGCATGTCATCTATCTACCACCAGTCTAGTCTAGCATGTCATCTATCTACCACCAGTCTAGTCTAGCATGTCATCTGTGTGACACCAGTCTAGTCTAGCATGTCATCTATCTACCACCAGTCTAGTCTAGCATGTCATCTATCTACCACCAGTCTAGTCTAGCATGTCATCTATCTACCACCAGTCTAGTCTAGCATGTCATCTGTGTGCCACCAGTCTAGTCTAGCATGTCATCTACCTACCACCAGTCTAGTCTAGCATGTCATCTACCTACCACCAGTCTAGTCTAGCATGTCATCTGTGTGCCACCAGTCTAGTCTAGCATGTCATCTACCTACCACCAGTCTAGTCTAGCATGTCATCTATCTACCACCAGTGTAGTCTAGCATGTCATCTATCTACCACCAGTCTAGTCTAGCATGTCATCTACCTACCACCAGTCTAGTCTAGCATGTCATCTATGTGCCACCAGTCTAGTCTAGCATGTCATCTGTGTGCCACCAGTCTAGTCTAGCATGTCATCTACCTACCACCAGTCTAGTCTAGCATGTCATCTGTGTGCCACCAGTCTAGTCTAGCATGTCATCTGTGTACCACCAGTCTAGTCTAGCATGTCATCTAGCTACCACCAGTCTAGTCTAGCATGTCATCTATGTACCACCAGTCTAGTCTAGCATGTCATCTATGTACCACCAGTCTAGTCTAGCATGTCATCTAGCTACCACCAGTCTAGTCTAGCATGTCATCTATCTACCACCAGTCTAGTCTAGCATGGCATCTATGTGCCACCAGTCTAGTCTAGCATGTCATCTGTGTACCACCAGTCTAGTCTAGCATGTCATCTATCTACCACCAGTCTAGTCTAGCATGTCATCTATCTACCACCAGTCTAGTCTAGAATGTCATCTGTGTGCCACCAGTCTAGTCTAGCCTGTCATCAGTGTACCACCAGTCTAGTCTAGCATGTCATCTATCTACCACCAGTCTAGTCTAGCATGTCATCTATCTACCACCAGTCTAGTCTAGCATGTCATCTATCTACCACCAGTCTAGTCTAGCATGTCATCTATCTACCACCAGTCTAGTCTAGCATGTCATCTGTGTGCCACCAGTCTAGTCTAGCATGTCATCTGTGTGCCACCAGTCTAGTCTAGCATGTCATCTACCTACCACCAGTCTAGTCTAGCATGTCATCTGTGTGCCACCAGTCTTGTCTAGCATGTCATCTGTGTGCCACCAGTCTAGTCTAGCATGTCATCTACCTACCACCAGTCTAGTCTAGCATGTCATCTATGTGCCACCAGTCTAGTCTAGCATGTCATCTGTGTGCCACCAGTCTAGTCTAGCATGTCATCTACCTACCACCAGTCTAGTCTAGCATGTCATCTGTGTGCCACCAGTCTAGTCTAGCATGTCATCTGTGTACCACCAGTCTAGTCTAGCATGTCATCTAGCTACCACCAGTCTAGTCTAGCATGTCATCTATGTACCACCAGTCTAGTCTAGCATGTCATCTATGTACCACCAGTCTAGTCTAGCATGTCATCTATCTACCACCAGTCTAGTCTAGCATGTCATCTATCTACCACCAGTGTAGTCTAGCATGTCATCTATCTACCACCAGTCTAGTCTAGCATGTCATCTGTGCCACCAGTCTAGTCTAGCATGTCATCTGTGTGCCACCAGTGTAGTCTAGCATGTCATCTATCTACCACCAGTCTAGTCTAGCATGTCATCTATCTACCACCAGTCTAGTCTAGCATGTCATCTATCTACCACCAGTCTAGTCTAGCATGTCATCTATCTACCACCAGTCTAGTCTAGCATGTCATCTATCTACCACCAGTCTAGTCTAGCATGTCATCTATCTACCACCAGTCTAGTCTAGCATGTCATCTGTGCCACCAGTCTAGTCTAGCATGTCATCTATCTACCACCAGTCTAGTCTAGCCTGTCATCTATCTACCACCAGTCTAGTCTAGCATGTCATCTATCTACCACCAGTCTAGTCTAGCATGTCATCTGTGTGCCACCAGTCTAGTCTAGCATGTCATCTATCTACCACCAGTCTAGTCTAGCATGTCATCTATCTACCACCAGTCTAGTCTAGCATGTCATCTATCTACCACCAGTCTAGTCTAGCATGTCATCTATCTACCACCAGTGTAGTCTAGCATGTCATCTATCTACCACCAGTCTAGTCTAGCATGTCATCTATCTACCACCAGTCTAGTCTAGCATGTCATCTATCTACCACCAGTCTAGTCTAGCCTGTCATCTATCTACCACCAGTCTAGTCTAGCATGTCATCTATCTACCACCAGTCTAGTCTAGCATGTCATCTGTGTGCCACCAGTCTAGTCTAGCATGTCATCTATCTACCACCAGTCTAGTCTAGCATCTGACTGGGATATGAGTCTGAATAAAATTAAACGTGAGACTGACTTGAGCAAATCTTTTTTGTCCTCCTCTTCAAACTTTCTTTCTCCAGTCTCCACTAGCTGCTTGAATTCTCCCCGTTTTCTGGAATACAATCTTCATATTTACTTTAGCCAGGCACAATCTTCACATTTACTTTAGCCAGACACAATCTTCACATTTACTTTAGCCAGACACAATCTTCACATTTACTTTAGCCAGACACAATCTTCACATTTACTTTAGCCAGACACAATCTTCACATTTACTTTAGCCAGACACAATCGTCACATTTACTTTAGCCAGGCACAATCTTCACATTTACTTTAGCCAGACACAATCTTCACATTTACTTTAGCCAGACACAATCTTCACATTTACTTTAGCCAGGCACAATCTTCACATTTACTTTAGCCAGACACAGTCTTCACATTTACTTTAGCCAGCCAAAATCTTCACATTTACTTTAGCCAGACACAATCTTCACATTTACTCAACACAGTGAATGTTGCAAGACGCACACATTTGGCTAAGATCGAGCGTTAGACCAGCAGACATGTGGCTAAGATCGAGCGTTAGACCAGCAGACATGTGGCTAAGATCGAGCGTTAGACCACACACATGTGGCTAAGATCGAGCGTTAGACCAGCACACATGTGGCTAAGATCGAGCGTTAGACCACACACATGTGGCTAAGATCGAGCGTTAGACCAGAACCCACTTGAAATAGAGAGCAAGGTCCGTGGACAAGATGGCGTGCTCCAGAATTTGGATGGCTCGTCTATACTGGTCAGGTGTGAAGGACTGGAAGATGTTGTTACCCTGTGGAGACAGCAGTGGAGGACAGACTGACTGGACAGACTGACTGGACAGACTGACTGGACAGACAGACTGACTGGACAGACTGACTGGACAGACTGACTGGACAGACTGACTGGACAGACAGACTGACTGGACAGACTGACTGGACAGACTGACTGGACAGACAGACTGGACAGACAGACTGACTGGACAGACTGACTGGACAGACTGACTGGACAGACTGACTGACTGGACAGACTGACTGGACAGACTGACTGGACAGACTGACTGGACAGACAGACTGACTGGACAGACTGACTGGACAGACTGACTGGACAGACAGACTGACTGGACAGACTGACTGACTGGACAGACTGACTGACTGGACAGTCTGACTGGACAGACTGACTGGACAGACAGACTGACTGGACAGACTGACTGGACAGACAGACTGGACAGACTGACTGGACAGACAGACTGACTGGACAGACAGACTGGACAGACTGACTGGACAGACTGACTGGACAGACAGACTGACTGGACAGACTGACTGGACAGACAGACTGGACAGACTGACTGGACAGACAGACTGACTGGACAGACAGACTGGACAGACTGACTGGACAGACTGACTGACTGGACAGACAGACTGGACAGACAGACTGGACAGACTGACTGGACAGACTGACTGACTGGACAGACAGACTGGACAGACAGACTGGACAGACTGACTGGACAGACAGACTGACTGGACAGACAGACTGACTGGACAGACTGACTGACTGGACAGACTGACAGACTGGACAGACTGACTGGACAGACAGACTGACTGGACAGACTGACTGGACAGACTGACTGACTGGACAGACTGACTGGACAGACAGACTGGACAGACTGACTGACTGGACAGACTGACTGGACAGACTGACTGACTGGACAGACTGACTGGACAGACTGACTGACTGGACAGACTGACTGGACAGACTGACTGGACAGACTGACTGACTGGACAGACAGACTGGACAGACAGACTGGACAGACTGACTGGACAGACAGACTGACTGGACAGACAGACTGGACAGACTGACTGGACAGACTGACAGACTGACTGGACAGACTGACTGACTGGACAGACTGACTGGACAGACTGACTGGACAGACTGACTGACTGGACAGACAGACTGGACAGACAGACTGGACAGACTGACTGGACAGACTGACTGGACAGACTGACTGGACAGACTGACTGACTGGACAGACTGACTGGACAGACTGACTGGACAGACTGACAGACTGACTGGACAGACTGACTGACTGGACAGACTGACTGGACAGACTGACTGGACAGACTGACTGACTGGACAGACAGACTGGACAGACAGACTGGACAGACTGACTGGACAGACTGACTGACTGGACAGACAGACTGGACAGACAGACTGGACAGACTGACTGGACAGACAGACTGACTGGACAGACTGACTGGACAGACTGACTGACTGGACAGACTGACTGGACAGACTGACTGGACAGACTGACTGGACAGACAGACTGGACAGACTGACTGACTGGACAGACTGACTGACTGGACAGACTGACTGGACAGACTGACTGACTGGACAGACTGACTGACTGGACAGACTGACAGACTGGACAGACTGACTGGACAGACAGACTGACTGGACAGACTGACTGGACAGACTGACTGACTGGACAGACTGACTGGACAGACAGACTGGACAGACTGACTGACTGGACAGACAGACTGGACAGACTGACTGACTGGACAGACTGACAGACTGGACAGACAGACTGGACAGACAGACTGACTGGACAGACTGACTGGACAGTTCTTTGACATGGTCAGCATCAAACTAGCACTGCTGAGTATCATCATACACACCTCACTGCTAAGTCATGACACAATCTGACACATGCCTCAAAACTGAGTGTCATGACTTAAAATTATACCTCACTGTGTCCTGACACACACCTCACAGCAGACTATGATGATAAACCTCACAGCTAAATACAAAGATACACACCTCACTGCTAAATACAAAGATACACACCTCACTGCTAAATACAAAGATACACACCTCACTGCTAAATACAAAGATACACACCTCACTGCTAAATACAAAGATACACACCTCACTATTGAGTATCATGATACAATGATCAAAGTGGTGATGCTCCAGTACTGATGTACTATACAACATTGCCAGCGGGGAGGCCACTCTATTAGAACACACAAAATCATAAAAAAAAACTTTTAATAAGCTTTTATATAATCTACCTCTATACTACTAAAACTCAAGTTTGTTTACATCAGGGGTCTCCAAACTACGGCCCGCGAGGTCCTCTCATCCGGCCCGCGGAGATCTTTTTGTCCAAGGAAAAATGGTTTATTGGTGATGGCTGAGGAACTTTTCCCAGAAAAATGAAAGGCATGCCTGGAAGAAACTGGCCCGCGAACTGAAATTTGTTAGTTAATGCGGCCCTCGGACTGAAAAGTTTGGAGACCCCTGATTTACATGATTGAATATTTTTTTTTTGTTTGTCTGATTGGGTAATGGAGAAAATCTGCTCTATGTGTAGGGCTGTAAAATAGTATGTAGGTAGAGAACAATTTTTGTTTTCAGACAGACTGTTAATCACAAATTTATTTAAAGACGTTAATTAATTAATTTATTTATTCATAGGTAGATTAACCACATTAATTTTAAAAGTTTAAAACATTGACTTTACTTTGTGGGAATAGTGACGTCACATGATTTTTTTACTTTTTAGTACAATAAATGGTGACTTCAATCCAAGATTTAGTTGCCGATTCAAATGTTTAACGCGTTCTTAAACTAATTTTCTGTCGGCTATAACTTTAACAATACGTCCGTTTGCTATTTTTCAAATTTGGCTGGCTCCTGCTTTAGGGCAATAGAACACGGGGGGGGGGGGGGGGGGGGGGGGGGGGGCGGTTGGCCGCAAAGTCCACGAAGAGAGGGTCAAAACTGACCTCGCCACTGACCGGCGCCTTATATGAATTATATTAAGAAAAAAAACTTTTGCCGAACGACTCCCCCCCACCCCCCTTGATATTTTGTGAGGTAGTACCACCGACCCTTATTGACGTTAGATTTGTCCAGATGACATATTTTCTTATATAAACCATTGTTTGTGACAAAGTAAACAAAGGCTAAGTAAATTGGGATATGTACAGGGGAGGTAACTTTTTAAAGTAATAATTTTTAAACAATTATTTTTCTATTTTAAATTAAAAAAAAACAAAATTGGATGTGTGAATGTGTAGGCTGGTCAGTGTATGTATTGGTATTTGTGTGTAGATGTGTGGTTTGTGTATCTATGTGTGTGGGTGAATGTGAAGTGTACATATCTATGTTTGTGTTGGTGTTTGTGTGGTGTATGTCTGTGTGGGTGTTTGTGTGGTGTATGTCTGTATGTGTGTGGGTGTGTGACGACTTACTTGACTTGGAAGGCATTGTTGGTCCCCCGGTGGTCTATGTGTGTGGGTGTTTGTGTGGTGTATGTCTGTATGTGTGTGGGTGTGTCACGACTTACTTGACTTGGAAGGCATTGTTGGTCCCCCGGTGGTCTATGTGTGTGGGTGTTTGTGTGGTGTATGTCTGTATGTGTGTGGGTGTGTCACGACTTACTTGACTTGGAAGGCATTGTTGGTCCCCCGGTGGTCTATGTGTGTGGGTGTTTGTGTGGTGTATGTCTGTATGTGTGTGGGTGTGTCACGACTTACTTGACTTGGAAGGCATTGTTGGTCCCCCGGTGGTCTATGTGTGTGGGTGTTTGTGTGGTGTATGTCTGTATGTGTGTGGGTGTGTCGCGACTTACTTGACTTGGAAGGCATTGTTGGTCCCCCGGTGGTCTATGTGTGTGGGTGTTTGTGTGGTGTATGTCTGTATGTGTGTGGGTGTGTCACGACTTACTTGACTTGGAAGGCATTGTTGGTCCCCCGGTGGTCTATGTGTGTGGGTGTTTGTGTGGTGTATGTCTGTATGTGTGTGGGGTGTGTCACGACTTACTTGACTTGGAAGGCATTGTTGGTCCCCCGGTGGTCTATGTGTGTGGGTGTTTGTGTGGTGTATGTCTGTATGTGTGTGGGTGTGTCATGACTTACTTGACTTGGAAGGCATTGTTGGTCCCCCGGTGGTCCAGATCGTGACACAAGCAGGCCGCCATTAGGGCGAACACATCGACAGCATCAAACTTGGGCCGGAGCCCGCCAGTCTAGAGGAAGATAGAGCACCAAGTCTTGTACCAATATCAGCAAAAAGTCC